TGGTGCAGCACCTGCCTGGCAAGAGTAAGGTCCTGAGTTCGATTCTCAGTACAAAAAGTATACATGTAGGAGAAACCAAAGCAATGTATATGTAGACAGGAGATTTCCGGTGGCTGAATGCTGTAGTTGTGTGTATTTGATGAAAACGAAATACCCAGGTGTGGTGATCCATGCATGTAGACCTACCTCTCAGGAGGCTGAGGCAGGATTGTAAATTCAAGCCCAGCCTGGGTAATTTAAATATTTGTCAAGATCCTGTCTCAAAACAGAAAATTTGGGCTGGGAATGTGGCTCAATGGCACAGCACGTGCCTGGCAAGTGCAAGGTCCTGAGTTTGATTCCTGGTACCGCAAAACAAAACAAAAACAGAAAATTCATGCCAGGTGTAGTGGCGCATGCCTATAATCCCAGCACTTAGGAGAGTGAGGCAGGTGGCTTCGCAGTAAGTTTGAGGCCAGTTTGGCCTACATAACCAAGTTTTTAAGGCCAGCCTATACAACACAGTGAGACCTTTGCTCAAAAAGCAAAAGAAAAAAATAGAAAATTTAAATTACGACAAGGGCCCTGGGTTCAATTCCTACTACCACAGGGAATGAAAAAAACATAGGGGATACAAAATTCAAAAACTGACAAAAAATGGCTGGGCATGGTGGTGCACACATAATCCTAGCACTTGGAAGACTGAGGCAGGAGGATCACTATGAGTTCAAGGGCACCCTGGGTTACATAGTGAGTTCAGGCCAGCCTGAATTATGTAGACCTTGTCTCAAAAAGACAAAAGAGCAGGGATTTAACTTAGCAGCGTAAGTACCTGCCTGGTAAGCTCAACGTCATGAGCTTGATCCCTGGTACCAAGAAAAAAGAAAAAAAGATAAGAGGACTGGGGGTTTAGCTCAGCGGCACAAGTTCTTGCCTGGCAAATGTGAGGTCCTGAGTTCAATCCCCGGTGGTTATATATATATATATATATATATATATGAGTTGGGTGGCTCTTTCAGACCTGGGTGAAAGCTCTCTGACTTGGCCCCACAATTGAAAGAGTTCTCAGAGCACTAAAATTTATAATGCTTCTCACCACTGTAATTAATTCTGTGTGCAATATTTTAATTAAGTGTTGGTCTTTTGCCCACCTACAATTCCCATGAGAATTGTGCTAAATTGTTCCCGGTTCCTCAGTAACAGCATACTGCTTGATTTGTGGCTTTCAAAATAGGTTATTTATTTTTGCTTTTTTCTTTTTTTCAGCCCCAAAGGGGTGTTATATAAAATAGCAAGAGCAGGGCCTTACTTCTTGATCTGGCTCCCTTTTTTGTTGTTGGTTTTGTTTCATTTTGTTTTGTTTTTGACACAGGGTCTTGCTATCGAATGAGGTTTTGAAATTTCAGCAATCCTGCGGCCTCAGTCTACCAGGTGCTGCGATGAGGAGCATACTCCACCACTCCTAGTGAATGTGGATAGAATTCCCAACCATCTATGATTTTATAGAACAAAGTTTCTGTGAGGAAAGAAAGCATGTGCTTGAGGGAAACCGTGTTTCCTGTGAACTCCACAGCCAACTTTATCTGCTTGGTATTCTGCCCTGGCACAGACAGGAAGAGCAGCTTTTACTACAAGAATAGAGGTCACAGTTGTAGCTCACTCTGAAGATCAAGACATTTACAGTCACAGACAGACTGCATCAAAACTACCAAGATCACGACACAATCAGATATGGCCAGGTGCCCAGGTGGTGGTGACTCTGCCCACACTGCAGAACCAGGGTGACTGGGGACCCCCAGGATAATGTGGGAATGATGCAGTGTCAGGCTCTGGAAACTTACATCTTTCACTTTGCATTCGTTCCTGTCACTGGCACTCAGGAAAGCTAGCTGCCACATGGTGGGGACACTCAAGTAGTCATCCTATAGAGGTGCACAGGTGACAGGGCTTCAGGTGTCCTGGGAGACCCTGGGCCAGGCCATACAGCTAGGCCCAGGTCAACGTGTGACTCTCGAACATTGAGAGCTACCAGAAATGTGTATTGTTCTAAGTTGCTACATGAATTTGGGTTTTAAAATCTTGGTCTCACTATGTAGCCCCGGCTGGCCTCTGACTCCCCTTCCTGCCTCAGCCTCCTTAAGTGCTGGGATGATAGGTGGGCACTGCCAGCCCTGGCTCTACCCAGGATTATGGCACTACATCTTCTATAGCTTGCTATTTATTCTATATCCAAAGAGAAAAGATATGATGTGATATTTGGGGGCTGAGGATATAGGATATAGCTCAGGGTCACAGCCTGGCAAATGCAAGGTCATGAGTTCAATTCCTGGGACCAAAAAAAAAAAAAAAAAAAGAAAGGGGGCTGGGGATTTAGCTCAGTGGCATAAGCGCCTGCCTTGCAAGCAGGCAGTCGTGACTTCAATCCCTGGAACCGATAAAAAGGAAAAACACCAAAAAAAAGCATTTGAAAGACTCTTCCAACAGCCTCATTTATGCTGTTAGAAATAGGTCCTAAGGCCTGGGGATTTAGCTCAGCAGCATAAGCAGGGAGACACAATCGTGAGTTTGATCCCCAGTACAAAAGAAAGAAAGAAAGAAAGAAAGAGGTCCTAGAGCCCAGCCTGGGCAGCTTAGGGACTTGGCGAGACCTTGTCGCAAAATATAAAAATGGAAAGATGTCGCTCAGTGCAAAGGCCCTTATTTCAGAAAAAGAAATAAAAAGTGAGTAGGTCCAGGCCACCTGGGTAGGGGGTGAGAACAAATCTTTTCCTCCCAGGGGAGACAGATAACGAGGGCTCTGGGGCTGGGGGAGGCTGACACAGGTAAGATGGGTCCTCCAAGTGAATGCCAGCAACTAACATCTATCAAGAAGTCACTCTGTGCTTAGGCCGGCTCCTATGCTGTCTGCTAGGTCCCACCATTTGTCACCCCATCCTCCACATTCATGTCCTTGGCAAGGTGAGTAGGTCATAAAGGCTCTACCTACAAGAAAGGCTTTAGTATCCCTATAAAAGAGGCTGTAGTGGTGTGCACCTGTAAATCCCAGCACTGGGGAGGCTAAGGTAGGAGGATCACCATGAGTTGAGGCCAACCTGATCTACATAGTGATGTCCAGACCAGCCTGGGTTACACATAGTGAGACCCTATCTCAAAAAAAAGAAAGCAAAAAGAACAGCAGCATGTGTGGCAGTGCATGCTTATAATCCCAGCATTCGGGAGGCTGAGGCAGGAGGATCACTGTGAGTTTGAGGTCAGGCTGGTGGCATAGTGAGACCCTGTGTCAAAGAAAAATAGAAAGAAAGAAAGAGAAACTGCACTTCCCCTCCTAAAGATCCTAGCTTAGTCATCCAGCACCCCAGCCAGGCCTGGCCCCTTGACCTTGCGGCCATGAGGCTGCTGGAGCTGAAGCTCAGCACAGTGAGGAAATGGATGGAGTGTGTCAGCAATGCAGGTGCTGCTGAGGCTATGCTGGTGGCTTCTGCATCATCACAGTGGAGAGAAGAAGGGGAGGGAAGGGGTAAAAATGGATTAGGCCTTGAGGTTTTTCTTCATTTTCTCTTTGCTTTCTTTCTTTCTTTTTTGCCTTTTTTTTTTTTTTGTCTTTTTGCTTTTTATCGGTACCGGGGATTGAACTCACGACTGCCTGCTTGCAAGGCAGGCGCTTATGCCGCTGAGCTAAATCCCCAGCCCCTTTTTTTGCCTTTTTGAGACAGAGTTTCTGTTATGTAGTTCAGGCTGGCCTTGAGCTCATTATATAGCTCAAGTCGACCTCAAACACCCATTCTCCTGCCTCAGCCTCCAAAGTGCTGGGGTGACAGGCATGAGCACTATGCCCAGCTTCCCTTTGTTTTCTTAATCATTGGCTCTAGATAACACCCAAGTAGTATGTGGTTTCAAATTTTAACCCAACAGAATGTGGGTATTTTTGTTTGCTTTAAAGTTTTTTTTAAGGGCCGAAGGAGGTTTAGCTCAGTGGCATAAGTGCCAGCCTGACAAGCATAAGACAGTGAGTTCAATCCCCAAAAAATAATAAAAAAAATTTTTTTAAATACAGCTTTTTTTTTTTTTTTTAAGAGAGAGTGAGAGAGTCTCACTATGCATAGTTCAACCTCATTTTGACGCACCCTGTAGCTCAAGCTGTCCTCAAACTCACGGCAATCCTGCCTCAGCATCCTGAGAGCAGGGAATACAGGCATGCACCACACACCCTGGCTAATCCAGCAGAATGTAGCCAACTCTGAGCACACCACTAAAATGCAGGACCTGCACAGAGGAAGGTGCTGGAAAAGCCTCAGGGGCTCAAAGCAAACTAAATGGAAGCCACCCAGCTAGGGAGTAATGGGGACCTTCTTCCCTCTGCAGTCTGTCATCATCATGGCCTGTTTTCCTTGTAAAAGAACAATGATCAGTCAGGCCTGACACATAGCAAATCTGTGATCTTGCTACTCAGGAGGCTGAGACAGGAGGGTTGCTAGGTAGCCTCAAAGAAGTGAGTTCAAAGAAGTGAGTTCACGGCCAGCCTGCATTACATAGTGAAACCAACCCTATGTCAAAACAAAGCAAAATTTTAAAAATGACCTTAGAGGAGGGAAAGGATATTCCCTGCAGGGCCCCATTAATCAAAGAAATGCAGCTTAAGTCTTAACTGAGGCAGCTATCACCACTTTTCAATAAACTCTGCCTCTTGTTATTCCAGGGCCACAAAGCCTTCCTAGAAACCCTTTATGGAGGATGGAGGCCAAGTCACCACTGTTTCTCCTGACTTAGGACCAGAACTCCTGGTGCGGCTGCTACCCACCGTGTTCCCTGCCTGAGGTTGCCTGGGCTGCCTGGTTCCAGTGACACAGTTGTCTTTCATCAGTGTCTGCCTCTATAAAACCAGCACCACAGAAAGCCACAGGGACAGAGAAAACTTTCTAGAGGAAAATCAGTGGTCCAGGTCACCAAGAATTCCACCCTCTATCTAAGCCACTTTAAGTTGCGCTTGTTACACTTTCAAAGGAAAAGCCTGACTACTGTAGTTTTGTTTATTTGGTTTTATTTTTGTTTTGGGGACAGGGTGTTTATAACTCAGGCTGGCCTTGAACTTCTGCAGATCCTCCTGCCTCAGCCTCAGGAGTGCAGGGATTACCGGCATGTGCCACCATCCCCAGTTGAGTCTTGGTTCATTCAAATTGGCATCAACGTTTGTCTTGGGGGAAGCTGACTCCAATGACTTTCCTCACCTCGTCCAGGATGTCAGCCAAGAGCTCACTCTCAGTCAGCGGAATCACAGGACTCTCCTTCAGGCCTGGGGAGAGACTGTCCTGAGGGGAAGCCGCCTACCTGTTCACCAGAGGCCAACAGAAATACAGTTCCCAGAACCCCATGGAGCAGAGGCTTTAGACAGATTGGTGTCGCAGGGCATCCTGGGAGATGTGGTTCCACATTGCTCCCTGAATAACTGATAGTGGCTTGCCCCGCCCCTGCCCTCCTCACTCTTACCCTTACCCTTGCGCAAGCACTCGCGGACATGCATGGCCTCAAAATGCATGTTGACCGAATGGGTAAAATTGTAGGTCTTCGAGCTGAGGCACTGTACGAACTTCTTCCGCTCACCATTCACTACCAGCTCCATGGGAGCCCAGGTGGGGCTAACCTGGCAGCAGGATGTAAATAAGTATTCCCTGTGCTATCACCCCCAGGGCGGTTAGGGGTTCCCATCCACAGCACGCAGGGTGATGTGTCAGATGGCCATGGACATCCTCCCAGCAGGAGACGTTTTTTTCGTTTTGGTTTTAGTTGAGACCCGAATCTCACTATGTACTCCAGAGCAGTCTGGAACTTGTGGTCCTTCTGCCTCAGCCTCCTGACTGACGTGTGCCGCCATCCCTGGCTCTGGAGTTTTAAGTCCCTGCCTTCTCCCTGGTTGATGCGGGATTTTCTCCTTAGCAAAACCATTGCCCCACTCAAACCTGGTCATTTCCCTCTGTGTAAACTGCTGCCTGAGGCCATAGGCCTAGAGAGATGGAGCTTATCCTTGTTCATCTCCAGGAATACCCTCTGCCAGATTGGTTATACAAACCACCCAGCACCTTCTTGTCTGCCAGACCTGTTCTTGAGCCCCAGACCTAGAGAGCCTAAAATACCCAAGTCTAGGCTGAAACAGAAACACAGAGGCCCAGCCCAGTTTCCTCTTGGGTCTTGAGGCCAGAGTGGTTGACATCCCACAAACCAGGAAAAGACTCAAATTGTTCTGGTTTTGTTTGTTTGTGGGTTGCTTTTTTTTTTTTTTTTTTTTTTTTTTTTTTTTTTTTTTGATAGGTCTTGCTGTGTAGTCTAAGCTGGCTTCAAACACACTGTGATCCTCCTGTCTCAGCCTCCAAAGTGCTGAGATTACGGGCACGAATTTCCATGCCTGGCATCTTTTGTTTCTTCCTAGAGTGGTAAGAATGGCAGCCAGAACCTGGAGCATGCTGGGAAAGCTCTCTATCACTGAGTGACAATCCCAGCTCAAAAGCAGGATTTTTTTTTTTTTTAAATAAGATTTTTTTCAGGCATTAGATCCAGGGAAGCTGACCTCAGGTAATACCCAGACCCTATCCCAGGAGCAATTCCCCAGGTAACAACACCTCCAAGCATCACTGGTGAGACTTTGTTCTTTTATCATTATTGTTATTTTGAGACAAGGTCTCATTATATAGTCAAGGCTGGCCTTGAACTCACAACAATCCTCCTGCCTCAGCCTCCTGAGTTCTGGGATTATAGGTGTGCATCACCACACTTGCTAAAACTGGCTTCTCAGGCTGGGAAGCATCAGGGTGGCAGAGTGCAGGCTTAGCATTCAGGAGGCCCTGGGTTCCATCTCTAGTGCTACAAAACCAAAGAAAAAGACAATGCTTCCTCTCAGGACCAAGGGTCCTGGGCACACCAGTGGGTTCACTCTTTAGAAGGACCTCGCACATCCTAATTCACTACTTGGCTTGGTTGTTAAGGAAGCTGGCATTCTTAGCAACAGGGTAAAAATAGGCAGGTCACCTTGGCTCCAGGCCTGGTCACCACAGCTGCTCCCACACATTGCCAATGACCACAGTTCCCAGCCTTGGCGCCCGGGGCCCTCACCTCAGCTCTGCCCTTGGTGCCACTCACGGAGGCGGTGTTGCTGAGCTGGCTGCTGATGCTGCAGGTGAAGCTGCCGTGGACGCCACCCGGGTACTGAAGCAGCACGGTGACTGTGTCATCCACGCCTGCGAGGCAGGAGAGTCAGGGTGAGCCTGGGTCTTGGGGACCCATTGCAGTCCTCAAATCCTGCCTCTGTGACTGGGGCCAGGGACTCCACCACTTAGGTGGCCGTGATAAAAATGGAATGTGGCTGGGTACAATGGCCATGCCTGTCATCCCAGCACTCAAGAAGCTGAGGCAGGAGGGGCCCTGTGAGCTCAAGGCCAGCCTGAACTACATAGCAAGACCCTGACTCAAAGAAACAGAAAAGAAAAAAAACCCCACATCCAAAACAGGCAAATCCACACAGCCAAGAAACATGCTGACAGTGGACTGGTGTGGTGGAGGAGAGAATTGGGGAATTCTAGTTGAGGGTTCAGGAGCTTTATTCTTCTGAAATAACAAAAATGTTCTATAATTAATTGTGATATTGACATGCCACTCTGACTATAGTAAAAGTCACTGAGACTGGAGGACACAGCATGTGCCTGTCACCTCAGCACTCTTGAAGACTAAGGCAGGAAGTCTGCAAGTTGAAGCCCAGCCTGGGCACGGGTGTAATTGGTGAGATCCTGCCTAAAACAACCAAAGGGCTGGGCATGAATCTCACTGTGAAGGCCCTAGATGTAATCCCCAGTACCACAGTGAAGGAGAAAGAAAGAAGGATGGGTTGGTCCACAGGCCCAACTTTGAAAGCTGGGCTGGTCACTTTGGCCAGTGGGGCAGGAGCAATTCGATGCAGGTGGAAGATTGGAGAGTACTCATGCCCCGGGACTGGCCTCTCCTGGCTGTGCCTAGATTTCCAACACCACAACATGGACCCAGGCTGGGTAGCAGAGAGCCCAGTGGCGGGACTGCACGGTCCTCAACAGAAGCCACCCACCTCCCATGTTGCCCTGTGGCCCTGTGGGCCAGGCTGGCCCCGCAGCTTGGCATAAGCTCCTCCCAAACAGCCAACCCCTAAGCTCAGAAAGCATTGCCATTTGTTTTCATTTTTTGTTGTTATCTTTTAAAACAATTTTTTTTGCAGTAGTAAAGTTTGGGCCTGGAACCTTAACTCTTAGCTACAACCTTAGGCTTAATTATTTTTATTTATTTATTTAGTGTTTTTGAGACAGGGTCTCGCTATACAGCTCAGCCTGGCCTTAACCTCACTTTGTAACCCAGGTTGCTCTTGAACTCAAAGTGATCCTTCTGCCTCAGACTCCCAAGTGCTGGGATTATAGGGCTGTGCCACCATGCCTGGCTCTTTTTTATTTTTTTTTATTTTATTTTATTTTATTTTTTTGTCTTTTTCCTTTTTATCGGTACCAGGGATTGAACTCATGACTGCCTGCTTGCAAGGCAGGTGCTTATGCCACTGAGCTAAACCCCCAGCCCCTTCTTTTTTATTTTTTTGAGACAGGGTCTCACTGTGTAGTTCAGGCTGCCCTTGAACTGGATCCTCCTGCCTCAGCCTCAGGAGTACTGAGATTGTAGGCGTGTGCCACCATGCTCAACTTTTTGGCTTTTTGAGATAGGGTTTTGCAGTGTATTTCAGTATCTGTTCTGTGTGTGTGTGTGTGTGTGTGTATGTGTTACTGAGAACTGAACCCCTGACATTTGCACTGAGCTGTGCCTCATCCCTTCTCCTCACTTTTTTTTTTTTTTTTTTTTTTAATTTTGAGACAGAGTCTCACTTAGTTGCCTAAGCTGGGCTTTGAATAGAAATTTTTCTGCTTCAGCCTCCTGGAGTGCTGGGTTATAGGTATTCACCACCATGCCAGGGTCAGCCCAGTACATCCGTCTGTGCCTCCACAGTTCTTTCAACAACTCCTGCGCTGACTCCATCCCAGAACACAGGCAGCCTGTGTTCCTGGTGCCCTGGCTTCCCACTGGTAGATACCGCAGCTGCCTAGCCTGAGTCCTGTCCCAGTTTGGGCCTGGGGACAGCTCCTTCCTCTGCCACCATGCAGGTCCGTGCCATCGCACCTGTCTCATGGATCCTTCCCACAGCCAAAATCTTCTCTGGCCTCTGCCCGCCGAAGACCATGGAGATGAACTGGACACAGTAGATGCCAACGTCCAGCAGCGCCCCGCCGGCCTGTGCCCAGTCTGTGCTCCGGGCCAGGGACAATTTTAACCCCATCTCTGCCCGAGCCATCCGAACGTCCCCCACTGTTCCCTGACCCAAAACCGACTTCAGTTCCTCTGTGGCAGGAAAACAGCGGGTCCAGATGCCCTGTAGAACAGTGGGAGAGGGCAGGGGGGTCAGCATCAGGAGTTCCCCTCCTGGGTCCCAGGTTTGTAGGGCCACCCACTGCTGCCCAGCTCCAAAGCAGGTCCCCTTCCAGTCTCACCCCTGTAGTCCTTCCTGACCCCACTCTTCCTCACAGGACCATTGCCCTGATCTCCGTGGTAAACTAGGGGCCCCTCCCCATAAGGATGTTGAAGTCTTAACTCCTGCGACCTTGAATGGTAATTATATTAGGAGGCAGGACGGGGTTTTTGTTGTGTGTGTGTGTGTGTGTGTTTTCTTTCAATGAGAATCTCTCTATATTTCTCTGGCTGTCTCAAATTCTTGGGCTCATGAAATCTTCCTGCCTCAGCCTCCTGAGTAGTAGGGATTATAGGCAGACATCTTTACACTGATATGAATATTTTCTTTCTTTGCTTTCTTTTTTTTGAGACAGGGTCTTTCTATGTAGTCCAGGCTGGTGTTGAACTTACTATGTAGCCTAGTTTGGGCTCAAACTCATGACAATTCTCCTGTCTCAGCTGCCTTTCTAGTACTCGCATTATAGGCCTATGCCACTGCACCTAGCTATACAAGTAATTTTGTTTACTTTGGTTTTGTTCTGTTTGGAGTACTAGGGATTAAACCCAAGGTCTCCTTCACATTCCCTGTGTTCCCAACATAGAAATAGGGTTTTCAAAGAGGTAAGTATATTAGCATGAAGTTATTCCACATGACTTGTGATTGGAGAGGAAATTAAACTGGGTGTGTTAGTGCAGGCCTGTAATCCCAGCACTCTGCAAACTGAGGCAGGAAGTTTACAAATTCAAACCAAGCCTGGGCAATTTAGCATTTAGGAAGACCTTGCCTCAGAAAGAAAAAGTGGGTTGGGAATACAGCTCAGTGTTACAGCCCTGGGTTTAATTCTCAACACCAAAAAAGAAAGAAATGAAGACACAAACTCAGCCAGCCAGCCCCAGCCCTGCCTACACCTTGATCTCACAATTTTAGCCACTGGGATTGAGAAGAAAGTAAGTTGCTTTTATTTATTTACACTTTTTTTTGGAGACAGGTCTTGCTACATACCAACAGGCCTTGAACTCACAGTGATCTTTGTGCCTCAGCCTTCCCAGGGCCAGAACTGTAAGCTATGGTCCTGCATGTCTGACTGCACTGCTGTTATTTATTTCTTTTTTTTTTTTTTTTTGTCTTTTTTCTGGTACCAGGGATCGAACTCACGACTGCCTGCTTGCAAGGCAGGTGCTTATGCCACTGAGCTAAATCCCCAGCCCCTTGCACTGCTGTTATTTAAACCACCTAGTCCATGGCACTTCATAGTGACTGCCCTAGCAAGTTAACACACACAGCCTCTTCCTTGCTGTCTGCCCTTCCTATCTATGCCCCAGAGAAATCGTTTCCTGAGAGTTGTCTCAGCCCTGCTCAGTACTTTTATGGCTCCACTCTAACAGCAGCTCCCAGCTAGTGGGCATATTTACCAGGCAAGTTGTTGCATCCACACCCTATGCTAGGGACCATCCCTAAATTGCTAGCAGGTGGCTGCCCTTTGTCCATTTTACTGAGCAGAAATTGAGCCCCATTACTCACTGAGATCACACAGCGTGTAGGCAAAATTGGTTTCTGGAATCCTCTGACTCTGAAGCCAGAAATCTTAACCTGAGTGAGGTGAAGTTCATACTAAACACAGAAAACCTGCCCTTTCCCGTTGTAAGCTGTAGTGCTGCTTTTTCTTGCTGCCTCCATTTACCCATGAAATTTCCTTCTCCTTTAAGGCTCAGGACGGCCCCTGCCTGCATCCTTGCCTGAGCCAGACAGGATTAGGGCCTCTGTGCTCTGGCCACTGCCCAAGACTGGGGATGGGGCAGACAGGAGCGGAGGGAGGTAAAAAGGATCCTGATGCCATATGTGTATGTGCCACTACCCATGATGAATATATTCATCACGTATTGGAAATGTACTATTAAAAAAAAAAAACTGACCAGGACTATGTCTACTGAAGTGCCTGAAACTGGGTGTTAAAGCGTTGAACTCCTCAAAAACTGCGATTGCATCATATACAGTATAAAGTTCCCTCTTTCTAGTATAGGAGCAGAAACAGGAGCCACCAATGTAAAGGAGGAAGTAATAAACTTATGCAATGTTGACACAGCAAGACCCAGTGAGAAGGCATACAGCAGTCACATTAAATCTGGACCATCCACCTCTTGGACATGTGGAACTTGGCTGACTGTCCTGGGGATGCAAAACTAGAAAGGTCACAGGGAAAGCACACGGTAGCCACAGCATGGTGTTTAGGAGCCATAATACTCCTTGGCATGGAAATGGTTAATGGATGCCAATTGGTGGCCATCTTAACTACTGGCACAGTCCATTGCCATCTGGTCACCATCTTCTCACTTTTTTAAAATTTTTTTATCGGTACCAGGGATCGAACTCACGACCGTCTGCTTGTAAGGCAGGTGCTTATGTCGCTAAATCCCCAGCCCATCTGGTCACCATCTTAAATACTGGAATTCCAGGAACCCTTTGGCTAGAAAAGCCTAAGGACAAAGCAAAGGCTGGTTGATATTGAGAGTTGGAAGTGGGTTCCTTAGTCCTTCTGATCTTGACCCTTGGAAAGTGAGCGGAACTAAATCCATTCTGAATGGCAGAAAACAGATCCACATAACCAAGCCAGCCCTACCATGTTTGCTGAGGACCAAATGCAATGGCTTCCACGGTGACTGTGTTACAAGGGTGACCCTTCATAAGCCTACTGGCTTCATTTGATCCTAGCTGATTTTAAAGAAAAAAAGCACTAATTTGATTGAGTGAGGCACTGAGGCAGAAGAATCACTGTGAGTTCAAGTCCTGCTTGGGCTCCATAGTGAGTTCAAGGCCACTCTTAACTGAATAATGAGACCCTGTCTCAAAAAAGAAACAAAAAATTATTACTGATTTTGGAAGTCGCACAGCTGGAAGATACATTAATCTCTTTAGCTTTCGATGTGGTGACACTACTCTACACAATGGGTTAAACACTTCTCCAGGGAATGTGACTCCTCTGTCCTCTGGGAAATAGTTGCTTTTCTTTATCTTTCTTGGCCTTCCAGGGAAAAGTTGCCTTTTGCTATCTTCCCCCATTCTCAGGGGAAATGTTATCTTTTGTATCCAAATATGCTACAGAATTAGCTATTTTTCAGAAAAAAACTGAAAAGAGGAACTATGTGACTTTCCACTCAATTTCTCTTTTCCTTCCTTCTTGTGCCTTTTCTTTCTTTCTTTCTTTCTTTGGTACCGGGGATCCAACTCAAGACCTCACACTTGCCAGGCAGGTGCTTGTGCTGCTAAGCTACATCCCCGATTTTCTTTTACTCTTTCTTTCTTCCTTGGGCTGGGGATTGACCAGGCGCACTCTACCACAGAGCTACATCCATTCCCATTCTTTTTAAAAATTTAAGAGAGGGTCTTGGTAAATTGCTCAGGCAGGGCTTAATCCCACATTTTATCCTCAGAGCCATAAACACTAATCCGGAAGTTTCTTTAGATTTATAGGACCCAGATCATCCAGTTACCTACAGAAAACAGCAGACCCCATAATCTGTAACTATTCTGGGATTTGGAACTAGCTTGGTGCCCACCTATCTGACCCACTTCCATAAAACTTTCTAGATAATCTTGGCGTCTGCAACCCCTGAGCAAGATCGTCTTAGTTGGTGTCAGTCCTCATCTTTGATTTTTTAGATTTTCAAATCACTCTTTCTCCTTGCCTCAACACCATGTCCTTAAGTCACTGCCTGTTAGAATGGCAAGCAATGAACTTTGTTTTCCCTGCTCTTAACGGGTGTCCCCAGTACATGCTTGTGGCCATCTTGACTGTGGGCAGACGCGTTGGTTCTGCACAAGTCCAAGGGCGGCCGTGTGTGGTACTGGCAAACCCTGCTATGCTGATTGTTGGAGGAATCCCTCCTCCCTCACCTCCATAAGGAAGAGACCACGCGATCGTGCCTCTGCCACCATCTCTCGAACTTCTGCGGCATTCACGCCCATGGGTTTCTCACATAGAACAGCCTTGCCCGCCGCCAGACACATAAGCACCGCAGCCTTGTGCTGAGGGTGCTGGGTGCCAATGTAGGCTACCTCTAAGGTTGAGGAAGGAATTCAAGACGTCAGCAGTCAGGTGACACCAGACCTGTGGGACCCGCCACCCCCCCTCACCCTTCCCCGTGGGCAAAATGCTCATACCCTAGGTTCCCATCAGGAAGGAATTAAACAATTGCTGTCACCTTTAAACATTCTTTTTTTTTTGAGACAGGGTCTCTTCTATGCATTTCAGGCTGGCCTTGAGCTCACTTTGAAGCCCAGGCTGGTCTCAAACTCGCACAATCCTCCTACCTCAGCCTCCGGAGTGCTGAGTGCTGGGATTACAGGCATGAGCCACCACACCCAGCTCGCCACGTTTTTTTAAAATGAACTTTCACTTGGCACTATGAGTCATGATTTCCCCGTTTTCTGCTAAGATCCCCACTACTTCCCCGAAGATGGCAAGGACCCGAAGAGAGGGGGAGGGGTCATTACAGGATCCCCAAAACCTACTTCCTTCAACCTCCCCCGCCCTTCGGCCCGGCTGGACACAACACGCCGGGTGGTCTTGAACTGGGTTCAAGTCACCCTCCTGCCTCAGCCTAGAGAATAGCTGTTACTGTGCGCTGTACTGAACTATGGCTCCTGGCTCACTGGGATTTTTTTTTTTTTTTTTTTTTTGGTACTCATGACTTCACACTTGCCAGGCAGGCACTTACACTGCGAAACCAAATCCCCAGCCAACAGGGGTTATTTAAACCTTCACCACAGTGCTTTGCTAGGACAGCACATATAGTAAAGTTAAACCTTCGCCAGATTCCACATTCCTTTGCTTCTTTGGAAATGTAAACTGGGTTCCTCGCCCAGTGGGCTGACTCCAGGGTGCTATTCAACACCACAATAGGCCAAACCCTTCCTGTAGCCCCGCCTCCAGCCGGAGGGGCGAGCCAGCACCCCAGCCACCCTCGCCACTCACCCACGTCCGGGTCCTGGGCTAGCTCCTCATAGGAGCCATAGGCCCTGGGGACGCAGTGTTTCCGTGCAAACTCCTGCGCCCGGCTCAGCTCGCGGGCTGCTATCGCCACCACCTGGAAGACGCTGGGATCAGACTCTAGGGGTTGGGGCCAGTGGGCGGGCAAGTGGATGGGCGGCAGGGCTGAAGGGGTTGCGGGGATAGGGAGAGAAGCATCCTGGGGCCAGGAGGAGCAGACGGTCGTAGGGAGATGGTGAGCGGGGCTGGGCGCTGGCCGCTGGGGTCTCGGGAAACAACTCAGGAAAACGGCGATCAACCCCCCTACTGTCGGCATAGTACCTTCTGGTCTCAGTACCTGGGATAAGATTTAGGAAAACCTCCAGGGCTCGGGTGATAGGACCGAGGTGGTGGAGAAAAGGTGGGAGTAGGAAAGCAGCCGTCGCCAGCGCCCGAGAATTAAGTCCCGGATCCCCCTCTCTGCCCACGCTACATCCCAGTGCGTCTTTTCACCTTCTCTTCTCGTAGGGGACCAGACCTGGTGGTCGGAGCTGGGCAGCGAATTCAGCACAGTCGTAAAGTCGTTGGAGATAAGGCCAGCAGACACGATGCCCCAGCGGAGCGGCATCTTCAAAACTCCAAGCCTCGATACTTTGGGAAAGAGTGCTCGCTTGGATAGAGATTTACACTAAAACCAAAATTTAAATGACAGGGTCTCGCAGCGGTGACCCCACCCCGTCGTGGCGCCCTCCGTCCCGCCCCCCAGCACCCGATGCCGCTTTTCATTGGCTTCCAGTCCCCAAGCATCGGCGCGGTCCTTCAATTCTAGCGTCCTATTGGAAGAGCGCAATTTAGCTCCGCCTTCCGGAGTTTCTTTCAATGTCCCTACACCCCCACCCCCATCCGCCCACCTCATCCTCCAATCCGTGTCAACCTGTCCTACCCTATCCTCGCTTCCAAGGCCACAATCTGTTCTTTGGACTACATTATGGCCTTATCTCGCCTTATCTCGGGGTTTACTGCTGACGCAGCACCCTTCTTAGTCATCCAGGAGAGCAAAGAGAAGTAATATCAAAAATCGTTATTACTAATACGCACAAAGCGCTTACTGTAGCCTGGGCCACCATCTTGTAAGTGGCCTTATGCTAATTTTCCCCCCCGCACAACAGGGGAGTTCCAAAATCAAACACCACACATTCTCCCTCCCGTGTGCTTGTTTTTTCTTTTTTCGGGACCAGGAATCCAATTTAGGGCATCATGCTTGCTAGACAGGTGCTTCGCTGCTGAGCTACCACCCTGCCCTCTCCTGAGTTTTTATCCCAGAAGAAAAAGAAAAGCATTTGTACATAGGCTTGTCCCTGAATACTCACAGAAGTATATATTGTAAAAGCTCAAGCCTAGGTATGTTTTGGTAGAGAGCTCAGAATCAAAATGGAGTTATTTTGGTTTTGGTGAGACTGTAGAGACAGATTAAAAGGACATTAAAACAAAAAACAGGCCAGGCGTACTGTGCACTCCTGTAACCCCAGCATTTGGGAGACTGAGGCAGTGATTGTTGCAAATTCAAGATCAGCATGGGTGACAAAATGAGCTCAAGTCCAGCCTGAACTGCATAGCAAGTCCCTGTCTCAAAAAGACAAAAACAAACACAAAAACCCCAAAACAAACCCAGGCCATGGGCCAGGAATATAGCCCAGTAATAATTTGCGCAGCATGCCAAAGGTTCAATCCCAAACTCCACAGAAATAATAGGTTTTTTTAAAAATAAAATTTTGGGGCTGGGGATTTAGCTCAGCGGCATAAGTGCCTTCCTTGCAAGCAGGCAGTCATGAGTTCAATCCCCGGGACCGGAAAATACGAAAAAGACAAAAATAAATAAAAAATAAAATTTTAAAAAATACCAGGGTGAAACGGAGGGGGAACACTGAGATCATCACATGCTTATCTGCAGCTGATCAGCACTCACTGATCTTTGTAGTGTGCAGTTGAGAAAACTTTTCCTACTGTATTCTTATGACAGCATTACATTTACTGTATTCCGACCAGGCCTCCTTCACAGAGACAGGAGGATCACAAGTTTGAGGCCCTCCTGAGCTACATGGCGAGCTCAAGGTCAGCCTGGCCTACCTAGCAAGACCTTTTTTTTTTTTGCAAGATCTTGACTTTAAAAAAAAAAAAGTATTGAGACAGTCATATTTAACTTGCCAGACTTGTATCCCAGGCTGGTCAGATGGCCTTATGTACCCCAGGTTTACTCTAAACTTGCAATCTGTCTGCTTCAAGTCACCAGAGTGCTAGAATGACATGCCCATGCCAGTGGACCCTGTCCTGGTGTGCTGTTTATTTTTACTATGCTGAGGCCTCCCACATACTTAATGACAATGTCAACAGCCTGTTTTATGCACACTTGTAACTACAGCATTCAAGAGGCTGAGGCAGGAGGATCATTGGGAGTTTGAGGCCAGCCCGAACTACACAGTAAGACCTTGTCTTAAGAAACAAAGCAACAAACTTTAAATATAATTTTAGGGCTGGGTGTAGCTGAGTTGGAGGAGTTATATGACACACTCAAGGCCATGAATTCCATTCCCAGCCTCAAAACCAAACCAAACCCAGAATTTCATCTAACAAAATATCTTTTTTTTTTTCTTAATGGGTACCGGGGATCAAACTCAGGACTGTGCGCTTGCAAGGCAGGTGCTTATACTGCTGAGCTAAATCCCCAGGCTAACTCTTCATCAGACCTCAAATGACCCAAGTGTCCCCATCCCAAGTGAGGCTCACCACCGCTAAGTGCCACCTTGGGGGGGGGGCGGGGCGTCCATGGGTATCACAACATGCTTTGTGGCCATGGCCTCTGAAAGGAGCTACACAGAAACAAAACCTTGGAGGTGGATATCTTGCTTACAATGCTCAGGGTAGGATGGGGCTTATTCCTCGGCTTGATGTTTAGTGTGGATAAGGGTGACATCTGGGGCAACTGCAGCCACTTTGGAACCGTGAAAGGAGTACTACACAAATACCTACCACAGCACAGATAGATGGGAAAAGCAGTTTCCCTAACCACCTCGAAGCCATCACACGTTGGGAATTGCTTGGGGAAATAGTACATTAAAAAAAATTGTTTCAACTTAGGTCAGTTGTGGTGGTTATGTGTCCATAATCCCAGCCCTTGGGAGACTGAGGCAGGAAGATTAGCATGCCTTTTGAGGCCAGCCTGGACTATGAAGTGAGTTGAAGGCCAGCCTGAACTACACAGTGAGACCCTGTCTCGAAAAATACCATCGACAACAAAGGTGTAAGTTGTCTAAGCTTGGATTTGATCTTTTGTCCTTGTGGCTAAAAGGCTCCCATGTAAGCTTCTTGTAGGTGATATCTGAACTGAATGTAACACAATGACCACCCTAGCAAGTGACATGCAGACAGGATGTGAGGGGACAGCACATAAACAGGACACGGGAGCATGAGATCTCTTCCCCCAAAGTGTATTTGGATGGAACTGGAAAGCAGAGCGAGCACACAGCAGGGCAAGCGGAGGTCAGCACAGTGGCTGGGGCCGACATCAGGGCTTTTGCCCTGGCCAGAGTGGGGAAGAGGCTGGCGATGAGGTGGCCCCGAGTTGGCCAGAAGCCAGGTCCAGGGACAGCCCTGCCCAGTCACAAGGACCTTGACTTTAGCATCTGTAGAGGAGATACAGCAGCACTGCTGGCCCAGAGAAAGCAGCACAAGATCCTGAGGACCCAACCCAGCTCCCCCCACACCACCAGGAGCTGGCCCCAAGCAGCAGGTGCAACTCCGCTCCTGGGCCATAAGGCGGCCAAAGGACCCGGCTTCGGTCAGGCTATGAGGGAGGGGACAGGCACTCCATAGGGACGGAGATAGGACCATGGCTCGGAGCTGTGGCCCCTATGCCAGGAAGAGAAGGGCAAACACGGGTCTGAGTAGTCATGTGTGGCTGTCACTGAGTCTCCTTCTCGAGGCCGCTCATGTGGCCACCCAGGGAAGGATTTGGAAGGCGGGGTGCTGAGGTTCAGAGGTGCAGGGAATCTGGCTGAGGTGCGGCAAGAAGCTGTTCTGGAGCCTTCTTTTCAGCAGCTGGCACATCCTTTTGGTCACCTGCTGGAGCTGGGACAGGAACATCATCTGGAAGTGACAGGAAACAGTGAGGGACACGACTAAGTTCCCGACACCCAAGCACCTAAGAGTCATGGTCCCAGCCCTCCTCCCTCTGACCTGGGCTCCCGGCCAAGGTGGCACCTGTATCTGGGTGGAACTTGAGCTGTCCCTCAGGGTTGGCAGGGGGTAGATTTTGGTTCTGCTGCTGCTGCTGCTGCTTCCTCTGCTCCATTTGTAGAACGGCCTGCCAGGGTAGGTGACACAGAAGAGGCTGTGTGACACTGCAATTCCTAAATGCTCCAGCCTCAGTCCCTAATCTGAGACCCTGCAGCCACCTGTCCAGTGACTTCAGTAGAGTCCCTTCTTTGTGCGCTTAATCTTAGTTAAGCCCAGCTCTCTGTCATCATGGCTGTGTCCCACCTGGGGACAGCAAAGCCCTCAATGACCCCTTCTGCCTTCTACTCACAGTTTTGCACATGGCAGCTGCACCATTGGGGACAGGGACACAGCTAACCTCACTCAAGCTAGCCATGACCACTTTGAGCATCTACCAGCCTCTGGGGACCCCAGACATGGACAGGGGCCGAACTTCCCACCATCACCTGCTGCAGCTCTCGCCTCTGGGCCACCAGCTGGTCCTGTGACCGCCCGAGGGCCTCAGTCTCCTGACTAAGGCGCTGGGCCTGGGCCTTCAGTTCAGCTTCACGGGCAGCCAGCTCCTCCTCAAAGATCCTCAGCTCCTCCTCCGTAAACGCGGGGTGCATTTCCACAGTCTGCGGGCGGGAAAAATGTGAGCCTCAGCCTCTATGGTGCAGAGGGGCTGCCAAGGGTCCTAGCAGAGGCTATGAGGCCTGGCGGGAGATGGGATATAGGGTAAAGGGGGACACAACGGGGAACAGAGGCTCAGGGCCAGGGCCAGAGACCTCAGATGGAGGACAGTCAGAAAGCATCACAGAAACTGGAGATAAGGATAGAAAGACCAAGATGGGTACAGGTCAGGTACAGAAGCCTGGGAGGATGGCACAGAGGCCTATGAGTTGACAGAGACCCTGAGAGGTCACGATTAGAGCTGAGCCGAAACCCCATAGTGACCATGTCTTCACCTCCCAGCCCTCCCCAGTGTCCCCGAACTCCTTCTGCTGGGTGGATGCTAGGAATTCCTCCAGGGTCACAAGGCGGTCATGGTTGGTGTCCACCTGGGGAAACAGATCCAAGTAAGGACAGAGCTGGGACTTGCACCCCCACACAGCTGCCCTGTCCCTCGGCTCACATTCTTCATCACGTGCTCCCGCATGCGCAGTCGCTCCTCCTCCATTTCCCGCATGTCGTCCTCCTCATTCTTCGGGTCGTACACCTTCTCTAGCTGCAGAGCCAAAAGAGAAGTGGGAGGCATCCAGTGGTCCTGGGGCAAAGGCACCCTCCCCCATACCAGGTGACTTCAACTTCCAGCAGGCCCTGGGCTGCACTGCCACACCTCACATCTTCTTTCTGCCCTGGGGGGCTGCTGGGAATTGTAGTTTTTCCTCAGATTCATCTTGGGGGCACGTGTGGCATTCTGAGTGTCTCCACTCCCACTGTAGTATATGACAGTGGTGGTACAGAGAGTGAAACATACTTGGAGAAGAGTTAGCTCAATCAAGAGGGCCACATCAAGGGGCTATGTCAGTCAAGGATACCAGGCCTTAGCTAAGGAGACATCCAGGAAAAGCACAGAGGCCAAGAACTGCCAGGCTTTCAGGACTGTGTCCAGGGTAGGCAGTTTCCTCGGGAAAACCATGTGACAATGACAAGACACAATAGGCTTCTGTAATCTAAGCTGGGTTTTTTTCCTGATTTTTTTGGTACTGGGGATCGAACTCATAACCTTGAACTTGCCAGGCAGGCACTTATGCCTCTGAGCTACATCCCCGGCCCTGTAATCTTCCTGTCTTACCGTTTACCCCGCACAAAAGCCTGGGTGCTTTTGCCCCGCAGTTTACCCACTGCCTCCTCAATCAAGTTCCCCAGGCACCCCGCAACCCTCACCTCCTTGGTGAAGAGGGCCTCCAGCTCCTGCTCATCCAGGACCCCATCGCTGTTGATATCTGAGAGTGGAGACAAGGTATTAGCAGGGGACTGAGGACACAGTGGATCTGGCCCCAGGGGATAACTGGGAAAGGGCTATCGGGCTGCGGTAGGGTACCTTACCAGAGGACAGTCACTCCCTTGTGACCAGCGCCCTGACAATGGATTAGACAAGGCCTGGCTTACAGGCACACGGGACTCATCTCTAGCACCTGGTGTCTGAAGTCTTCCCCCACTAAAACTGGTCTACTGGGGCTGGGGATTTAGCTCAGTGGTAGAAGCACCTGCCTTGCAAGCAGGCAGTTGTGAGTTCAATCCCTGGTACCGATAAAAAAGAAAAAGACAAAAAAAAAAAAAACCTGGTTTATTGTGACTCAGGCTGCCAGGGCAGCTGTCACAGCCTCAGGCCTCACTCCCGTGCCCACACACGATGCTGAGCTTCCTTCCACAGAGGATGCTGGGAAGCCTGCTCTTGCAGACACAATGGTTATCTTTCAGCCTGCCTTTGACTAGACGCCAGCATATCCTGTGCTCTCTGGCTGCCCCTCCCGAGCTCTTGGAGTCTGGAGCAGCCAGGGCCTCTTTTCTACCACCCTTGCAGCTGTGCCATCCCAGGTGGGAGCCACTGGGCACTCGGGCAGTGGAGTTCACACTGGTTAAGATTAAGTAAGATTTAGCCAGGTGTGGTGATGCACACCTGTAATCCTAGCACTCGGGAGACTGAGGCAGGAGGATCATTGTGAATTTTGAGACCAGCCTGGGCTACAAAGTGAGCTCATGGCTAGATTGAACTGCATAGTGAGACTCGGTTTCAAAAAACAAAAAGATTAACTAAGATCTAGGGGCCGGGACATGGCTCAGGGGTAAAGCACTTGTCTAGTCCAGGAAAGACTATGATTTTGATTCCCAGAATGGGAAAAAATATAGGCTTAAAGTTCAATTTATTCATCCCACTTGTGACACAGCAAGAGACAACAGCTATAGGTGGTTGGCAGCTGCCAAAATAGTTTATATTTCAGAAGACTTCTGTACCATCAGAAGAATCTACACATGAGTACTGTCTACATGGAGGTGGAACAGGTGTTGACATTTAGGTTTTGGTGTTTTTTTTTTGAAACAAAAACCATACAGTTCAGACAGGCCTTGAGCTCACTTTGCAGCCCAGGCTGGCCCCCGGCTTGCAACAATCTTCTTGCCTCAGTTTCACGAATGCTGGGATTATAGCATGCGTCACTGCGCCTGGCTACTGTCATTTAGTTTTACCTAATTGATTAATCCCATTAATGTTTGGTGGTATTAGGGATTGAACCCAGGGCTGTGGCACTGAACTACATCCCCTTCCCCTTTTTAAAAAAATTTGTTTCATCTATTTGTTTTTTGAGACAGGGTCTTACTGTGTAGTTCAGGCTGGCCTCAAAACTCTCAGTGAGCCCCTGCCTCAATCTCCTGAGGGCTGGGATTACAGACCTTCACCACCACACCTAGCACAGACATCTCTAATTTAATATCTTATCTTTCCTGCTGCTGGGGCCAAACAGAGTTCCTTTCATAACTTTTGTGTTGCCATCTTCTGTGTTTAACCAACTTGGCCTCCAGGCTGACTCTAGAGTCTGACCATGTCTCTCTCCCTCTAAAAGGCTGAGGCAGAAGGATTGCAACTTTGAGCATAGCCTGGGCAATTTTATTATTGTTTTGTACCAGGGATCAAACTCACCACCTGGTGCTTGCCAGGCAGGCACTATGCCACTGCGCTAAATCCCCGGCCTGGGCAACTTTATTGTCTCAAAATAAAAAAGTAAGACTGGGAATATAGCTCTGGGAGAAAGGCCTGGTTTCAATTCCCAGCATCAACCACAAAATCACCGAGACAGAAAGCAGAATGTTGGATGCCAAGGGCTGGGAGGAAGGAGAAATGGGGAGTCGCTGGAAGGGTCTAGAGTTTTAGTTTGGCTTGACGAAAAGACTTCTAGGAATCGGCTGCATAACGATGTAAATGTGCTTAACTTTACTGAAATGCACTCTCGCTTTGTTTTTGTTTGCTGTTTGTTTCACTTTGAGTCAGGCTCTTGCTATGTAGTTCAGTATGGGGGACGCTGTGGTCTCAAAGCTTGGTTCTGTCTGAGTGCACATAAGGATGTGAACCTACTGTCTAGTGCAGGAGCCAAACGTCATGAGTTTACGCAACCTCGGCTTCGCTGAAGCAAACCAGGCATGTGCCAGTGAGGCCCCACAGAGAAGAATGTAAACAGGCAATGACAGCATATATTCTTAAGGAGTAAACAATACAGACGCAGCTGTTTTTTCTGCTGCCTGCCTGCCTTCTGAGCTGATGCCTACCCTGTGTGCCTCCTCTTCCCTGGGGATCTCACCTGCAGAAGTTCCTCCCCTGTAGAAGTACTGTTGTAGGTGGTGGGATGGTTAGGTGTGTCCCATCCCTGCTGGCCGGGAAGCCAACACACAGGCCTCTCCCCTGGCCTCTCCTTGGTTATCTGTAGCCCCCTTTTCAGGGGCTTAGAAGGCTCTGGAGGACTAGAACTTGGTCTCTCTGGAGCCCAGGGATGCTCTGAAAGCCTCAGAAGTGACAGACACGCAGAACCCTCCTTCCCAGCGTGAGTCTTTACCCTTTTACCACAAGGGGCAAGAAGGTCAGCTGAAGCAGAGGACTTGAAAGGACCTGGAGCAAGGAGTAGAGACGCACAATAGGCCTCCTCCTGCAGCATTTCATGAATCTAAGTCCCCACCTCCAGGGGGACTCCTGGGAGAGTCCCCTGCTTTTGCATGCAAGGTCTGCTCTGTACCAGAAGATGGAGGTGGAGGGACCCCTAGCCCTAGGAGGAGAGTCAGGAGGCCTGCTGGTCTCTACCCAACACACGATGTACATGATGCGCAAAAACAGCAGTGTAACCAGCACCTCCTCCACCCGCTGCTAACCAGACTTTGATAAACTGGTTGAAGGTAGCAACTAGCAAAAGCAGACAACCTACTTGGGCTTAGCGTCTGTGCAGACGGAAATGGGCATGCCCCGAATGAGGTCTGCTCTGCAGTAATGCAGCGCTCACGAGGAGCTGCTTACAGAATGCTCGAGGGACACGACCTTGGCACATGGGCTGGCTGGCACGTTTGGGCCAGGTATGGCCTTTTTAGCCCCTTTCACAGATCGCCCAATCCACAAGAAACCTTAGGCCATCTAGGAGATGTAAAAGTAAAGCACTATGAGAGCTGTACACAGACTCTAATGCCAAAGAAAAGAAAGCAGGTGGCCCCTGGCCAGTGGGGCCACTGAAGATGAGCTGCACCCCGAGCAGCAACATTGGCCCAAGGTCCAAAGATGAAAACAGCCCAAGAAAACAAAAGAAAGTGACCCTGACCTTCTTCTTCTTTTACCTGGACTAGGATATAGGCCGAGGCACCCAGTTAGTGGGGATCTTGGGGGACCAGAGCCTACACTCAGAAATGACTACCTAGCCCGGCGTGGTGGTGCATGCCTGTAATCCCAGTACTTGGGAGGCTGAAGCAGGAGGATCATTGTGAATCTGAGACCACCCTGGGCTACAAAGTGAGCTCAAGGCCAGCCTGAACTGCATAGTGAGACTCTGTTTAAAAAAAAAAAAAAAATGACTAATTATTGGCCCCCAAAAAACATACAGCATGTTTTTAGCATTAATGGATACTGCAGTCAGTGCTAACTGATGACGACTTCACCTTAGAACCTGCAGACCCGCGGCATAAGTGCCTGCCTTGCAAGCAGGCCGTCATGAGTTCGATCCCCGGTACCAATAAAAAGGAAAAAGACAAAAAAAAAAAAAAAAAAAAAAAAGAACCTGCAGACCCATGACAGGGTGTATTCGGGCTTGCTGGGTTTCTGATGAATGTTTACACTGCACCTAGGTACCCTGCTGTGCCCCTTACACCAGACGACCAGAGGGCACAACATAGGGCTGGACACAGCAGAAGCTGCTTTTTTGTGGGGGAGAGTCATGCAGGTACAAGCCCTCTGGGTAGCTGACCCTACCCTCCCTTTACCATAACTGGGCACAGATGACAATGTGTTTGGCTCGGGCCTTTGGGATGAAGGGAAGCCGAAGTGCCCTAGTGGATTTTGGTCAGTTATGGAAAAGGGCCAAAAGCCGGTGCTCCCCGATTGAGAAGTAGCAGCGGTATATGCCGCTCTGCATACCTGTGAGGGGGTCACGGGCAGCTGACAGTGGAAGTGCAGGCCAAATACTGCATAGGGGGCTGGCTCTGTATAAGAATGTACCGTCCTATGAGTGGTGTGGCCTGGCCCTCCTTCACATGCCAGGGGACGTATGTGCCAAGCACACTGCATTCTCCAACAGCCCGTTGTCAGCTGTTTTGGCAATACAGGACCTAAGGTGTACTCAGCATAGGAGACACTGCAGGAGGACAGACTTAGTCCCTCTGCAGAGGCAAGAGGGACCTTGGGCTGACGCCTGGTACACCGATGGGTCCAGCCATGGTGCAGCCCTGCAATGGACAGCAGTAACTGTCCTGTCTACTACAGAAGCCTTCTGGTTTGAAATTGGGAACAGGTAGGTTGAGGCAGTGGGCAGAGTGGTGAGCAGCATGGCTCCTGGCATGGAGAAGGCCCCTACAAGCATGCGCAGATAGCTGGGCTGCACTTTGAGGACTGACGCTCTGATTATGAGCTCAGACAGACCAGGACTGGCAGGGAGGGCACTAAGCCTTATGGGGTACTAACTTATGGGAGAAGGCCACATAACTAACCAGGTAACGTATCATGCACACTGCAGGACGTCAAACCCCCTCTCCCTGGGGAATGACTTAGCAGATGACTTCTTTTCTCCAAGGCTCTTACCTGCACAAGTACCTCTCCAGCCTGCAGCCATGACATTCAGGCTGGCCTCAAACTCATAGCGATCCTCCTGCCTCAGCCTCCCCCGTACTAAGATTACAGGCAGGCACCACCATGCCTGGTTTGAACTGTACATTTAGAAATAATTACTGTGGTAAATTTCCATGATCTAATTTTTTGTAAATATTTATTTTGGTATCAGAAATTGAACTCAGGATGTCCTGCTTGCCAGGAAAGCACCATGCCACTGAGCTGTATCACCCACCCATGGTATGGTACAGCACCCCTATAATCCTAGCACTCCTGGGCTATAGTGAGACTGTGTCCCAAAAAACCCCTGAATTAATAAATAGGATTTCATTTATCACAACTATAAGTGAAAGAAAATGCAGTTCCTCAAAAAAAAAAAAAAAAAAAAAATTCAGTCCCTCAGCCCCACAAGCCACATTTCAGTTGCTTGGCAGCCACTGGGATTGGTGGCTGCTGGGCTGGACTTCGTTTGGACATCACTGGAAAACAAACAAACAAGCACACACACAAAAACCCTTTTCTGTAACTACTTTCACCCCTTAACCCCAGGTGAGGGTTCTTTGCTTTTTCTTGCAGTACCAGGTATTGAACTCCAGGGGCGCTCTAACACTGTGCTACACTTCAGCCCTTTTTTTATTACTCTGTGACACAAGAGTTTCACTAAATTAATTGCCCAGGGAGAAGCCCAAATTGCAGTCTTCCTGCCTCAGCCTCCAGGAGTGCTGGGATTACAGGTCTGCTGTGGCTGTCCTCTGTGTACCTCCTGAGACTAAGAGGACTTACTCATCAGTTCTTGGCTGACTTTTTTCTCTTCTGTATTTTACCAAGCCTAAAACTGGGATGCACATTGCTATTTTAATCAGCTTTTTTGAAATGCTAGTGCCCCTCACCCCAGCCTGGTGAGGGCTCCAATATGGTTGGCTCACAGGGGAGGGCCTCTGAATTCCTCAGTTTTGCCCCCTGGTCTGACACAACCTGGTCCTCAGCAGTACTTTGTAGACATGGATGAAGCCCAGCCCACAATGAGCTCTGCAGAAGCCCTGTTCTCAGATGCTGAGGGACTGAGGGAAGGAGAAGGTGACTCTGCCCCACCATCAGGACATGGCTCTACAGGAATCTGGAGGCCTAGTTACAGGGCACAGTCCAAATTTTTTTCTTTTTGAGCCAGGGTCTCACTTTGCAGTTCAGGGTGGCCTTGGGCTCACTTTGTATCCCAAGCTGGTCTTGAACTTTCAGTGATCCTCCTGCCTCAGCTTCCCAAGTGCTGGGATTATAGGAGTGTGCCACCATGCCCAGCAAAGTATTTCCTTCTTTTTTTTTTTTTTTTTTTTTTTTGGTATCAGGAATTGAACTCATGACCTCATGCTTACCAGACAAGTGCCTGAGCTGCTGAGCTAAATCCCTGGGCCCCCAACCCAGCTTTCTTGACAAGGCCACTCAGCTTGTAGATACTGGCACTGCTTAGAGCCCAAGAGTCTGACATATCTCAGAAGAGGCCTGGCATGCCATAGAAGACCCAGCAACTTTCAGGGACAGGGCTTAGAACAGTCAGAGCCTCCAGGTTTGACAGAGTATGCGACACCTGCCCCTTCCCTCTTACCATGCAGGATGAAGAAGGTCTTGGGGTTAAACCTGTTGGGGTCTAATCCATCTAGTTCCTCCCACACCTCCTTTAACTGTGCTCGGCTGCCCTGTGGAGGGAAGAGCCAGGGGCTTATGAGCAAGGAGCCTGGGTGCCATGGATAACAGTGAGCAAAATCCTTACCCTTATCTAATGAAGGTAACCCCCATCAAGAAAACTATAATTCCCAGCAGCCCCTAGAGGAATTTGGTAAAGGAAGACCTTTTGACCCAGGGGCTCCTGGGAGTTGTAGTTCTAATTACTTTAGTCCTATGGCCTCCAGGGTATGGGTGCCCATGGGGGTCCTTACAGGCACGTTGACTTTGGGGTGCTCCCGGTGTCGGCGCTGTTGCTCTTCCAGCTTCTGTTCTGCCTCTTTCCTCTGTTCCTCTCCCAGAGACTCCAGGTACTGGCGTCGCTCATGTTCCTTGAGCATCTCATAGCGTTTAAACTCCTCGTGATGGGCTGCGTCATATTGTGCAAGGTCCCGGGTAGCCTGCAGAGAGCAAAGATTTGTAGAATTTTTGAATCCAGCCCTGAAAAGGGAGACCTTGGTAGGGAAGCAGGCTAGAGGCAGGCCAAGCTGCTCCTGCGACAAGTCCCATAGCACCGTCTCATTTTGTGTTCTCCATGGCTGCTCCTGCCTTGTAACACGCAATTCTCTCTCCTCAAAAGTGATTATGACGGGGCTGGGGATTTAGCTCAGTGGCATAAGCGCCTGCCTTGCAAGCAGGCAGTCGTGAGTTCGATCCCCGGTACCGATAAAAAGGAAAAAGACAAAAAAAAAAAAAAAAGTGATTATGACAAGCCCCACATGGTGCCTTACACCTGAATTCCCAGCACTCGGGAGGCTGAGAAAGGAGGATCCTTTCAAATTGGAGACCAGCCTAGGCCACAAAGTGAACTCAAGGCCAGCCTGAACTATATAGAGACCCTGTCTCAAAAAGACAAAAAACAAAAAAAAAGTGATTATGACAACTGCCAAGAGCGAGTTTGGTCATCTCTTTCAAATCCTCCAATCTCAAGGTCTTTGGAGGCTTGGCATGGTTGTGTATGCCTGTAATCTCAGCATTGGGAGGCTGAAGCAGGAGGACTGCTCTGTGTGCGAGGCCAGCCTGGACTACACGGTGAGTTGAGTTTGAAGCCAGTCTGAACTATGCAGAGACCTTGTTTCAAGCAGGAAAAAAAAAAAAAAAAAGGAAAAGCAGAACCTGATCCTGGCAGGGCTGCTAGGGCAAGGGTAGGATCGGGGCCAAGCAGCCTGGCAGATTTTTCACACCGCTAACTTACCCAGGCTAGACTTGAAACTCGTGCCCCTGCTGCCTCAGTTCCCCAGAGGGCTAAGATGAACTGCCCCTGCCAGGCCCTTTTGCACTGAAGCAGTCACAGACTATGGGATGGGACATATAGATGAGGGAGGGGGGCACTGTTCAGCCTTCAGCAAGGACATAGAGGTGTCCCATGGAAGAACCAAGCCAGGGAGGGAGCACAGCAGGTTGGAAGAACCTACCGGCTGTTTTGCCTGTATCTCCTGTTTTCCTGTGGAAAATAGGGAGTCTTGGTGTTGGGGAAGGGTCTTACTATGTAGCCCAGGGTGGCCTCACTCTTGGAAATCCTCCTGCTTCAGCCTCCTGAGTACTGTGATTATAGGTGCTCCATCCCCAGCCTTAGGGTAGACTTTTAGACCACAGCACTGGGGGTGCTTTCAGAGCTGGAATACAGGGCAAAGGTAAAGCATTTGCCTTGCAAAAAAAAGAAGAGAGGAAGGAGAAAGTGCAACTTGCTTAGAAATAGCTCACCTGTGCCAGGCTCTGGCCTATCTAACAGCAGCTTGCATACCATCCCCATCACCCCTGCCCCCTACCGTCTGGATCAGCAGCTCCAGGTCCCGGGCCTCGAACGTGTGCTGGTTCTGAGGGTCCAGGTGTTCAAACTGCTTAAGGAGGTTCAGATGATCCATTTGTACATCTGGATGAGGAGTCCAACAGAACACCCACTCAGGCCATGTAGGCTCTAAGGGTGGTCATGGAGGGCAGTGGGAAGCCCCAGGAGGGCAGAGTGGACCTGGGGCAATCAGGGAAAGTGTCCTGGAGGAGGGGAACCTGTCACTGAGTCTGATGCTGAAAATGAGAATAACCCACCAGGTGTGGCTGTGGTACACACCTTTAATCTCAGTATTCAGGAGGCCGAAGCATGAGGATTCCAAGTGCCAGGCCAGGCCGGGCAACTTATTAAGGGCTGGAGGTGTAGCTCAGGGAGAAAGCATGCAGAAGGTTGTGAGTACTGCAAAGGAAACTGAAGAAATGTGTGTGTACATACACCACCTACGGATGTGCATGTAGTCTTTGATATGTATGTGAAGAAAGTAGGTGTGTGAAGATATGGACAACTCTTCGGAAGAAAACAAGAGACTATATGATTAGACAGTGAAGATCTCCAGTGGTCTTGCTTTGAAATTTATGTTTCTTAAATTGTTTTCTTAATTTAATGATTAATCATTTGCTATGTGTGTCCTTGTCACCCAGGACAAGGTTTTGTTTTGTTCTGTTTAATTTTACCCTCTTTAAAATTAAAAAAAAAAAAAAAGAAATTAGAGTCATTCTAAAAGGACAGGATAGAAATAAGAAGTGCAGCAGGGTTGAAGCTCGGGCACGGAGTGCTTGCTTAGCATGCAGGGTGGGGGTGGGAGATCCATCCCCTTCATTACAAAAATAAATAAATGATTATGATTTTTTTACCCCTGGGGATTCAATCAGCCTTCCCACAGCTACCTCCCCAGCATTTTTTTTTGGTATTTTGAGACAGAATCTCACTAAGTCACTATATTGCCCAGATTGAACCGAATTTGGGAACCTCCTGTCTCAGCCTCTCAGAGTACTGGAATGACAGAGGTCTGGCACCATTCTTTTTTTTTGTCTTTTTCGTTTTTATCGGTACCAGGGATCGAACTCACGACTGCCTGCTTGCAAGGCAGGTGCTTATGCCACTGAGTTAAATCCCCAGCCCCTTCTGGCACCATTCTTGGCTAAACAACCACAGCAAAAGTAAAAATGAAATACAGAAGTGGAAAGCAACCTGCGTAATGATGGACATTGCCAGAGGACAGTCCCCCAAACCTCCCGCCCCCCAGCTCACTGGGCTCCTGCTTGGCGTCCATCTTGGCCTTGAGCAGCATCCGGAGCCTCGACACCTCCTGGCGCTTGAGTTCATCCAGCTTTGTTCGGACATGGTGACTGACGAAGTCCAGCTCTCTGCTCAGCTTCCCACTCTGCTGGGACAGGAAACACTGGTCAGCCCTGTGTTGTCTTCCATCCCCTCTGGCCCTAGACCTGCAGGAACCGGGCCTGGGCCCAGCCCCACCTGAAGCCCCGCTGCCTGAAAGCCCAGCCCCAGCACCTGGATCTACTTCTGGTAGTGTCGGGCTTTCGGCTCTGTTCCCCACCCCAGGGTCCTGGCACCTGCTACTCCTCCCACTGGGACTCTTGCCTGCTTTCCAACTCTAACCAGACCCTCAGGTCATGAGCACGGGAGGTCAGGGCCAGCCTTACTGCCACCCTGGTGTCCTGTCTCCCCATTGCAGGGGTCCTGTGTTCCAATCCTGATCTTTTTTCTGACACAGGGTCTCACTATGTAGTTCAGGTCGGCCTTCAACTGGCTGCAATCCTCCTGCCTCAGCCTCTGAGTACTGGGATTACAGGCATGTGTCACCACGTCCTGCTTCCTCAGACAATCTGACCCTGAACCCTGTCATACAGGTTTCATTACTACCCCCTTTTTACAGATGGAGAAACTGAGGCACAGCAAACTGAGGTCCCATAATGGTAAGCAGTAGCGCTGAGAGTGAAAGGCACCTGACCAGCTCTGTGCTCAGCCAAAGCTCCTAGGTCCCCCAGATCAGTCCCCATCTTCATGACCCCAAGACCTGCCCTTTTATACCCAAGTCTTATCCCAGTATTCCAGAGCCCGGGCGCAACTGCAGCCACGTGGCTCCTTGGTCCCCGACTCTGCCCCACAAACACCCCTGCGCCATGCTAGCCATACCTTGATGTCTTCAGCATTGGCGGCCTGAAGCTTCTCCCGGAAGTGCCCGTCTGTTTCCAGCACATTGATGACTTCCTGGAGGTAACGGTGGTAGTACAGGCCCGTGTCCTGGGTGACAAAGACACACATAGCAATCCCATCTCCACCCTCTTCCACATCCTTCCCACAGGCAGGACTGTGTGATGCTGCAAACTAGCCGCTGGGGAACCCAGGGACCCTGTGCATAAGCAGGGGTCCAAGAAACCCAGGTTTAACCCACTGTGTGATCTCAGGCAAATCCCTGGGCCTTTGGCCCAGTGTTCAGTTCCTCCCAGGCCTGCAGTGCAGATGAAAGGAAAATCTTGTGGGTGAGAGCTGGGTGTGGTAGCACATTGGGCTCAGGAGGCTGAGGCAGGAGTATTCCTGAGTTCACAGCTAGCCTGGTCTACACTGTGAGACCCTGCCTCAAAACAAAAAACTTCTTCTGTATACACTTAGCCCACCACCGCCCACAAAAGGATGCCTGCAAATCCCACTTGGGAACTAGTGACACACACACTTATCTAATTGTTCCCTTACTCACTCCGCAATAAGCACCACCACACGTCAGGCACTGCTGCCCTAGGGGTGACAGCAGGGATAAGCCCTGGCCTCCTGCCTTGGCCCCACACACCAAACTCCACAGTACTAAGCCCTCTGATAAAGGACACAGTATTTGCAAACCAGCTGCAGTCTCCTGGAGATTTATTTATTCAGTAGTGCCTGGGATAGAGTCCAGGGCCTCATGCATGCTAGACAGGTACTGTACCACTGAGCTACAGCCACAGCCTTTACTTTTTTTTTTTTAATGAGACCGGATCTAAGTTGCTAAACTGCCCTGCTTGGAGTTAAACTATAGATCCTCCTGCCTCAGCCTCCCAGAGTACTGGGGTCATGGGTATGTACCAACACACCTGGCTTCTTTTCTGTTCTTGTCCTAACATGTTCGCCACTTTAGCACTCAGCTCACACATCCCAGCCATCACCATGGTCCATGCTCAGAAGGCCCCAGCCTGTCTTCCATTCCCCAGTGAGCCAGGCCGCCCAAGATGTGGGGCTTTCAGCCTGTGGAAGGTGCCCAGGAGAACTAAGGGGAAGAGGACTCCAAGGGCCCCTCTGTCTGCGAAAGTTTCACAGCTTAGGCCTAATGTGCTGGCTAGGCAAGGACCTGCCACACAGGCACACAGCACGCTCTGTTCCTTGAGGCAAACAGGGGCCCATTTCTGCCAGGAGCTACAGAAGGAATCAGGACACAAGCCCAGGTGTTTGATCTCTAATGTTCCAACTCTGAAGACCAAAGGTCATTTCACAGGGTTTGATAAACACCTGATGGGATTAATAATGAGTTCACAATGGGTGTGGTGATGCAGGCCTGTAATCCCAGTACTCGGGAGGCTGAGGCAGGATCAACACAAACTCATGGCCTACCTCAACTACATAGCAAGAATCTGTCCCAAAACAAACAGATAACAATAACAAGCCATTCATATGTCCTTTTGTAATTTTTAAAAACTTATTTTTTGAGACAAAGTCCCACTGTGTACGCCAGGCTGGTCTGAAACTCACAGGGTAATCCTCCTGCCTCAGCCTCCTGAGTGCTGAGGTTACTGGTGTGTGTCACCACACCTGGCATCCCTTAGTAGTTTAAACCACACTTTCCATACACCCAGTTAACTACTATCAACGGTCCTGGTGCTCCTGGGAAATGAGGTTGTTTTGCTCTTGTTCCCTTTCTTTTGCCCCCTCTTCCCAATTCCTTCTTGTGTGGAGAAGACCCTGCACAGTAAGATTTCGGTGACAGCGATGCGGTTTTTCACTTACTATCTGACTCGGTACGACCCTCAGTTTTTCTCCAAGTCACTCCCGCCCCATAAACAACGGCTAAGGAAGGGCCAGCTACAGCTACAGATCCCGGAGGGTCCCAGGGGCTCCGGAGATGCGGGGACTGCATCCCTGGGCGCAGGCGGGGTCACTCACCGGGCTCTCGGTGGCGGGGCTCGGCTGGTTGGCAGCGACCCGCTCGATGGGCACAGGAAGCACAGTCGGTAGCCACAGCAGGGACGGCAGCAGGAGAACGAGGGCTCGGCGGGAAGCTGAGGGCGGCATGGCGCGCTGCTGGGGAGGCGAGATGCGCTGTGGATGGATGATCCCGAGCCCGCGATTCCGGGATCAGGCCCAGCAGCGCCCCGCTCCCAAGAATCACGACGCAGCGCGTTTCGCGGTTTGCAGCACGGGACTCCTGGTCTCTCTCACCATCCCTTTCAGAGGCACATGAGCGCCAGTCCTCGGCCCCGGTAGTCCAGGCTCCAACACCCTCCTCAGGCCCCAGTTTCTCTTTCCCTAGGCCCCACAAGTACTGATACCCAACCACTCCTCCTCCAGGTCCTGGGGTCCCCGCCTTTTGATCAGCCTCCTCTCGGCATCCAAACTTCGGAGACCCCGGCGCCCTTACCTCGCCTTTACCGCAGACTGCGTCCTCGGGACAAGGACCTCCTACGAGTCTCTGGCAATTTCCTCTGGACCACGCCCACTTTCCCTAAAGAGAACCCGCCCCAGAATCTTGATTGGCCCTTTCATCCAGAGTCCCCGCCCCCTAGACGAACCGGTTCGTCTAGTCTAGAAAGCCGGCCTCCTTGCTGGAAAACCTGCGCCTGACGTGACACTTCCGGCTTGGTAAGCGGAGGGCTATCTGGACTCTGGAGGGAACTCCAACCCCCTGCAGGCCGGGAAGAGCCGGCAACTTCCGCGGCACGTTGGCCCCTTTGCCTCACGGGAGATGTAGTTTTCTCATTTATCTCATCATGTGTCTGCAAGTTAGTTTGGTCCGTGGCAGTTGTACAAACCACCTTATAAATTTTTTTGTTTTTGTTTTTTGTTGCTACTGGGGAATTGAACCAAGATCCTTCATAGTGAGTTACATCCATACATCCCCATTTTTTTTTTTTTTTGGGTCTTTTTGAGAGTTTTGCTATGCAGTTCAGGCTGTCCTTGAACTCACTCTGTAGTCCAAACTGTCCTTGAACTCACTCTGTAGTCCAAACTGTCCTTGAACTCACTTTGTAGTCCAAACTGTCCTTGAACTCACTTTGTAGTCCAAACTGTCCTTGATCTCGCATGGATCCTCCTGAGTGCTGGAATTACAGGCGCAAGACACCATGCCTTGCCCACTTCCCTCTTTAATTTTTTTCATATAATCTCTTGCTAAATTGTTAAATTGTTGGAGCTTCAATTTGCTGGGCACACAGGGCTTTTTATAGGTGAATTGAGCTGGAAGTGGTGGCATCAGTCTGTACCTCAAGAGACTGAGGCATGGGGCTGGGGATTAGCTCAGTGGCATAAGCATCTGCCTTACAAGCAGGCAGTCATGAGTTCGATCTCCAGTACCGATAAAAAGGAAAAAGACAAAAAAAAAAAAAAAAAAAAAAAAACAGAGAGAGACTGAGGCAGAGGATCTTTGCAAGTTCAAGGCCAGGCTGGGCTACATAGTGAGACGCTGTCTTAATGTCTCATATTCTAAATAAGCTAGATGTGTAGGCAGATGTGTAGCTAGATGTGTAGGCTACATAGTGAGACGCTGTCTTAATATCTCATATTCTAAATAAGCTAGATGTGTAGACAGTCTCTCTCCGGTCCCTTTAAGGAACACTAGCTTGTAGTTCCAATCCAGAACCCTTGCGGGTGGGGGGCACAATGGCATCAGGGGTTAATTGTTGGAAGTGGAGTGTGTGGGCCAAGAGGAGGACAAGGGCAGGTCCCCGTGGGAATTTCTCCTGGCTCTTAGCTCCTTTTCTTGCCCTGGAGAGTTGGTCTCCTTCTCCAGAGGTAGCTCCAGAGACAGAGTCTGGAATGCTGACCAGGGGCAGGGCAGCCACCAAGATGTGAACTTGAGTGGTAGGAACAAGCAGCACTTCCAGATCGCAGGCAGGGAGCTGTAGGGAGCCTGGGGCTAGCCGGACTGGGTGTGTGGGAACCAGAGCCTCGAACTGGAAACTAGAAACAAGACTCCTGGGTCTCAGGCAGAGGGCAGGCTGGGTTTGGACTTCCTGAGTGCAGGACAAAAATAAAGACTGGGAGCCAGGCGTGGTGGCACATGCCTGTACTCTCAGCGTTAGGGAGACCAAAGCAGGAGGATCTCCCCAGATTCAAGGCCAGCCTGAATGACTTAGCGAGATAATGTCTTAAAAAAAAAGAAAGCTTAGCATGAGGTGTTGGAGGGCAGCATGTGCTGGGATGTTGGCTCTGGGTCCCGACTTCTCCTCACATCCCAGGATGTCTCAAGAGTGACTCTTGGAACAAATGGTGAGTGGGAAAGCCCAAAGGGCTGAGCAGCGGTGTAGGTGGTAGGGGAGACTTAAAGCTCACAGGGGCCCCATATTTGCCCTGGGCCTCTTGACTACATGTGGGGGTACCTGGGACCTGGACTCCTGGGTCCTGAAGACTCAGGGCTATGGAGACCACAGGGGTTGCGCCAGGATTCCCACATCCTGAGGCAGCTGGGGCCTGGATTTCTACCGCTGGATTTACTGAGCTTCAGAAGGGTTGCAGGAGGCCTGGGCTTTGTGCTTTCTGTGACCTCACAGTGCTCAGAACTCACTGGTCTGGGACAGCAGAGAATGCTGGGGAGGCTGGGAACCCTATGGGCTCTCACGGTGGATCTGACCTGTGCTTCTCCCACAGGACTCTGATGGAGGAGCTCATCTCCCTGAGGATGCAGAAGCTGGATCAGCAGGTATTGTGCCTGGGAATGAAACCTCCAAAGAATCCCATTTAGGGGCCCAATACTTGCTTTGGGTGCATACACCCTTGATGGTGCTGTCTGGACCTCAAGTTGTCCAATTAGGAAATGAGAACACAGGAATTGGGATCTTAAAGAAGCAAATTTGGTGATGAGACTCTGGGGTTGCTAAGGAACAAGGGTTCCACAGGGAAGGATTTTTTTTTTTTTTTTTTAAGATAGGGTCTCACTGAAGGCTGGGGATTTAGTTCAGTGGCATAAGCGCCTGCCTTGCAAGCAGGCAGTCGTGAGTTCGATCCCCGGTACCGATAAAAAGGAAAAAAAAAGATAGGGTCTCACTCTGTACTCCAGGGTGCTTTTGAACCACTAAACATGCCTTACAACTGTCTATGGAACTAGGGGCCAAGTCCCCAGGGGAAGAATTTACAGCAATCCTCCTGCCTCAACCTCCAAGTGCAGGGATTACAAGCCTGCATCCCCATTACAGGCTAGGACTTCTAAATCCTGGGAGGAGACCGTTGAGTACTAGGGCTCTTGGGCCCTAGGGAATGTGACCCTAGAGACCTGGCACCACTAACGGGAGCTGTTCTCAGACTCCTTGGGTCCCTTCGCCCCCAAGGTCCCCTTCAGTTTCTGACCTCGGTGCCCCATTTGCCTTCCTGCAGTGGCAGCTATTTGAGAAGAAGCAACGACGGAAACGCCGCGAACCACTCATGGTTCAGTCCAATCCGGATGTTTCCTTGCGGTACCGGCGAATGCAGTCGGAGCACTTTGCTAGCCACAAAGGTGACAAAGGGTTACTGGGGACCCGGAGGTGGACCGCAGGGAAGGGTTTATGGCAGCAGGGGTGGGACCTAGCATTTGAAAGGCGGGGCCTGGGCTCGGGGCGGGGCCGGAGATGGGTGGGTCGGGGCCTAAGGGGAAAGGGCGTGGCTGGGTGAGGGGTGCAGCCCAGGGTGCTGCAAAAGTGGGAAGGGCTCGCAAGTCCCTAAAGAAACCAGGTTGAGTGGAGGCCCTAGAAGAGTGTGATAGAGTGGGCGTGGTTTTTGTTTTTGTTTTTATTTGTTTTAACGGTGCACACTATAACCCAGTGGAAGAGCCCTCCTGATTTGATCCTTGGGAGGAAGTTTGGGTTCAGCAAGAAGCGGCTGTAGTGGTCAGACAATCGGGGCCAATATCTGGGAGACCATTGAGGGGCAGGCAGATCTTCACGGAGCAGCAGGATTTGTACTTCATTTGCACGAGCCTCGCCACACCTTCTTGCAGGCCCTGCTCTCCGAGAATGCATGTCGGAGGAATATCCGGACTCTGGCTTCCACAGTGCCCTATGCGCCCCTGTGAACTGCGGTGGAGATGGCACCAGCGAGCTCGGGGCCCTGGGGCGGCCTGCACAAGCTGATAACCTGGAGACCCGGGACCCCAGTTCTCCACAGTTTGGCCTCATGAGGATGCCAAGAGGTGGAAACCCAGTCTTGGTTCTCAGAAGGGGTCTGGAGTTGTGGGTCTCACCCCTCCCCCTCCCCGAACGAGGTCAGGTCCTGAACCACCTCCTCCTGACCCAGGATTCCCAGTCTCCAGCTCTTTCTTCCCTAGTGCAGGTTCAAGAGCCCAGCTCTCCAGAGCCTCCCCAGCCTGGCTTCCAGAAGTTGACATTCAGGTTGGAGAAAGTCACATCCTGTCCCACCCTGACACCCCTCTTAAGGAGCCTTCAGTCTCCTTCAGTCACCACCAACTTGGAAAAAAAAAATTTTTTTTTTTTTATTTTTACCAGTACCAGGGATCAAACTCACGACCACAGGCTTGCAAGGCAGGCGCTTATGCAACTGAGCTAAATCCCCAGCCCCCTTTTTTGGTCTTTTTGAGACAGGGTCTGGCTGGACTTGAATTCACTTTGTAGCCCAGGCTGGTCTTGAACTTCCAATGATCCTCCTACCTCAGCCTCCTGAGTGCTGGAATTACAGGTGTGAACTACCAATTTGGAAATTTCCCTGATTTGGGGGTTATATATCTGGCCCTGATGCATGAGATTTCATCCTCTTTCCTTTAGTGACAACTTTATTGAAACATAGCTCACATGTCATATCATTTACTCACGTACAATATAGAATTCCATGGCTTTTACTATATTCAGAGTTCTACCACCATTATCACAACAGTTTTAGAAAAAAAAATTTTTTTTTTAGGCATTGGAAATGGAACTCAGGACCTCACACTTGCCAGGCAGGCACTGCACTACTGAGCTAAACCTCCAGCAACAGCTTTAGAAACTGTTCTAATCAGAAATTATTCTACATGTTCTATTTAGAAATTATTCATTGGGTTAGGGATTTAGCTCAGTGCCACAGCACCTACCTGGCAACTGCAAGGTCATGAGTTTGATTCCTGGTACCAAAAGATAATAATAATTCATCATGCCAGGCATGGTGGCACACAATTGTAATCCCAGAATTTGGAGGGCTGAGACAGGAGACTTGCCGTGGGTTTGAGGCCAGCTTGGGCTACACAGTAACTTCAAGGCCAATCTGAACTACATAGGAAAACCCTGACTCAAAAAATTATTTATTATTTCAAATAGAAACTTTGGCACTCACCCAACTAAATGCCTGTTCTACTTTAGATGTGCCAGTTCTACACTTTTCATGTAACTGGAATCATATGGTATAGATTTCTTTGGTCTGGCCTCATTTACAAACCAAATTGTTTTTTTTTTTTTTTTTTTTTTTGTCTTTTTCTTTTTTATCGGTACCGGGGATCGAACTCACGACTGTCTGCTTGCAAGGCAGGCGCTTATGCCACTGAGCTAAATCCCCAGCCCCTTACAAACCAAATTGTAAAAAGTCATCTATGTGACAGCAATACATAGTTCATTTTTAGCATACCCATAGCCAAAATTTTGATGACAGTGTTCCAGGTAGCTCATTCTAAAAGGGACTCGCCGATAAATGTCATCAGGTTTTGTGGTGCTTAAGTTTCCTTCTGGAGTTCATTTCCACATTATTATCATCTCAAGCAAAGAATTGGACCAAATGATTGAAAAACAGAAGTAAAGTTTATTTGGAAAATTAAAACTGGCTCTGCAGAGGGAGCTTGGAGCAAGCAGCAGAAGGAAAAAGAAAGCAAGATAAAGGTACACACTGGAGAACATAGGGGGGGCTGTGTTGAGGAAAAGCATTATATCTCGCTCTTTTTTTTTTTTTTTTCTTTTTGGTACCCAGACTCAAAACTCACCTTGTGCTTGCCAGGCAGGCACTTATGAGCTAAATCCCCAGCCCACAGCCAGCTCTTTTCGGTGTCTGTTCTTTCATGCTGTCAAAATCTTGAGGAAACCTGCAAGAACTTCATGTGGGTCCTGAAAGGTGGAGCTAGGATTTCTAGGCCATCCTTTTGAAAACTTGACTAAGACTTTGCTATGTTCTCTGGAGAGGTCCTTGAGCAGGGCTTTGGGAGCTGCACAGGTTATGTGTGGTTAACAGGTTATGTGTGCCAACTTTGCCATGCCCTGATCTCCTGTCTCAATAGGACTCTTAATTAGCACCACAAAATCCACCACTGTATACTACTTCCTGTCTCTCTGATGCCCTGGATGCAACAAGGGAAAGAGAGGCCTTGCTGGTGCTAGGGTTGGAGTAGTGGCAGGATATTAGCCAAGCAGCTCCAGGCCTTGAGTCCACTGTGAGGTGCAGTGGGTTGGGAGACACTAACTCCTCTCAGTCCTGGGGCTCAGGGAAGTCAAGACTTCTCCGCCATAGCATCCCACGTGCATAGAAGTGGACAGGATGTGGGGCTGGGGATTTAGCTCAGCGGCATAAGTGCCTGCCTTGCAAGCAGGCAGTCGTGAGTTCGATCCCTGGTTCTGATAAAAAGGAAAAAGACAAAAAAAAAAAAAAAAAAAAAGTGGACAGGATGTGACAGCCACTGCGGTGGATAATGAGCCTTCCTGAGAATCCAGGTGTTCTGGCATCATCATCTAGCACTGATGACTTTGACCCAACCTTCCAGCCCAGGGTACTGAGCTCAGTCCCTGCCTTTTTCTCCCCCTTAGCCCAAAGTCCTTACCACCAGAGTGAGCCCCAGGATGTGGAAGCTGAATACCACCAGTCCAGATGGGGATCAGCCTATGGAATGGATGGTGACAGGAAAAGTCATGGAGACCTGATATTCTGCAAGGTGAGAGGAGGAGGTACAGTGCTAGGTGACCGGCGCAGCTCCCCAATGAAACAGGAGACAGGAGACGCTCTTGTGGACGACAGTTAACTGCTGCTTTATTCACTCGGGCTCTGGTTTATATATTTGGCCGTGACCAATCACAGGCTGCCACGAGGAAGCAGGGCGGGAATGGGACACAGGCTCCGGCTACCATATCCAGCTGTGGCCAATCAGGAGTTGCCACAGAGTATGGAGTGAGCACGAAGTGCGCACGGGTTGGCTAATTTAAAGAGGGACGTGGCGCATTGCGGAAGCTGGCGTGGTCCTTAGTCCCGGGTGGGGTATGGTATGTTGAGCGCCTGCGCCCAACATCTCCCCCTTTCTTTATAACTGACGCAGGGTCTCCAGAGGTCGGTGCCCCTCGTGAGGTGTCACGCTGCAGTCATGACAGTGCCTCACTACTCGTTGGTGCTCTTTTGGAGGGGGCGGGAGTATTGTTTTATGAGCCCAACCCGCATGCTCACCGACATGGGGACCGGAGTGTCTCCTGGCCAAGGACGACACCCCCTGCGATGCTTTGCTCCACACCTGCGTCACAGCATGGCGAGCCATGCTGCCGGGCTTTGACCAGATTCCATGATCAGCAATGCTTGTTTGATACTTTGTCCCTATTCCTTTGTCTGCGAATCCGACAGAGCAGAAGTAGACTGCCGAATGCGGCAAGTGTAGTCATGGTAGCCAGAGCCCCTGTTCCTGCCCATTCCTTTATGAAAGCCAATTGGAGAGTTGGCCCGAGCTGGATCACAGGAAACTCGTCTAAGTCCGCCATAACTGGAACCGGTGCGAACTGGAGTACCTGCATAACGACAGCTGAAAGTGCACTGTTATCCCAACATTATAACATATAACAGGTTGCGGTGGAGCAATTTAGAAAAGTCATTGGCTGCAAGGGCCGTACGAGATGCAAGAAGGAGGGGAAAAGGAGGCTACTAACCAGGGGAGTTGGCCAAGGTGCCATGGTTAATGGGAGTTGTGGGTGTACTTGCTTGGTCTGGCTTGTGAGGCTCCTGTTGGTTCCCCTGTTCTGTGGTTGATGTTTCCTCTGGGTCGGGGTCTGGTGGTTTGCAGGGACGTATCAGGCGTTCCGGGACCCAGACAGGTTCGCTGCCTTCTTCCTGCGGGAAGATACAGACCGCTCCTCTCGCCCAACTAAGTACTGGGCTGGGGCCTCTCCACACCCCATGCAGGAGGTCTTTCCAGCACACCCAACCATGTTTGGGTGCGACAGGGTTGGCATGTAGCTGTGCTGGCGTGGATCCTTGTGGGTTGATGTTTACAAAATTGTAAGTGAAGAGGGCAAGATTTAGTCTGGCCCTAGGTGTCATGCCCTGGGCAATACCCTCCTTTTGTTTAAACAGAATAGACTTGAGGGTTGGATATGGCCTAACTTTAATTGCTCTTGAGTAAGTTTGGATGCGGCTTCTGCTTTGTCTCGTGATAGGGGCCACTGATTTATCCAAATGGGGTCATTAGAGACCCATGTCAATTTGAGAAGGGCAGAAGCCAAGCCAGTGACCCCCACTAAAAACCCAAACCTTGCCTCTGAGCATGTGGTTGTGCCTGGATGGGGAAAGGCCTTCCTTGCAGGTCTTTGCCTAATCCTTTGCCTGGTTCATACCCTTGATTTTTAAGAATTCTCCTTGCTGTGTGAGAATATTCATTGTACAAGGTCAAGTCTAGGGCAGAGAGCACTTCTCTCCCCCATAGGGTAACTGGAAGCTGGAGAACATAGGGTATGAATTCTCCTGAGTGTCCCTCATTGTCTTCCCATTTAATTATCTGACTACTAATTTTAGGTGCATGAACTGATCCCAAGCCTTGCAGTGTTTGTTGTGCCGTCTGGGTAGGCCAGGTTAGTGGCCAGTCCTTTTCAGCTATAATAGAGTGGTCTGCTCCTGTGTCTAGCAGTCCGGATATTTTTCGTCCATTGAGTGACAACGTTAGCATGGGGCGCTCATCCAATCTAAGAACGAGGGCGGCAAAGGCTGGGTCTGATGATCCAAATCCTCTGTCTCCTCTAATACCAGACAATGATGGATAATCCCCATGACGGCTGGATAACACTAGCATCTGAGCGATGCGGTCTCCTGCCCCTACGGCTACTGGGCCTTTAGGAGCCTGCATCATCACCTTTATTTTTCCTGTGTAATCAGAATCTATAACACCCGGTAAGACCTGTATTCCTTTCATGGAGAGGGATGATCGACCAATTATCAACCCTACTGTGCCTTCTGGTAAGGGGCCGGACATATCTGTCTCTATGGCCTGTATCCCCATTTTCGGGGTTAATACGAGTCCAGTGGTGGCACAGAGGTCAAGTCCCCCTGAACCCGGAGAGGCTCTCCTCGGTTCTGACCTGCCCATGTTGGCGTCATTGGCAGTGTCTGGTCTACCATATACTCTCTGGCTGGGTAGAATCGGGGGCCCACCCCCCGGGGGGGCCCCCCAATCCCGTTTTTTGGCCTCTCTGGGTTACAGCCCTTACCCGTGAGGGGCAGCCCATTTACATCAAAGGTGGAGCGGCACTCCGTGGCGGAGTGATTTCCCTTTTTACATCTGGGGCACTTTCGGTCTTCGGGGGGGGGGGTTGTTCTCTTCTGAGTCCCCAAGATGGACAGTCTCTTTTTATGTGTCCCTGTCTTCCGCATTTGAAGCAGCCTTCTATTGGGCGGGCGCCATTCTGTGGCGCCACTCTGCCTTCCTGACCTTCTTTAGTTAGCTTCATTAGCATGGCTGCCAAACCTGAGTTGGTTAATGGCCCCCCGATCTCCCGACAGAGTTTCATCCATTCCTCAAGAGGCCTATTTTTGTATGGACTAATGGCAGAGCGACATTCTTTAGTACATTGCTCAAAAATGAGCTGCTTAATGAGCGGCATGGCTGTCTCAGCGTCCCCAAAAATTCTCCCCGCCACCTCCATCATGCGGGCCACAAAATCTGAAAAAGGCTCGCTCGGGCCCTGCAAAATTTTTGTCAAGTGCCCTGAGACTTCTCCCCTAGCCGAGACCCGTTTCCATGCTTGTATGGCTATTCTATTTATCTGTGCATACACCTCTTGTGGAAATATCAGCTGGTTATTGAGATACTGCCCTTGTCCTAATAACATATCTGTGTTCCAGGCAGCCTGATTGTTCTGGGCATTAGCTTGGGCCTGTTCTGTGGCAAGTTCAACATTCCAAGCTTTCCAATCAAGATATTGGCCTGGGCTGAGCACTGCCTTGCACAAACTGGCCCAATCAGCAGGTGTCATGGCATTTCCTGCCAGGGCTTCTACTAGGGACAGGGTATACGCCCCGTTAACACCGTACATGGTGCTGGCCTCCTTAAGATGCTTTATCGCCTTCATATCTATAGGCAGGTGGGCTCTGTTTCCCTGAGCATCTACAGCAACCGGAAAAGCCTGGAGAAAACGGCCCAGGCCTCCTGGGTCCTCTCTTTTGACTTGATGCCAAAGGTCTTCCTGGAATGTCCCAGGGGACGTCTGGACCTGTTGCGGACAGCTACATAGCTGATGGCAGGGTCTCCGGTGAGCATGATAATCTGGCGGGTCGGGAGGTAGAGCCGTAGGTCTTATAGGGGGTGGCCCTGGGATCCCGTACTCACTTTCATTGACCCATTTACTCTGAGAAATCCTGCGTTGCAGCTCATTTATGGCCTCAGAGTAAGGCCCTCTCGACTGCATGTGTGTGACTTCCCCTCTTTTGGTGGTGTCTGCATCCACCATTTTGTATACTTCTTCTTCCTCCCCCTCATTATCTGACGAGTCCTTTGTTTCTGGGTTGGGTGGGGTCACCTCGCCTGCGGCACTGGGCTCACGAGATTGCTCGCGGGAGGATTCTGCCTGATGGTAATCAAGCGCCATGGCGCCAGCCCTTATATGGTCACGACAAGAGGTGTCTGCAAGGCAGCTTCTCACTACTGCCCAAAGGGGTCTGACTCCTGGCTCCAGGAGGCCATTTTCTGCTGCAAAGTCAAGATCTCTCCCTAATTTATCCCAGCTGGGGATGGTAATGGACCCCGTGGGACCAAACCAAGGTGCTACCTTATCGACCTGATCGAGGAAGTTTTGAATTTGTTCTCGTTTCATTTGTAATCCCTTTTCTCTCAGTAAGTTGCTTAAGGCGACTGACAGTGGCTAAGTAGCCGTGTTACCCATGGTTAACCGGAATTTCAAGAGTTTCTTTTTATTTTTATTTATTTTTTTCCCTTTTTCCTTTTTTTTTTTTTGTAACAGGGACAGCTTAGTCCCCGCGCCCCTTTACGGCGCCCCCAAAACCTGCCTCTTTACGGCACCGGGAACTCTCTTTATGAGTTCCTCGACCCTTGCGACGCGTCCGCCCAAGGTTGCCCGATAGCCCCCGCCATCCGGCCCTGCAGCCCCCGCTGCCTGTTGCGTAGCACCCGCTACCAACGTTGAGCAGTTTAACCTGTCAGCCCCCGCCCGCCGAGTAGCCCCCGCTATCGGCGCTTGACGGTTTTACCTATTAACGTCTCTGTTCCATCGGAGAGAGAGGTTCATTCCCCGTACTGTCGGAGAGAGGGTCTCAGTGCTCCGGGAGAAGAGGGTCTCAGCGGTCCCCGTACGTGCCACCAGTTGACCAGCGCAGCACCCCAATGAAACAGGAGACAGGAGACGCTCTTGTGGATGACAGTTAACTGCTGCTTTATTCACTCGGGCTCTGGTTTATATATTTGGCCGTGACCAATCACAGGCTGCCACGAGGAAGCAGGGCGGGAATGGGACGCAGGCTCCGGCTACCATATCCAGCTGTGGCCAATCAGGAGTTGCCACAGAGTATGGAGTGAGCACGAAGTGCGCACGGGTTGGCTAATTTAAAGAGGGACGTAGTGCATTGCAGAAGCTGGCGTGGTCCTTAGTCCCGGGTGGGGTATGGTATGTTGAGCGCCTGCGCCCAACAGCTAGGAGCATAGAAAGAGGAGAGGGGACTTCCGGGAGAACATGGCAGACAGATAGCAGATACTACGGAGGCTCTCTGAAAGGCTTGGTTCCGAAGTCAGGAATGGTGTGGACTAAGGAGACATAAGCCAGTAGAGATATGCTCTGCTGACTCAGGAACGAACTGGGCTGAGAGAAACCAACTTGGAATGCAGTCCTGGTGCTAAAACAGGAACAGAAAAGTCTCGGTGTGGAGGCTGGACCCCGCGCCATTGGAAGCCGCGATTTGGGTTTCCCGCCGCGCGGCAGCTGGCTGCCTCTACATCGGGCTCGGCAAAGAGAGAGACGCGCAGAAGCTCTGAGAACGGGAGTCTGCGAACGGAGTCGAATGCAGGACGGACAGGGAGGTGTACACTGACTTGTGGTAAGGTGAGTGAGAGAAACTGACACCGTACCACAGTTTGACTCCATTGGAGGACTTTCTGGGCTCCGGCAGTCCTGCGGGAGCAGGGCGCGGTGGTGACTCCAGCCACACATTCCCCTCACGGACGGGATTGGTGAAAAGTGCCTGGCCTGCGTGATGCTGCTGGCGGACTCAGCAGGCTGGCCCAACCCAGATCCCAGAGACTGACGGTGGCCCGGAGGGGTGACTCCCACGAAGGCTGCCTAGTCTGCAACTCCCTGGTACGCTGCGGTGGGCGGGAACACCTACCCAGTGCAATTCGATCAGGCTCTGACTGACAGGGAGGGAAGCTGGGCCTCCTTTGTAAGCTTGCATATATAAGGAACAGAGAATATGGGAAAAGGCAGCAACAAGAAAGGCTCCTCGGCCCCCAATTCTGAGAAACAGGCAATAGCAGACACCGCACCAATAGACATAAAGCACCATATAGAGAGCCTCATAGACCAATTCAGGAATGAAGTTATCAACGACCTGAAGCTAGAAGTATGCAGAATAGTTAGAGAAATGCTAAGCACCACCCAGGAAAAAACAGATGGTGGAATGGAAGAACAGAAAAAGAGGGGAGAATTGTTTGATGGAGAAAACAGAGAAAGCATAGAGTACGTGAAGCAGGTTCAAAGGGACTACCAAGATACTAAGAAGTCTATCCAAGACTGGCATAACAGCTTGAAAGAAACTAAGGACAGACTATCTGAACTGGAGGGCAGAATTGTAATATGGGAGAATGAAATGAAAAACTTCTTAAAAATAACAAAGAAACAAACAGCAATAATACAAAGACAAGAAGATGATAAGAGGAGCCATAACTTAAGGATTAAGAACATAAAAGAAGAAGTAGGGACACAAACAAGTGAACTACAAAAGCTACTCACAGAAATAATCCAGGAGAATTTTCCTAATTTAGCAAAAGGTAAAGATACTCAGATGTATGAGGCATACAGGACCCCAGCTACCTACAACCCAAACAGAGCGACACCCAGGCATATAATAATAAAAATTCCAGAAATTCAATACAAGAACAGAATATTAAAAGCTGTCAGAGACAAGAAACAGACCACTTACAAGGGAACACCCATCAGAATTACAGCAGATTTCTCTGCACAAACCATCAAATCACGAAGAGCGTGAGGGGAAATAATTCAAGCTTTGAAAGATAATAATCTCCAGCCAAGATTGAGATATCCTGCACAACTGTCCCTGGAAATTGATGGAAAAACAAGGTGCTTCCAGGATAAATAGGAACTGGGGGAATTTGCAACCACCAATTCAACTCTACAGAAAGTATTGCAGGATATTCTAAAAAAAGAAAAATACAAAGAACCCAGAAATAGTGGCAGGGAGGCCACAATGAATGGAGCAGAGAACAAAATGAAGAAGACAAACTGACAGCTACTGACAGAAAAAGAGCTCAACAGAAATGAGACAGAGAAGATTGGATGATAGGAACAGCTATTTTGGAGAAAATGACATCTTAATAGGTAATACTGATTTAGTATCATCTTGTTTTGATGTCTCATCTAGCTTTTGTTCTTCTGTCTCCAATGGTCTAAATAGGTTGTATCTTATTGGATTTTATTATTTACGATAGTATAAGCAAAAACCTTTTAAAGACAAGGAGATTATACAGAAACCATTGTTCATTTTCTGTTAGTCGATTCTAAATACTCTGTAATGCTGTCATTCTCTTAAAAGGTTTTACATTGTTTTGATATACTTAATGCTATAGTATACGAAGTTGTACTCAAGGACTTCAAGGAAAGAGTCAATATGGTAACTACTTTTGGGTCGGGATTATCTGGTGGTGAAGCGCTATTCTGCTTAAATGGTTATGTTTTGATCTGCGCTGTTTCACTGCTATGCCCTCTTTTATCTCAATCTCCACTCCATTATTTACTTTTTTATTTTTATCCGTTTAATTAAAGGGAAAAAATAGCAGGATATATTATAGTAACCCACTTTGACTTTCTATTGTCTCGATTTGAAGCCCTGTATTACTCTCACCATCTTGTTTTTGACTGATGTTCCCCTATTCTGTTTTGCTGGATAGTGTCAGGTTCGAAAGTTTAGGCATCAGCTGTGAAGATAATGAGATTCATTATAACGCCCATTCTCGTTGACTTTTATCTACTTTTGAACACCTACAATGTCTCCAGTGGTTTGGTTTTGTCGGTTTTGTTCTTTACTGTTTTGTTCAATTGTATTATGACTAATGATATAGGCAATTCTATTAGAGATAGCGGCAGGCATTAGGGTAACCATTGTTGATCACCTTGTATTATGTTTTTACATTATCTATTATGTCCACCCTTTTGACTTGACCGATTCTGGTCTGTTATGTCACACTTGGTTTTACTCTCTACCAAAAAAGCAATAAGAACCGTGGGAGCAATGAAACCCAAAATGTGTAATAGTCATTATACAAAAGAGAGGAAAAGAAGGTGCTCTAAACTATATAACAGCATGTATATTTAAGTGTATTAGATAGAAAATGATATCACAGAGTTTTATTGGATCATTGAACAGAACTGTTTGCAGTGTCATTGTTGGAATGTCCACTCTACAAGCTTTAATTTTGTGACTTGAACAATTATTTCTAAGATGGCAATGTGTGATCCATTAACTAGTGATTTCCTACTGTTCAATTTTTTCTTCTGTAAATCTATATAACTTGTACCCTTTCACTGTTTTTTTTTCTTTTCTCCTTAAATAAAATTAAAAAAAAAAAAAAAGAAAAAAGAAAGAGGAGAGGGAGCTGGGCGTGGTGGCTCACGCCTATAATCCCAGCACTCTGGAGGCTGAGGCAGAAGGATCGTTGTGAGTTTGAGACCAGAATGGGCTACAAATGAGCTCAAGCCAGCCTGAACTGCATAGAGAGACCCTGCCTCAAAAAGACAAAAAAAAAAAAAAAAAAAAAAAAGAAAAGAAAAAAAAAAGAAAAGAAAAGAAAAGAAAGAGGATAGGGAGCCTCAGACATTTAGGGAGGACAGGGATGCAATTCTGTGGCCCAGTTAGAGGTGACAGGAAAGGCCCTACTTTGGTGTTGGTGAACATGCAGTAGTTCCGTGGGCACACCGGTGCTGTGCTGTGTGTTTTCTGCAATACTGGGCTTCATGAAGGCTCTCAGAGTGATCCTCCAATCAGAGGGTGGAGCGGACACAGTGGGGGGGGGGGGGAGCTAATGAAGTTAGCCAATCAACAGATACAGACTGGGCGGGCTGAGTGAGATGCTAGACCAATAAGTTGAAGCCATAGGTTGACAGAAGGGTGGGACCTCAAACTGGTCTGGCCAATCAGGAGTTGGCAAGGCTGTGTCTAAATTTTTCCCTCAATTTTGAATTTGACACGAGCTAGGACACAGACTCAGAAGAGGAGGAAGAGGAATCGCACTATTTGGAAATTAACTCCCAAGCAGCAGAGGGCCAGGAGACAGTGCCAAGGGACCTGGAAGGTGGGGACAGCCATGATGTAGGGACCATGAACAGTTTGCCACCTCTGGACCTGGGCCCTCAGCCAGGAGAGAACCTGAGGGAATACATGCTGCGGCCGACGCTGAAGGGCCACGTAGTGCAGTGCTGCATCCACCGGAACCAGCAGGGCCTGGAGAAGGGCTTGTTCCCTGTGTACTACCTCTACCTGGAGGCGGCCGAAGGCTGGAAGGTGAGATCTAGGAGCCAGTCCTTCACTTCCTCAAGCAAAAGTCAAGATTTTCAAGAATTGGGCCGTAGCTCAATGTGTCCACTCCAAAGCCAAGCCCTGCCCTCTGCTTTTCTAGTAGTTTCATAGGCTTTGCCTGTGCTATCACCAAGCCTGACCCATTAGCCTGGGATCAACCATTTCAAAGCGTGGCCACGCCCCCAATGACTCACAGCCCCGGATGACAGGCTCCTCCCACCCCTGGGGTAAGCCCCCCACCCAAACCAAGCCAGGACCTTCTCTTTGTGCCCAGTCCCCTCCCAGTTTGGCCACCTGTCTTTGTCCTCTTTTCCTCACTTCTTCTCTCCTGCAAAGAGGCTTTTCGCTTACCCAGGTCCAGACCCATTTCCCGTGATGAGTGCCCAAGTCCTGCTGCCGGGTTCAGACCACCCTTCCCCATTCTCCAAGCCAGGCCCTGCCTGCCTGGGTGGAGGGAAAGAAGGGAAGACAGTGAGAGGTAAAGCTGCCCTCCAAGCCCCAGGTGATGGTTTCCCCCTGAGGTCATCTCCCAGCATATTGGGGACGCTTAGTGTGCGTTACCTTCTCCCCTGTCAGGAGACTGGGCATTTCTTTGTCTTGGACTCCTAGCTCTGCTCACATCTGAGAAATCCATTCTTTTTTTAAAATTTTTTTTTGTCTTTTTCTTTTTTATTGAACTCACGACCACACACTTGCAAGGCAGGCGCTTATGCCTCTAAGCTAAATCCCCAACCCCCAGAAATCCATTCTGATGGGCTATTCCTTAAACCCCACAGCGCTTCCTCCTGGCTGGGCGCAAGAGAAAATGGAGCAAAACCGCTAATTATCTCATTTCCTTGGACCCGATGGATCTGTCTCGGGATGGGGACAATTTTGTAGGCAAAGTCAGGTGGGCAAAGCCCTGATGCATGGTGAGAAACAAGGCAGAGAGGAGATGAGAGGAAGTGATGTCTGTATCTTTGCATTCCAGAGGGAATTCAGTTCCCGAGGGGCTAAGGGAGGAGGCTAAAAGATGTGTATGGAGGAAAAGCAACCTGAATTTTTACCTGGGGGACTGATTTGGCAAAGCATTTAAAGCAGTCAAGGAGTAACAAATATTACTCTTATTCTCTCTGCTGCCGGCCTGGGGCAGGTCCAATATCTTGGGCACCAAGTTTGTCATTTTTGACAATGGGGTGAATCCTGAAGACTCAAACTCACTCCTGGATAGGAGCCACATTAGACAGGAGCTGGGGACTGTGTGTTACGTAAGTGTCCCGCAGGGAGGCTGAGGGGGCGGGGAGGGAGCCGGATAATGAATATGAATGAGGCTTGAGGCAGGATGGGGGAGGGGACAGGAGTCAGAGCCAGCACACAACTGGAATCCGATACTTCCAGGAGACCAATATCTGGGGAACTCGGGGGCCTCGAAAAATGACTGTGATCATCCCAGAAATTAACGACGAACACCAGAGAATCAGAGTCCAGCCAGAAACCGTAAGTTCCAGAGGTCGGGACTTTCTGGATTCCAAGAGAGCTCCCAAGGACGCTCATCTGGCGTCCTAGATGCCCAGACAGGAGGGGGCTGATAGGTTGGAAGTCCCATGGGAAGCCTAGGGGTCCCTGCCAGATCCCTGAGTCTGGGAATAAAGACTATGCTCAAAACCTCTGTGTTAAAGCTGGCCGGTGCAGGCTAACGCGCCACGGTCCCTACTTTACCTTCAAAGGAAGAGGAATCAATACTGAGTCGCTTCGAAAGAGGCATCAGGCAGGGGCTGCTCCTACTGCAAAACAAAACACCGGTGTGGAGTGACGAGAACGACGCCTTCGTGCTCAATTTTCACGGGCGAGTGACTCAGGCCTCCGTCAAGAACTTCCAGATCATCTACCCCAATAAGCGTGAGCTGCTGGGATCCCCGGTCCCCGGGTCAGGGGTATCAGCGCGTAAGGACTACTGCTCCCATCAGCACTTGAGAGTCTGCCTAGCCGACCGCGCCTCTCTGTTGCCCTGTAGTTCACGCGGCACCAGAGCGCCTCCTAGCGTAGGGGCTGGGTTCCCGTAGCTCAGAAGTGGGGGTGGGGAGGTGGCGGCTGAGAGGCTTTGGCTAAGGCTCAGATTCTGATTTTCTCCACAGCAGACAAAGTGGTGCTGCAGTTCGGCCGGATGGGTCCAGATACATTCACCATGGACTTCTGCTTTCCTCTTTCCCCGCTCCAAGCATTCGCCATCTGCTTGTCCAGTTTTGATGGGAAGCTGGCCTGTGCATAATTCAATAAAATTGTTTCTCTGGTTTGTGTGCTTGTGCCTTTGGAGAAAGGGCTCTGAGGTGCCTTCTTTCTGCACCACCTCAGGAATCACCGCACTTCCTAGAGGCCCTCTTGGTGTACCGTCCTGGGCTCTGTGGCCTGGTCTCCCAGGTGTTAAAGGAGATGGGCCTCGTCTAACTGGGAAGTACCTGGGGTAGTTTGTTGTGTTAGAGCAGCATAACTCTAAAAAGTGTCACCGTCAAACTTTGAACAGTCAGGAGCAAACCATTTGAACACACAGGAGGAACCAGCTGGATGGCTTGTGTTGGGAACATTTGAGAACAGCTCTGAGCTTAGGGGTTGAGAATGTGCCAAGATTGAGGAAGAGCCTGGCTTCCACCCCTAGCAATGAATAACAAAAACAAAACAAAAACACATGCAAAAATTAAAAAAAAAAAAAAAAACTAAGAAAAAGCCCTGAAGCTGAGTGTGGTGGCATGAGCCTGTAATACTAACACTGGAGAGGCTGAGGCAGGAGGATGGCCATGAGTTCGAGGCCAGCCTGAACTACATAGTGAAACTGCCTTGGGATTAAAAAAAAAAAAAAAATCATGACACATCTACAATCCCAGGTACTTAGAAACCCAAAGCAGGATGATCTAATTTGAGGCCAGCCTGGGGAAATTTAGCAGGACCTCCGCTTTCCCTCAAAAAGTAAAGTAACAAGTCTTACAGGTGGAATGAGACCTGGTACAGCCAGCACCTAGGGAACTAGCAGAAGGCAAGGACATGTGGCCAGCTGTGACTTACCCATTTGAACTGGGTAATTCCATGAGCTCAGAGAAACATTTGCAAGCTTTCCATGAAAAAAAAACATTCCATCCCCTATCACCAAGCCTTAGACCCCTTACTCAGAGACCCAAAATTTTGCACCACCTCAGCAATACCTCCCTCTCCTACCTAAACTCCCCTATAAAAATATATCCTTACCCCTTTTTCAGGGCCAACGGTCTTTTCATCCTTGGCCTCATTGAACCCGGGTGGCAATGAAATCCTTGCATGTTGCTTCGACTTTGCCTGCCTCAGTGGTCTCAGGTGAGCCTCAGTTTAGTCTAACAACACCCAGATGAATAACTGAACATGTACACGAATAGTTTCACTAGCTAATGCTTATCTGCCATTATTTGATGGACACTTTGTTTTTGTCTTTTTCCTTTTTATCAGTACCAGGGATCGAACTCACAACTGCCTGCTTGCAAGACAGGCGCTTATGCCGCTGAGCTAAATCCCCAGCCCCCGACACTGTTTTAATTCATAACCCTTTTGGGGTCACACAACCCGTGAAGGATGTAGACCTGGTAGTACCATTGCAAAAAAGGACACTGAGTCTACAGGCCTAGAGCTGCTGTCAAGTCAGGAAACAGTCCTGAGAAATTCAGCAGGGAATGAGAGGCTGTGGGGAAGCATACAACAATAGGACTATTCGCCTTTCAGATGTCAGCGAGTCAAACTCTAGACCTCCTGGAGAGGTAATTGTCCCACATTAATGAAATATAGGCAGATAGTAAACAAAACCTAGCTGGGTGTGGTGGCGCATGCCTGTAATCCCAGCACTCTGGAGGCAGAGGCAGGAGGCTCTTTGTGAGTTTGAGACCAGCCTGGGCTATAAAGTGAGCCCAAGGCCAGCCTAAACTACATAGAGACCTCAAAAAAAAAAAAAAAAAAAAAAAAAAAAAAAAAAATCTACAAAATCCTGAGGCCAGACACAGAAGCATGATGGGAAGTGTGATTTTTTTGATCTCTTGCAGGGTTGTGAGCTTTTGAGTCCCCTCAGGACATGACATACAACAAGGAGACACTGCTCACTACAAACCAGAAAGATTTATTTTTTTTTGTCTTTTTCCTTCTTATCGATACCGGGGATCGAACTCACGACTACGTGCTTACAAGGCACGTGCTTATGCCGCTGAGCTAAACCCCCAGCCCCCAAAGCTTTATTCTTGATCAACATCAACACTAAAGCAGGGCCTTGAGATGGAGCGGGGGAACAGGGCGCGGCCACGGCTTGGCTCAAGGGCGGGGTCTCTACAGGGACAGGGGAGGGGGCGGGGTGAGGACCGTAGGGCCAGGTGGGTTCCCAAGGCGAGCCCACGCTCTGGCTCGCCAGGCAGGGGTGAGGCAAGGTCCCAGCTCTTCTTGGGCCCGGGCAATGCGGCGGGCGAAGCGGCTGCGATCCCGAGCGAGCTGCTCCCAGGGGCCTCGGCGGGCGGCCTGCGCAGGTCCAGCCCACACAGCCAGGAGATGCACTGTGATCTTCTCAGAGAAACGCACCTGGGGACCAAGGACAGACACAGGGTTTCACATGCAAGATTCATAGGGTCACAGGAACCCACACAGGAAGTGTGTGTATGGGGGGGGGGAACTAGCTGCAAAATCCACTCACTGCAGGCCACAGTGTTTGACTTACCCAGGAGTTTCCTGGGCCTGCCCCAAGCCACGCCTCCGGCTGCACCCATAGGGCCCTGGCCTCTTGCAGAAGATTGCAGGATGGTGATGCAGCCCCAGCCGAGGGCGAGGCAATCTTCTGTAACAAGGGCAGGGGACCCCGGAGTCCCGCCCAGTCTCTCTGACTTAAGAACCTGCTGTCTATGGGTCTACCTTCAGGGCAATTCCAGCATCAAACTAAAGAATCTAGGCCCACAGCAGCACCCACCTTTCTATCCTTCGCGGAAAGCTTAGGATCCTGATCCTCGGGGAGGGTCTTTGACAACCTCAACTTCTTCTGCAGTCGGAGGGGCAGCTTAGGAGCAGGCCAGGGAGCTGGGGGCGTCTGTCCAGGGACATACATGGCCACAGCCAGGGGCCGGGGTTCAGTCTCAATCCAAGCTTCAGCAGCATGCTTTTCCCTTGTCCTCTCTCCAGGTGGCGCTGTCCAGGCACTCAGCTGGGCACCTTGAAGTTGAGGGAAGGCACCTGGGCCCAGGTCAGTATCTCTGTCCCCAACTGCTCCTAAATCACCTCCTGTGTCCTGGTTCTCCTCCCACTCATCTTCGTCCTCTGTGACCTCTCCAGGACGATATACCCAGGCCCTCAGGAAGGTGCTGGTGCCAAGGGTGGATGAGGAAGCATCAGCTTCTCCCTGAGCTGATCCCGAATCACTGCCCTCATCTTCCTCATCTTTCCCCTTCTCCTCCTCATCTTCCTCATCTTCATCCTCCGTGTCCTCTCCAGGCCGATACACCCAGGCCCTTAGGAAGGTGCTGGTGCCGAGGGTGGATGAGGAAGCATCAGCTCCTCCCTGACCTGATCCCAAATCACTGTCCTCATCTTCTTCCTCCTCCTCCTCCACTTCCTCTTCCTCCTCCTTCTCCTCCTCTTCTTCCTCATTTTCATCCTCTGTGTCCTCTCCAGGCTGATACACCCAGGCCCTCAGGAAGGCATTTGTGGTGATGGTAGAAGAATCCCCAGCTTCTCTCTCTTCCTCAGCCCATCTGGAATCAGGGTCCTCATCTTGCTCCTTGTCTTTGTCCTCTGCGTTCTCACTGGGGTGATCTTCACAGGATCCATGCAGTGGCCCTTGTTGGGGACCCAAGGATCGTGGCTCTGGGTCAGCGGCTCCTTTCTGGGCTACCTCTCTGACCTTCGAGTCCTTCCCAGCCGCCTCTCCTGAGCAACTGTGCCAGGCCCCAGGGCTGGGCCCTGACCATGACGGGGAAATGGACCTCTTGGTTTCTGTATTTTCTGTTCCTTTGTTCTCCGTGGCTTGCTCCTCTTCCTCTCCTGGGCAACACAGCCAAGTGCTGGGCTTGAGTTCTGGGGCCAGAGGGGAAACAGAGGCGGTGGCAGCTTCTTTGCTGGCAGCCTCCCCATCTTCCCCCTGCTCCTCCCTGACAGGACCACCCTGGCAGTGTGATGAAAGATAAGCTAGCTTGGTCTCTCCCTGCTCTTCAGCAGCTTCCCTTCCTTTAGTCTGCTTCTCTCCAGAGCTCTTATCAGGACCTTGCAGGGCACTCAGCAGCAGGGTGGGGGACAGTGGTGCAGGCTGGCCATGGGTGAATTCTCCTGGTTGCAGCCTGTTTGCTTTTTCCTTCCCATACTCTACCGTATCGCCACAGGAAAGTCCCCAGGCTTTGGGAGCAGAACTGCTGACTTTCAGGTCAAGTCCCCCGGGCCCTGGTGCTGCCTCTCCATTCTCCTCTGTGGCTCCGATGTCTTCAGGCTCCTCTTCTGGATTTTGGGGCCAGAGGAAACGAGATCCTTCAGGAGGAGCCTCGACATCTCCCTCCACTCCAGCTTCTAGCTCATCTGCTCTTCTGGCTTCTGCCAGCCAGGGCTGTAGGGGTCCTGGGACCCTCAGGAGGCTCCAGGCCCGGCTCAAGATTCCCATCAGAGGGGACAGCAAGTACAAGGCCTGGGCATCCCACCAGGGACTGGTGTGATGGGGCACTTGGCCCGGGGCCATCTGGCTGGGCTGGGGAGAAGAGAGAAAAAAATAAAGCTTAAGAGCCATTTTGAAAATAGTATTAGAGCATGACCCTGAGTCACACAGGAAAATAGCAACACAAATATGAACGTGAGTAACACTGCCTCAGATTCCTTGGTAATCTCGGCACGCCCATTCCTGTTGCTCACACCCTTCTCCCTTTAATCCCTGGGAGCCAGCACCCCAGGTCTCTCTTTGATCCAAAATTCAAGCCCCTGGCCCCTCCTTCCTCAAATCTTCATTCCATTAAAAAAAAAAACAAAAAACAAAAACCACTTCATTCCAGCCCTAAGAACAAAAAACCTTTCACTAGTTTTCCTTGGGGACCAAGTTATAGCCTCCATTTCTGACACCTATGAGGACAGAACAGGTTTCTAACACCTTTCTCTCCGGGTCAAGGAAAACATTTTGACCCCTAGAGGATTCCTTCTCTAGGGAGCCAAGAGTCGGGCTGCCACACTCCTCTTTCCTCAGCCTAGGATCCGGGTTCCCCATCCCACTGCCCGTCTCACTGAGGGTCCCCACGGCTTTCTCAGCCGCTTCTGGCTTCTCTCCACACCCTGGAATCCAAGCTCCCAGGCCCTCCTTCTCCACCTCCAGGGGACCTGGCGCGGAACCCTCCGGACTCAGTCTCCTCCTCTTTACAGCCTGGTAGTCTGGCCTCCAGCTCCAAGCGCAGGCCCAGCCCGCCTCCTTCGGTTCCGATCCCTTTACTCACCGGCGGGGCTGCGCGTCAGCCCGGGGGCAAGAGCGCGGGTCCGGGTAGCCAGAAGCGATCGCAGGTCCGGAGGGCTCGGGAGGCCTGCGCGTTCATCTCGCCTCACACGTCGATCTGGAGGGTTTTAAGGATCACGACTGTCGCAGCGACGTTAAATTGCCTGGCGTCTCGAGTATAATTAAACACAAACCTGGGACAGGGTCGGATTAGGAGCGCTAAATCCGGCTTTTATAGTCCTCCTCAGCAGACGCGCTGACGTCACGAATAGGGGCGGGGTTTCGGAACGTCATGGATCTTGTGGGTGGGGATGGAAAAAAAAATCCAGATTTCTCGTGGACTTTCCGAGCTTTTGACGTCATGATGTCGTTTGGATAGTGGCCACATCTCAAGGCCCCAGGAGTTTACGCTGTGCGGGTGACCAATGGGCTGTATGGAAGGGGGAGCAAGACTGGGATAGCAGGGGCCTTGCAAGTGTGCGGTCCTGAGTTCAATCCCTGGTACCCATAAAAACAAAAAAGACAAAAAAAAAAAAAAAAAAAGACTGGGATGGTAAAGAGCACTTGCAATCCCAGCAATCTGGAAGCTGAGGTAGCAGGACTGCTGTGAGTTCCAGGACAGCCTGGGATACATAGTGAGTTTAAGGCCAGCCTGAACTGCATAGTGAAATCCTGTCTCAAAAAAGACCACAAAAATAAAAACAAAAACAAGACTATTGTGGTCCCAGGCCATCCCACCTCAGTTTAAACAGCAGACCCTAGTCAATTCTCCCACCTTCTCACGTGATTGACTTCCTCCCCAAGTTGGAGGTAGGGTATTGTTCCCTTTCACAGATGAGTAAACTGAGGGTTAGGAATGAAGGAATTTGCTCAATGTAGTACCAAACAGTCCAGATTTTTTTTTTTTGTCTTTTTCATTTTTGTCGGTACCAGGGATCAAACTCATGACTGCCTGCTTGCAAGGCAGGCACTTATGCCGCTGAGCTAAATCCCCAGCCCCCTTTTTTTGTCTTTTTGCAATAGGGTCTTACTATCCAGTTCAGGCTGGCCTTGAGCTCATTTTGTAGCTCAGGCTGATCTCGAATTTGCAGAGATCCTCCTGCCTCAGCCTCCTGAGTGCTAGGATTACAGGTGCGCACTACTATGCCCAACTCTTTTTGTTTTTGTTTTTTTGGGCGGTACTGGGGATCAAACTCATGACCTCGCACTTGCCAAGCAGGCACTTATGCTGCTGAGCTAAATCCCCTGCCCTTTGTTTTGTTTTGAGACAAGGTCTCATGATTTATTTCTGGCTGGTCTCAAAGTCACTATGTAGCCCAAGCTGGCCTCAAATATGCAGCACTCCTCCTGCCTGAGTCTGACCTGGGATTACAAGTGTGTGCCACCACACTGGGCCGGATTCTTTGTTAATAGGAACGAGAATGTGGAAAAACCCCATTCTTCTTTGGGAACTGGATGAACCCTCCCCAGCCTCACTCAAAGCTATGCTTCCATACTGGGCCATCACAGCTGAGGCATCCTGACTCCTAGCTCCCACTTTCTTGAGTACCCACAAGTCTGAAATCCTAACCCTGATTCTCCTCAGGCCGCTGGCGTCTGAGTGCTAGTCCCTGGTCAGACCAGCCCCCCTTTAGTTATTTATTTGGGTACTGGAGTCAAACTCAAGACCTCATGCTTGCCAGGCAGGCACTTATGCCACTGAGCTAAATCCCTTTATAGTTGGGCCAGTGCCCCAGACCCAAACACAGTAGGCTGACAAGGATCTCTCTTCTCCAACCCCAAGAGTCCCAGCAACAGGCAGCCAGGAGGGGAGTTGGGGCCCAGCCCCTCCCCTGGGCTGTGGGGCAGCAGAGCCAGGGGTCAGGCTGTGGTGGAGAAGCCAGGAGGGGCGGGGACAGCCAGGATTGGGAGGGGAGACAGCAGCGTGGGAGGGTGGCAGAGGAAGGGAAAGACCAGCAGAGAGGAAAGAGAAAGGGAACTGGAGGAAAAGAGAAAGTGAGGAGAAGCGAAAGGGACGGAGACTGGGAGGAAATAACAATCATGGCAGGACAGGGTGGAGAGAGAGAGTGAGAGGAAACAGAGACGGCAAGAGGAGAGAGGAGGTGGGAAGGGCTGAGAGAGGCGCTCAGGCACAGGCTCTGAACCTGAGAGGAAAAGCTTGGGGCTGAAGCAAGCCTGGGAAGAGACTAGAAGAGACAGAGGGGAGAGAGAAATAGAAGGTGAGGCTGGGAAAGAGGTGATCTCAAAGAAAAGTTGAGTGCAAGAAGGAAAGAGAGAAAGGAGAGAGGAAGAAAACACAAGACAGCAGACAAAGGGTAAAAGGTGAGGGCAGAATCAGGTGAGGAGAGAGACCCAGAGCTATCAGGCCCAGCTCTTGAGAGACCAAGAAGGGGGAGACTGCGACTGGCACCCCTCACCCACAGCATCTCTCCCTGTCCCGGGGACCCCAGAGTGGGGTAAGTTGCCTGCCTGGGCTGGGAGGGGAATCGGGATGCACATTCCTGGAGCCTTAGGGCCCCGCTTATGGAGTTGGCAGGGATATTGGGGGGAGGGTGTGCCCGTGGGAGGGCAGGACGCAGGTAGCCCGGGGCAGAAGGAAGAGGGGAGGACAGAGAGGGTCACATTTCTGGCCAGGGCCCAGTGGGCAGAAAGAAAGGAGCCCCTATTCCCTGTCAGGCCATAGATAGCTGCCCCCTCCCTGCAGCTGCCAGTGCCACCCACCTCTCTTGGCACTGCTGTGGTATGCGCTCGGGGGCACGGCCTCCCCGGCCCCAGCCCCCAGCCCCAGACAACAGGCTCTTTCTCCTCAGTTTCCTTGGACCTCTGAGCCTCTGACCCGGTCTCGGTCACCATCCCCAGCTGAGCTGGCCTTGGGGACTCAGCCACTCTGTCCCCAGAGCCGAATGGAGGACGGCCGACCGTGGAGCAGCCTCAGCCTGGCCAGCAGTGCCTCCACCATCTCTTCGCTCAGCACCCTGAGCGCCAAGGTGCGCGCTTCCTGGTGACTGGGCCATGGGGAGGGAGGACAGCCCAGCTCTGGGCCCCTCTGTCCCTTGCTTGGTGCCACCCGAGGGCCTCTGGTTGTTACTCGTGAGACACCTTAGAATTGGCTCAGCAGCTGCAGCTGGGGAGCTGTGGCCACTCCCGGCCTGTCCCCACCCCTCCCAGTTTCCTAACTCCCAGCCAGAGTGACACCCTCTCTTGACCTGCTTGCTGTCCCAGCTGCCACGCCCCAGCCAAAGTGAGCCTGTTACCACTACTCCTTGGAGAGGATGCGGCCACCCTGTCCTGTCTTGGTTTTTTTTTTTTTTTTTGGTACGGGGATTCAACTGTGCGCTTGCAAAGCAGGCGCTTATGCTGCTGAGCTGAATCCCCAGCCCCTTAAATTTTTTTTTGTCTTTGTTCATTTGTCCATTTCCTCTGTCTACCTGTGAAAGCCAGTTAGGGAAGACTTCTCTTGACAATCAGGTCCCCAGGATACTTTCATCTCCATGTCACCCTGGCTGCACATTCAAGGAGGAGACCCATTTTCACATCCTCTGGCCACTTCCGGTGCCCTGAGCTCAAAACCAGAGATTCGATCCCAACCTTGGTCAGCGGTGCCTCCAAAGAAGAAGGGCCTCCTGTGGCAACCTTGTTCCAGGAGCCTCGACCCCATCTGAGTCAGCCAGAGGGATCTAAACCCCTAATTTGGACATGGTTCCTGGGGATGGGGGTCATGGGCCAGGGCTGGAGCTGTCCTTTCATCCTTCTATTTACTGGGAGCTCAAAATTGAAGTCATCCTGCTGACGGACCTCCCTGCCAACAAAGGCTCTACCACATCCCTGGCTCTTGGGACCAGGGTGTCCGCTTTGCAGCAATGAACCGTTGAGTCTCTGAGCCCCATCCCCCCTCAATCCCTCCATCAGTGCTTACTGCGCTCTCTTCTGCAGAGCCTGTGGCCTGCAGTGCCCTCCCTCACCGACTCTCACAGGCACCTCTAGCAAGTGCATTTCTGAGTGACCCCCCATTGCTTCTGTCCTTCCTCTCAGCAGACGCCCACGCGGGCGGTAAACAAGGTCCATGCCTTTGGGAAGAGGAACAATGCGCTCAGAAGGGACCCCAACCTGCCCGTGCACATCCGAGGCTGGCTTCACAAGCAGGTGGGGTGAGCTGCAAATGGGAGGACGCTGGTGGCTGTTCCCCTGGCTGTCCACTTTTCTCTCCTTCCAGGGTTCCATGTATGTTTCTTTTCATCACCCTGCCTCTCCCCTTGTTCTGCATTGTTACATTCATTCATCCACCCATTCACTAATCAAGAAATAGTGCATATCACATCCAAGATTATCACAGGGGGCAGGGATGCATCATAAATCAGTAAGTATAACTGGGCATAGTGGGCTATAACTATAATCCTAGGATTCAGGAGGCTGAGGAAGGAAGATCACCATGAGTTGAAAGCCAGCTTGGGTGACATATGAGTTCAGTGCCCACTCAAACTATACAGCAAGATTTTAAAGCCCAAAGGCCCTGCAGGAGCAGGAGCCAAAATTCCTGTATCTAGAACAAGCTAAGGAGAGAGAAATCAGAGGGCTGGTGAGGCAGTAGTTCTCAAGCCTTGGTGCCTAGACCAGCAGCATCAGTGTCCCTTGGGAACTTAAGAAATGCAAATAGTGTTGCCCCAGCCCAGCTCTACCGAATTAAAACCTCTGGTGAGGTGCTCAGGAATCTGTGGTTTGTAGGTGTTGTTTTTTGATACTGGGAATTAATCTCAGGACCTGGCACTTGTCAGGCAGGTGCTGTGCTGCTGAGCCATATCTCTGGCCCAGTTTGTATCAGGGATTGTTTTTTTTTTGTTGTTTTTTTTTTGTCTTTTTCATTTTTATTAGTACCGGGGATAGAACTCACGACCGCCTGCTAGCAAGGCAGGTGCTTATGCCGCTGAGCTAAATCCCCAGTCCCTGTATCAAGGATTGAACTCAAGACCTCAAGCTTGCCAGGAAGGTGATTGTGCCACTGAGCTAAACCCCCAGCCCCCTCCCTCCTTCCAACTCAGGCCTTCCTTCTTTGTCTCTCCCCAGGACAGCTCTGGGCTTCGGCTCTGGAAGCGCCGCTGGTTTGTCCTCTCTGGCCACTGCCTCTTCTATTACAAGGGTCAGTGCCCCAGCTGGACCCGGTGGGAAGGTGCAGTTCCCCGCCTCCTGGCTTCCTAATCCTCTGTGATCCCTGATGCCGACCCCTTTGCAGACAGTCGCGAGGAGTGTGTGCTGGGCAGTGTCCTGCTTCCCAGCTACAGCGTTCGGCCAGATGGACCCGGAGCCCCCCGGGGGCGGCGCTTCACTTTCACCGTGAGTCCCTTGGTCCTCCATAGTACCAGGTCTGGGAGGGGCCCTGGAGGGGTGCATTGGAGGCCCCATTACTGTGACTGAAAGGTTGTGACTCTGATCCATGGCGTCCCGGGGTTCAGAGTGCCCTGTCCTCCCGCAGGCTGAGCACCCGGGCATGAGGACCTACGTCCTTGCGGCTGACACCTTGGAGGACCTGCGGGGATGGCTGCGCGCACTGGGCCGGGCCTCCCGCGCGGAGGGCGATGACTGGTTAGTAGAGGTCCAAGCCATGCCCCTGACTTCTGTGAGCAGAATCTTCCAGATCTCTGATTTTCTTTTTTTTTTTTTTTAATTTTTTTTTTTTTTTTTTTTTTTTTTTTTTTTTGCCTTTTTCGTTTTTATCGGTACCAGGGATCGAACTCACGACTGCCTGCTTGTAAGGCAGGTGCTTATGCCGCTGAGCTAAATCCCCAGCCCCCAAGATCTCTGATTTTCAATCACTAATGTAGCCTAGGATATTCTGTCTTTCAGGCTCCATCTCTCTGATTGGCTGCTTTAGAAATCTCCATCCCTGAGACGGATCCCTAACTAATAACACTAAAAGATCAAATTAAAAAAAAAAAAAAAGTCAGGCAGTCTTTTAGGCTCTGTCCCTGCCTTTTCCAATTTCCATTCTGGAGATTCTTTTCCCTGGTTCAGTCTTTCTTCTTTTTCTTTTTCTTCTTCTTTTTTTTTTTTTTTTCTTTTTTATCGGTACCAGGGATCGACTCATGACCACACACTTGCAAGGCAGGCACTTATGCCGGTGAGCTAAATCCCCAGCCCCTTCTTTTTTTTTTTTTTTTTTTTTTTGAGACAGGGTCTCGCTATGCAGTTCAGGCTGGGCTTGAGCTCACTTTGTAGCCCAGGATGGCCTCGAACTCACAATAATCCTCGTGCCTCAGCCTCCCAAGTACTGGGATTACAGGCATGAGTCACTATGCCCGGTTGGTTCAGTCTTTCTTATAGTACAGGAGATTGGGTCTTGGGATCTGGATGGACCTGGTGGCCCCGTACAAGTCACTTCCACACCCAGGGCCTCAGTTTCCAAATTTGGAAAATGGGTGCAAGGATGTATACCGCATAATTTCCCCTTTTTGGGTAGGTTGCGGTGTTTGCATCTGTGACGAGTCTAGAGCTATTACGAGGGTCAGAGGAATAATGTCTCTTTCTGTGCTTTCTTGTTAGTGGGCCATCTAGGTCACCTCCTCGTCCCCAGCCTGGGGAGGGCCCTGGTGGCCCGGGGGGTCCCCCAGAGGTGAGCAAAGGAGAAGAGGGGCGCATCTCGGAATCACCAGAGGTGGCTCGGTTCTCCAGAGGTCGTGGCCAACCCGGACTACTGGCTCCCAGCCCCACCGCAGACCTCCAGTCTGGACCCAGGGTTTGCAGGACCAGAAGCCCAGAGTGAGTGGGGCAGACCGGCGTTAGGGCGTGGCCTAATCGAGGGCGGAGCCGGAGAGTGGTTGCAGCGTGGTTTGATGGTTTCTGCTTTACGTCTTGAGAGTTGCTAGGGGTTCTGTGCAGTCACAGACTTTCGGGAGTTCTAAGGCGATACCACGAAGGAGACATTTGGCAGGATCTACCCAGCAGAGCAGGATTCTACTCCAACGCAACTGAACACTGAAGCGAGATATCCTTTTGGGCTGACTTGAAAGACAGTGAAGTGCACTGGGGCGGCTCTAGTTGACTCACTTCCCCGATTCTCTCCTTCCATAGCCCGTTTGCACCCCTCTCTCGCCCGCCTTCCCCGCTGAACCTTCCCCGTCCCCGATCTGCTCCAGCGCGGCGACCCCCGCCCTCAGGAGACACAGCGCTCCCTCCCCGACCTCACACGCCCTTGAGTCGCATTGATGTCCGGCCTCCTCTTGATTGGGGACCCCAACGACAGACCCTATCCCGGACCCTCACACCCCGCAGAGGACCATCCTCTGAAGCTGGAGGAGGACGGCGTCCCAGGAGCCCCCAAAACTGGAGTCAGGAACCCAGAATAAAGGTGAGCCAAGGGGACTGGAGAACTACATTTCCCATGAGCCTTCGGGACTGTTTTCAGGATGAATGGGCTCTAAGTCAGTTCCTTGAGCCTCATGGGGATTGTAGTCCTCAATAATTACCCACGCTCAGCTGGTCCTGGCCTTTGCTTCGTAAGCAAACATGGGTTTTGTAGTCCAGGATAATGTGCCCAAATAGTTCCCTAACAAGTGGTGTGGTTTTTTCTGCCTTAGTACCCAGTTTATTATGCTATTTTCTCTGAGCATTATTCATTTATAGCCCAGAATATCCACAGCTACCTCTCATCAGCTTGTGGGGCTGCTTTGCCAAAGCTAGCTCATCTATTAGCATACTCTCAGCTCTGAACCTCAGGTCTACTAAGCTTTCCTATTCTGAACATATCTGCTGTGATATCTGCTACTAGGATGAACTAATTTCTAAACATCTCTAATCATTATGTCTTCTAGGCCCCCCCTGGTTCCTCCACTTATCTCCAGCTCCCCCCAAGACACCCTGGGACCCGGGCCTCCATGGTTTTATTGGTAAGTATCCTGAGGCACCCAGATCTACCAGCGCCTCCTCCGTTGTTTTCTTTGCTGTGAGTAATGCTATTTCCTGGCCAAGAGCTTCAGAAACAAGGTATTCCATGGCCCTCGAGCAGGTGGTCATGTCTGTTTTCTGTGGCTGCTGAAATAGCACAGGACTTTGTTTTAAACCACAGACTGGGTGGTTTAAAACAATTTCAGTTGCTTTTGCCACCCTCTGGCTGTAGAAATCCGAAGTTGAGGTGGCAGCATGTCCAGGGCTACGCTTTCTCTGAAGATTCCAGGAGAGGATCTATTCACGCCCCTCTCCTAGGCTGGGGTGTTGGCAAAACCCTTGCTCTTCAGTGGCTGCATCATCCTGTCCCTGCCTCCATGATCCTGTGACTGTCTTCCTTTTTGGTTATCTGTGTCACTGGGTTGTGGGGATACCTTCTAGAGATTCTTTCTAGGTTCTTGCCTGAACAAAATTTTGGATGGAACAATCACAAAATATAGTGAAATTTTACATTTATTAAAAGTCGGAAGGAGCCGGGCGTGGTGGCTCACGCCTGTAATCCCAGCACTTGCGAGACTGAGATGAGAGGATCCTTGCGAGTTCTAGACCAGCTTGGGCAACAAAGTGAGCTCAAGGCCAGCCTGAACTGCGTAGCGAGACCTTGTCACAAAAAAGACCAAAAAAAAAAAAAAAAAAAAAAAGTCGGAAGGGCCAGGGATTTTGTTCAGCGGTATAAGTGCCTGCCTGATAAGCATGAGGTCATGAGTTTGATCCCCTGTACCAAAAAAAAAAAAAAAAAAAAAGACAGTGAGGGCCCAGGGATTTAGCTCATCTGCCTGGTAAGAGACACCCTAAACAATTAAAACATCTTTTTTGGAGGGTTAAAAGTAGGAAAAGAAACATGCTCTGCAGAGTGAGTTAGAACCAACTAAAAGTAGGAAAAGAAGTATACTGTACAACATGAGGGCAGACCACAGTGGAAGAGAGCTCACAGTGTGCAGGAGTACAAAGGTGGCCATCTTTGTACCTCCTACTCCCCAGGCTAACCTCAGGTCCAGGCTGACCTAGCAGAAACCTGCTTTTCCCAAGTAGAACTGCCGGGTGCAGGGCTTGGGTGCTTTACTGGTTACACCCATTTGCCCAGCCCGCTGACCATATCCTAATCTCCTACCTCATCTGTGTCTCCCTTTTAAATCATTAAATTACCCAAGCTGGGCTCAAATTTATGATCCTCTGCCTCAGCCTCCCAGAGTGCTGAAATATGCAAGTGTGCATCATCATGATGGCTAATTAATTTTTTAAACTTTAAGACAGGGGTCTCCACTGGGCACACTCCTGTAATCCTGGCATTTGGAAGGTTGAGGCAGGTGGATTGTTGCAAGCTGGACACAGCCTGGGTTACAAAGTAAGCCCAAGGCCTGAACTACATAATGAGACCCTGTCTCAAAAGACAAAAAACGACAAGGGTCTCCATAAGTAGCTGTGTTGCCAGGATAGGCTTGAAATTGTCATCCTCCTACCTTAGCCTCCTAAGTAGTTTATCACCTTACTTTGCTGATGTAGTGGTGGATACCTGTCATCTCAGCACTTGGGAGGCTGAGGCAGGAGGATCACCGTGAGTTCGAGGCCAGCCTCAGCTACATAGTGAGTTCAAGCCCAACCTAAACTGCATAGTACGACTTTGTCTCAAAAAAAAAGAGTCTGTTTTGGAAATGTTGCTGTTAGGCTGTTATACCTGTAATACTGATTTCTCAGAAGGTCAGATAAACAGCTTAATTCTTCTAGCTTTGAGAAGTGGAACTTTCATTTTAACTAATCTGTTGGGGCCCAAGGAAGGAGCATACTCCCAAACAATGGCCTCCTATAATTTTCTTTGTAAGTTATTATTAGTACACACACACACACACACACACACACACACACACACACATTTTTGGTCTTTTTGAGACAAGGTCTCACTATGCAGTTTAGGCTGACCTTGAACTCACTTTGTAGTTCAGGTTGGCCTGGAAATCAGTGATCCTCCTGCCTCAACCTCCTGAGTGCTGGGATTACAGGTGTCCACTAGATAACTGGCTTCTCAGTTACTCTTATCTTGACTACATGCAAAGTTGAAAGCTTATGGTACCCAAGGAGACAGAGACAGTATGAAAGCAGAGATGCCAAGCTGTTACCTGTAATTCCTTGGCCATCAAATGTCTGCAGCCCCATTGAAACAGTCAGTGTTTTTGGCACCGAGTTTCATTAGCGACCTGCTTGTGTCCCCCCCCCCCCCGCTTTTTTTTTGTCTTTTTCGTTTTTATCGGTACCAGGGATTGAACTCACGACTGCCTGCTTGCAAGGCAGGCACTTATGCCGCTGAGCTAAATCCCCAGCCCCTGCTTGTCCCCTTTGACCCTTGATTTTTTTCCTTCTTCCTAGCCAGGTCCACCCCTGGACTCAACCTTCCAGCAAAGCTTGGAGACAGATGTAAGTTCCCAGATGCAGCCTTTCCTGGGGTCCCAGAGCTGGCAGGAGAAGATGTTCTAGATGGTATGGGGTGGGGAAGATCCCATGGGGCCCCTGAATGCTCCTCCTGTGTCTTTTCTGCAGAGCCTGCTGACCAAGCTATGTGGGCAGGATCGGCTCCTGAGGAGGCTGCAGGAGGACATCGACCAGAAGCAGGAGGAGAAGGTCCTGGGCCCCCAGGACCATCCTCAGTGCTGTTGGAGGATGCAGAGGACAGGATGCCTCTGTTGCCCTGAGCCCAGTGTGGCTCCAGAAGTCTGATAGCTTCCCTCTCCTGCAGGAGCAGCTGGAAGCCGCCCTGGAGCTCACCAGGCAGCAGCTGGGCCAAACCACCAGGGAGGCTGCAGCTCCCGGCCGGGCCTGGGGTCGCCAGCGCCTCCTGCAGGACCGCCTGGTCAGCGTGAGGGCCGCCCTCTGTCATCTGACTCAGGTGAGAGGCTGCAAGGGCGGGGCTGTAGGGTACTGGGAAGGGGACCCTGTGGGTTACAGGACCGGGTTCTGGAGAAATCCATCACCCAAGCTGTGCAATAACCTTGATCATCTGGAAACGGAGACAGAGACAGAGAGAGACTGAAACAGAAACGAGAGAGAGACAGACAGACAGACAAATAGGCAGACAGGAAGACAGGCAGACAGAAAGATAGAGAGCTAAGTGATTAAATTGCTCAGGCTGGGATTGGGTTTGGAATCTTCCAGCCTCAGCCTCCCAGACTGTTGAGATTTGGGTAGGGAGAGGGGTGTGTGTGATTGAACTAGGGCCTTACATCACTGGGTGAATTTGACTTGGGCTCCCCGGGTTGTGTGAGCTAACCCTCTCTAATAGCTGGGTGTGGTGCACCTGCTTACAACCCCAGGATTCTGGGAAGCTGAGTCATGAGGATCAAAAATTAAAGCCTAACCTGGACAATTTAGAAATTTAAGGAGAATATGTCTATCTCAAGTCAGTAAATAATAAATAGCTGGGGCTGGAGCTCAGTATGAAGAACTTGAGTACAGAAGAAAAAAAAAAAGGAAAAAGTAAAGCAAAGACAATCAGGCATGGTGGCACATGCCTGTAATCCCAGCACTGAGGAGGCTGAGGCAGGAGGATCACTGGGAGTGTCAGGTCAGCCCGGACTACTCAGTGAGACCCTGTCTTAAAAACAAAACAAAACAAAACAAACAAAATTTAAAAATTTATTAAACCCTCTGGGCCCTGGGCTCTAGCTATCTTTTTTTTTTTTTTTGGTACTGGGGATTGAACTCAAGACCTCACACTTGCCAGGCAGGCGCTTATGCCACTGAGCTAAATCCTCAGCCCTTTTAGCTATCTTTTATGTAAACTCTAGATAGTAAAAACAACATTTGCTTCATGGGACCCTCACAAAGATCCCATCAATATATGTAAATGAATATTTAACACAGTAAAAATACTTGGTCCTCGGTAATATTGTAAGGGCAGGCAGAGAGCAGAGAGACCAGCCAAATGGGCTTCAGGGGACAACAGGGCTGTATATCTCAGGGGTGCGGGTGGTAGCAAGGGGAGAGCAGAGGTGTTTAGGGGAGGTGTTTGTCTGCCTTTGATTGGAGCATGGCAGTGAGTAGTCTGGGGCAGACACATCATGGGGTTTCCTGGAACCCGATGGGCTGTGCGTGGTGATCTTTGATGGCCTTACCCGCTGGGCATGACAAATGCTTGTGTGTTTAGCGCTAATAATTATTATCTGTTAGTAATGGAGACTGTTTCTAAACTATGTGAACTACTGTTCAAACACCTTTAAACTTGGGGCTGGGTTTAGCTCAGCGGCATAAGCACCTGCCTTGCAAGCAGGCAGTCCTGAGTTTGATCCCTGGTACCAATAAAAAGTTTAAAAAAAAAAAAAAAGAGCAAACAAACACCTTTAAACTGATGGCGAGGATAGTACCCACCTCATAACAGTTCACCAAGAGGGCCGGGGATGTGGCTCAGCTACATAAGGACCTTCCTGACAAGGGATAGGTCTGAGTTTGATCCCGGTAACAAAAGAAAAAGAAATAATTCACCAAGAGTCAGGGGTGGTGGTGCATACCCTTAATCCTAGGACTTGGGAGGCTGAGGCAGGACTGCTGCAAGTTCGAGGCCAGCCAGGGCTACATATTGAGACCCTGTCTCAAAAAAATAAGACAAAACAGAACAGAAAGCATTCACCCAGAGGTGGTACTGGTTACCTGTGCCCACCTGCTAGCTATTGCTATCCTGGCCTTTTCCCCCTTTTTTGGGAGAGGGATGATACTAGAAATTGAACTCAACCTCACACTTTCCAGGCAGGTGTTGTGCCACTGAGCTATATTCCTGGTACCTCCTTTTTTCCTTTTTGAGACAGTCTTGATATGCTATGCCATTCAGGCTTGCCTTGAACTATGTAGTCTAGGTTGGCCTCAAACTTGCAGTGATCCTCCTGCCTCAGCCTCCTGAGTGCTGGAATAACAGATGTGTGCCGATGCACCCAGATGACCGTCTTTATCCTGGCCTCATGATGCTGCGCTGCAAGGCGTTATGGCCTTGGCTTCCCCTGAGTACATCACACCTGCAGTCTAACGTGCTCTGAAGAGGCACATTAGCAATCCAGCGACTCAGGGATGCTCTTAATTGTCTACACTAGCTGCTCTGTGGAATGCAGGTTTCACAGACTCTGGAGTTCCCCTAGTCCCAGCCCGGCCCTGGGCCGGGGCCCAGGCATCCCCTCCACCCCTAGGCTGGAAAAAGATGGGCAAAGTTGTGGAGGGTGGCGTGCTAACTTGTTTTTCTGCCACTTGAGGAGCGAGAGCGGATTTGGGCCACATACAGAGGCCTGGAGCAGGAGCTGGGCACCTTGCGAGAGACCCTGGAGTACCTGCTGCACCTTGGTTCCCCCCAGGTACGACGCGCTCCCTTCCCAGGGGCCCAAGCCAGATCTTGGATGGAAGGGACCTGCTATAGCAAGCCCCTCCCACAGAGCCAAAGCCCCTCCCACTAGGCCCAAGTCCCGCCCCCTATCCTGTTAGTCTAAACTTTTTTTTAAAAAAAGAGTGGGAAGAGCTTAGCGGGGCATAGTGATGCACACCTATACCTATAATCGCAGCACTCAGGAGGCTGAGGCAGGCGGATCATGCAAATTTGAGACCAGCCTGGGCTACAAAGTGAGCCTGCATCCAGCCTGAACAGCATAGTGAGACCCTGACTCAAAAAAAAAAAAAAAAGAGTGGGAAGAATTTATTGAAAGAAAGCTTCTATCTATCTGCGAGGGACAGAAAGTGGCCCAGAAGGTGGGTTGCCCCCCCTACTCTAAGCTCTTTTTTGTAGTTAAGAGCCTGCTCTGCCCCCATTGGCCAAGTTCTAGTCTGGCAACCTGCTTCTTGCCTATTGCTGTTAAATTTATCCTCCGGAAAGAAAAGGGAAAAATCTTCTGGTTTCCAGTTCTAAACCTAACTTCAAACGCAGTACCTAAAATATAAAACCCCTTGCTTAGCCTCTGACTTATTTCTTCATTCTCAGCTGATGTAGGTAGTTCTGAATCATACATATTTATTTATTTATTTATTTTTTGTCTTTTTCGTTTTTATCGGTACCAGGGATCGAACTCACAACTGCCTGCTTGCAAGGCAAGTGCTTATGCCGCTGAGCTAAATCCCCAGCCCCGAATCATACATATTTAGCTCGTGACACTGACTTCGCAGTTACTCAGGAAGCTGAAGCATGAGGATTGCAAGTTTGAGGCCAGCCAAGGCTGCTTATGGGACCAGGTCTGGAGAGTAAAAATAAAAACAAAAGTGACTGGGGAAAAAGAAAAAAGAAAATCAAAATAAAAGACAAAACAAGGGGCTGGAGATTTAGCTTAGTGGCATAAGCGCCTGCCTTGCAAGCAGGCAGTCATGAGTTCGATCCCTGGTACCGATAAAAAGGAAAAAGCAAAAAAAAAAAAAAAAAAAAAAAAAGTAAACAAAACAAAACAAGGACAAATAGTTTATAATAACAACAAAAGTCAACTATCTAAGAATAAATCTAGTGAGAGATATGTAAAACATCTTTTTTTTTTTTCCATTTTAAAACAGGGTCTTACTGTGCAGTTCAGGCCGGCTTTGAACTCACATTCGCCTAGGCTGGTCTTGCACTCTCAACAATCCTCCTGCTTCAGCCTCCTGAGTGCTTAGATTAGAGATGTGTGCTACCACACCTGGCTAAGACCTTTGTTCTGAACACCAGAAAAAGTCATCAGTAGACATTAAAATCTAGAGATGGAGAGGCTTCCATGGTTACCAGTAGGAATGACAAGGGAAAGACGTGGCATCACCCCAGCATTTTCCAGATGAGGACCAGCAGCGCTGGGACAGATTTGGAAGAGTTTCTGTATAGATTGACAAGGGGACCCTAAATTGTCACTGCAAATGCAGAAGGCCAGGAGTCACCAAGATGACCCCCAAGGGCCAGCACAGCCGCATGTCACCCCGGATATGAACACTATGGTTACTAAGACAGCAAATGTTCTGTGGGGGGACGGCAGGACCAGAAAGGGGGCTCAGAAACTGACCCATGGATATTTATACAGTCAACCCCGTGGCGCAGAGGTGGGGCTACAGAGCAGGACACAAAGGACATTCCCACACTTCCCCTGGTTCCACAGGGAGAAAAATCCTGACTCTGAGAACAATGCCCCAGTTCAGACCATGCCAAAGCGGAAGAGCTGGAAGCCCCTCGAATTTCCTTCCTTCAGTAACAGAGCTCTTTCCTTCCCCCAGGACAGGGCCGCGGCTCAGCAGCAGCTGTGGATGGTGGAGGACACGCTGGCAGGGCTGGGGAGCCCCCAGAAGCCGCGCCCCCACACTGAGCCTGAACCTCCTACCCCTGCATTCCAAGGCGAGGAGTCCTCTGAGAGGGAGGTGAGATTCGCATCTCTCTCCTTCTCATTTCCTGTCCCAACTGCCCTGGCCCAATGTGTTCCCCTGCTCTTTTCTTTCTTTTTCTTTTTTTCTTTTTGTCTTTGGACACAGGATCTCACTATGTGGTTCAGGCTAGCCTTGAGCTCACTTTGTAGCCCAGTCTGGTCTTGAACTTGCAGTGATCCTCCTGCCTCAGCCTCCTGAATGCTGGGATTACAGGCGTGCAGCTGTAGTGGGCTGAGGTTTGGGTTGTAGTAGAGGACTTGGTTGGCATTCACAGTAAATAACGCGCGCGCGCGCGCGCACACACACACACACACACACACACACACACACACTTGGGAATGCTGGCCCACACCTGTAATCGCTGTACTTGGGAGGCTGAGGTAGGAGGATCCCCATGAATTCAAGGCTAGACTAGACTACACAGCAAGACCCTGTTTAAAAAAACAATAAGCAAAAGTAAAGAAAACCAGGATTAGGTTTACAATTATATTGTTCCTCATACTGTCTCAGTTGCTGAAAAGTGACAGTGATGACACAATCCTGAGTGCCCTCCTCTACACCCTCCAGAGCCTGCCTGAGTCCCTGGAACTCAGCTCCCCTCAATTGCCTGAGGCTGACTGGGGCCGGCCCCCTGGAGGTGACAGAGACCTTGGCAGCCCACGCTCAGGTGAGTGTCCTGATGGGTGGGTATGTCTTGTGTTCCCTGTCCTCATTGAGTCCCCTTTGTCCTTCCAGGCCTGGCATCTCCCAGGGTCTCCCGGGCTTCCAGCCCTGAGGGTCATCGTCCCTCCTCCCCACTGCTGGGGATCAAGGTAGGCTGTGCATGTGGGTCATTCCACTTGTCTTGTGGCCCTGTAATCTGTCCACCATGGACCCCAGTCCTAGCAACACAGCTGGGAGTGGTGTTCCCAAAGCCACCTTCAGAGGAGAGCGTGCTATTTGTGAGAACCTTGGTACTCATTTTTTTTTTTTTTCAGTACTGGGGATCGAACTTGCAGCCTTGAGCTTGCCAGGCAGACGCTTATGCCACTGAGCTAAATCCCCAGTCCCTTTGGTCCTCATTTTTATCTCTGCCATGTTTGGTTGTTTGAGACAGAGTCTCACTATGTAGTCCAGACTGGCCTCGAACTCGTCGTGGTGATCTTCTTGCCTCAGCCTCCCAAGTACTGGGACTACAGGTGTGCACTACCCTACCCATCTAGCTCTGTTACCTCTAAGCGGTATTACTTTGGGCCCATTATATTGCCTCACTGTTTCATCTGTAAAATGGGGCTAATAGTAGTGATTGCCATTTGGAACTGATGTTGTTAGCTAGGTGGCGTGAAGTTTCTGTAATCCTAGCACTTGGGAGGCTGAGGCAGGAGGAGGCTCACCCAGTGTTTGAGGTCAGCCAGGGCTACATAGTGAGTTCAAGGTCATTTTGACCTTGGGAGACCTTGTCTCAAAAAAAAAAATTACTCTTACCTTGGTGTCTTCAGCCTTTTGTTGTGTTTTGTCTTTTTGTTTTGAGACAGGATCTTGCCGTGTACTCCAGGCCTGCCTTGAATTCACTGTGTAGCTCAGGCTAGCCTTGAACACTGGACCTGCCTGCCTCAGCCTCCGTGTACTAGGATTATAGGACTGTGCCAACTCTCTGGCTATGTCCTCGTTCTTGAAGAAGACTGAGAAGGCCAGACAAACTTAGGGATAACAAACCGTGCAATTCTAGTTTTTAGACATACAGTCTGTAACTAATCTGTCTAGGACATCCAGAGCTGAGCAGGAATCTGATTTTCTTTCTTTCTTTCTTTCTTTCTTTCTTTCTTTCTTTCTTTCTCTCTCTCTCTCTCTCTCTCTCTCTCTCTCTCTCTCTCTCTCTTTCTTTCTCTTTTGAGACAGGGTCTCACTATGTAGTTCAGCCTGGCCTTGTCTCAGCCTCCCAAGTGCTGGAATTTCAGGTGTACACCACCACACCTGGTTACTGTTTCCTTTATTGAAATGTATGATTGGGAGCTGGGCAGGGTGTACACGCCTGTAATTTCAGCACTCGGGAGGCTGAAGCAGGAGGATCATTACAAGTTTGAGATCAGCCTGGGCTATGAAGTGAGCTCAAAGCTAGCCTGAACTGCATAGAGAGACCCTGTCTCAAAAAGACAACAACAAGTCAATAAAGGAAAACAAATATAAGTTGTGGGCAGAGATACCAAGCTGTATGCTGATTTTGGTTTCCATTGGGCATCTTCAAGTCCAGCTGTAAGATTGTGGTAACAATGAAGTGATTAAATGAATGTAGTATCTCCAAAGACTGCAAATAGTACCCAGGTTTATTTATTTATTTATTTTGTCTTTTTCGTTCTTATCGGTACTAGGGCTAAGTGCTTGCAAGGCAGGCACTTATGCCGCTGAGCTAAATCCCCAGCCCCTAGTACCCAGGTTTAGTGAGCACCTCATTCATTCTTCATCAGTTCACCCACTCAGCAAGTATTTATCTGTGATGCTGGGGCCCAAACCCAGAGCTTTTCACCTGGGAGGTGAGACTCCACTATGGTGCTCCCTGTAATCCCAGGCTTGAGGAGGAACAGGAGGAAGAGGAAGAGGCAGAAGGATCGCAAGCTCTAGGCCAGCCTGGGCGATTTAGCGAGATCTTGTCTCAAAATATAAAAAACAGCTGCGGATGCAGCACAGTGCAAAGGCCCTGGGTTCAGTCCCCAGTACCACACACAACAAAAACAAAACTGTGAATCTCTGTGGTGAACTGACTGGGAAGGGCCAGACTGCAGGCCGGGAGATCCGGGGTGAGAGGATAAAGAGGTGCCCTAGTCTTTGGGGTGTTGAGGGACTTCTAATCTCTCCAGGGTCCTACGGCCCGGCCCAGGATGAGTGCCCAGGAGCAGCTGGAGCGCATGCGCAGGAACCAGGACAGTGGACGGCCCCTCCTGCGCCCTGCTTCCCCCCGACTCCTTACCCTGGGGAGGACGCTGTCCCCAGCCAGACACCAGCCTGACGCAGAGCAGAGGGTAAGGGCAGGAGGGCTAGGACTGGCCGGGGGACAGTGACGGGCCCCTATTCCTAGTCTGTCAGTGTCCCGCCTTAAAACAAGAATATTCCCTACCTCCTTGCCCTGAGCTGATTCACCCCAACTAGTGCTTTATGAGCATCCTGGCTCGCCCAGTGCTGGGGGGCCAGAGCAGAGTGGTGAGGAGAAAAAAAAGGGGAGTTCCTTCGGGGGTGGAGGATGTCACAGACCTAGATGAGAGCCCAGTTGTTCTCAGCTGCTGTGTGTTGTCAAAGGAAAAAAATTCTTTGAGCAGAGCAATTGATTTTCTTCCCTATTACAAGAAATTAAAGATCAATGTGTTAAAAAAGGGCTTCACCTTAGATTCTTAAAGGAATTAGATAAGTCCTAGAGGTGTGTGGTGTGTATGTGTGTACACGGATGCGTGATTTTTTTCTCTGAGCCTCTTTCTTCAAAATGAAAAGGCAAGGTTTCCAGGGCAGGACTCCAAAGGCCCACTTCCTTTTCAGGCTGTCCTAGGAGCTGCAAAGTTGCTCAGAAGCTCAGGGTCCTGGAGCAGGTGAGGACCTGAAGGAGGGTGTGAAGAAGAAACACAAAAGGGAAGGCGAGGACTAGTGTTTATTATTAGGGTCTTCTGAGTACTGAACTACATGTTCCAAAACTTTAACCGCCACTTGAGTTCCTGGGGCATTAGAAACACCACCAAGAAGCCCTCCATCGCAGTGAGAACTGCAGTTCCCAGATCTATTCGTTCCTCTATCTGGGGGTTCTAGTAATGTGGAGGCGCAAGTAAACTACGAATCCCATAATACTCAGGGTCTGTGTTCAAACCTGACCAGTCCCATCACGTGCTCGGGACTACAACTCCCAGAGGGCAGCGCAAGGCCGCTACCTAAACCCCATAATGTCCCTTGTCTCCAGCCTACCTTTGTTTGTTTTTTCCTTCATTTTATGTCCAATCTACCTTTTTTAGTCCCAGGAACACTAGCCATTACTTGACCACATCCGACGGCCACAGGGAGCAGGTCCTCAGCCTGTCCCAAGCCCTGGCCACTGAGGCGTCGCAGTGGCGCAAACTGATGACAGGTAGGTAAGGGCCAGGGATAGCGGACTTCTAGGTTTCAGTGCGGGAGGAGCTGCAAACGTTGAGTACTGGGTCCGGGTGAGGAAGGGTCTGGTGCCTGCTGGGGGACTCCCATGTTGAGAAGAGTGTGTGGTAGCGACTGAGAGTTCTGAGTCCCCGGCAGGAGGGGACCAGGGTCAGGGTGAAGAGCCTTGAGGTGCCTGGAAGGCTGGCAGCTGAGTCTCAGGAATGGATTATGGGTTGAGACTATTGGGTCTGAGAAAGCGGGTGTTTGGGGCTGGATTCCTGGGGCAGAGGGTGGAGGGTGGGGCTTGGACTCCCAGATCTGAGGGAGGAGGGGCTGAACCTGGACTCCCAGGTCTGAAGAAGTGTTCTCTGGGATGGATTCCTGGGTCGAGGTCCCCGAGTCCTGAGTCCTAAAGTTTGCGGATCTCATTTCCCACTCAGCTTCTCCAGGTGGGAATTTGGACTGTCGCGAAGGCCCTATCCCTTCTGTTGCTCAGTCGGACCCCAGGCCCCAGGTCACCTCGCCTCCGAGATCCCCCGCAGTGACTGATTCCTCCGATTCCACTGGATTCTCTGGGCGCAAAAGTGAGCGAGGTGGAGGTCCGTCTCCCTGGGATCCCACGTGGGACTCGGGGAACGCCCCTCCAGCCGCCAGTCAGGACGACGGGGCGTGGCCTCTGAGGGTCACTCTGCTGCAGTCCAGTTTCTGACCTGCTTCGCCGAGGGGGCGTGGCCTGTGGCACCGCCTGGATATCTGTGGCCACTCAGAGCACCTGGGGGCGTGGTCTGGTCTCCACCTGTGTGGCCTGGGGAGGTGCCTGGTTTATATCGGTTAAATTTGGTTTTGCCCACTGTCCAAATTTGGATTAAAACTTTGAACTTTCAGTGAGTAGTTTTCTGTTTTGGGGTTACGATGCCGCAGCTTCTAAGGAATGAAAGTAGAATCGTGGATGGCTGGGTTCTGAAGGAATAAGGAACAGGGAGGGCCCTGGGTAGTAGGTGGCAGGGATCCTAAATTATTGGGTCTGACACAGGAGGGAATAGATACTCTGAATTCTAGGTCAGATGGGAGCAAAGGGCCGGAATTTAGGACTCCTAAACTCCGGGAGGAGGGGCTGGGGGGCGGGGATCCCCAGGTCAGAGAGAGGAGGTGGAGGCCAATTCCCCAGGTCTCTGGTCTTCCCGGCAACGCCCCCAGGGTTGGGCTCAGGGTTTGGCCCTTATTTACTCCGGGATCTCTGAGCCCCAGCACAGCGGATGTGGGGAGAGACTCCAGGACAGGCGGCTAAATCGGGATGGCATCGGGAACACGCTACGCAGGGAAGGTGGTGGTTGTGACGGGGGGCGGGCGCGGCATCGGAGCCGGGATCGTCCGCGCCTTCGGTGAGCAGGGGTCTGGTGCTGGACCTTTCCTGGGGTAAATGAGAAGGGTAGGGGAGTGACTATGAGAGTGAGAAGAAGAGATTGCATTCTAGATTCTTCTTTTAGCGAAGTCTGTTTTCAACGCCGAGGAAGGGTTCAATGCCCAGCGCCAGAGTTTTTGGCCTGCTGTCCAAAGCAAATTCCTCACTTTCTGGGGCTGTTACCATGGCTACGGGGGGCAGTTCAAGGAATTTGTGCGTCCCAACCTGAGGTTGACTGGGGAACCCACAGATGGGGGCTCAAGAGCTCAAGAGTTCAAGCCCAGCAGTCACCTGGTGAGGCCAACGGGAGAGTGTGTTAGGTCTCTGCCCTTTGTCCTGGGGTTTATCAGGAGACTTTGGGGTCACAAGTGGAAGACGATATTGGTCCTACTCCACGTGGCCACAAGAGGGCAGCACGGGTCTGAGTGAAGGCCGGCTAGGGACAACCTGTTCTTTCCCTGCAGCTGAAAGTGGGGCACACGTTGTCATCTGCGACAAGGATGGTGAGTGAGGGTCCCTAACTTGCCCTAGACTCTCCTCCCTCAGAGCTGGGGGGCCCGGGCCGGCTCCTCCTCTAACCCTGGCTCCAGCGCCTCCTCTCTGTCCCTGCAGAGTCCAATGCCCGGGTCCTGGAGCAGCAACTCCCGGGCACCGTCTTCGTCCGCTCTGATGTGACTCGGGAGGAGGATCTGCAGGTGAGCTCGCCTCTGCCTTGCACCCCCCCTTCCAGCAATTTCTACCGCCATGCTCCAGCTGGCTGTGTCACAGCGGGTCTTTCTCTTGCTGCTGTCCTGTCTGCTGCATCTGGATGCCTGCCCTTCCTCTCCATGTCTCCTGTCCTTTCTGTCTTGTGTGTATTTTTTGCTTACCCAGTCCCCATGTCTCTATTCCCTTTTTCTGGGTCTCTGTCCCCTGCTCTCCGGTTTCTCAGGTGATAACTGTACCTTGGCTCTGGCCAACCCAGCCTCTGGCCTCCTCTTTCTTCTCCAGCTAAGCTAGCAGCGCTGGCCGAGTGTGTCCCTCCTGGTTCTTGTCCCTGTCCCTTTCCCACCATCCCTTCCAATTCAGCCCTACCACTTCTCCAGGATTGTGCTTCTCTCCTCAGACCCTGATTGCTGAGACCATTCGCCTGTTTGGCCGTCTGGATTGTGTGGTCAACAATGCTGGCTACCGTGAGTATTGTGGCCCCATAACCATTTTCCCCGGCCATTTGGCCACCTCTTGGCCTCCACCATACCCTCCTATACTTCAGTTTCCCCTCTCCCTGGCCCCGGTCCCCCATCTTACTTCATCCCTCCCTGTTCCCTCAGATGGGACAGTGCAGCTGTAATGCTCACCCCAGCCTGAAACCCTGGCTCTCAAGCTGGCCATGATGGTGCACGCCTGTCATCTCAGTGCCCAGGAAGCTGAGGTAGGAGGATCACTGGGAGTTTGAGACCAGCCTGGGCTACATAGTGAGACCTTCTCTCAAAAAACCAAACCAAAAAATTTTAAAAACAGAACAGAATTGTCCTTACTCTGGCATTCACTGGTGGGCCGGTCTAGGTGACTCCCTTAAGGCTTTGACTGCTTGTAAAATAAAGAAAATTGAGCATAGCAGCAGGGGTTGCTGCAGAATTTAGGACCACATCTGTCCACACCCAGATGTTTGCACATCTGACACAACCATGACCAATGGCTGGGACGCGGAGTTATCCACTGAGTCATTGTTAGCTTCATGAGCCCTGGCACGCTGTGTCATCTGAAGGCTGCTTTTCCGGTTGTTCCTGCTGGGAAGGGTAAGGACAGGCTGCATGGCCTGGAAGAAGGAGGCAAGATGACACTGAGGAGGTTTGGCACAGTGCATGCTAGGTGCCCATCTGAAGCCCTGGGGGAAGAGGTGGCTGTTCTCCCGTCGGTGGGATGACGAGTCTCCTGTCTCCTCTACTCTCTGCCCTCGGTCCTGTTCCCAGCATGCCACCCCTTTATTTTATTTTTAATTTTTTGGTTTTTATTACCGAGACAGGATCCCACTGTATTCCAGGATGGCCTGGAACTCACTACGTAGCCCAGGCTGGCCTCAAACTCACAGCACTCCTCCTGCCTCAGCCTGCCAAGCATTGGGATTAGAGCCATGCGGTAGCACACCCAGCAACTCTCTATGCCTTTGCTCACTGTCTCATTCCTTGGAGAAGCCATGCACTTTATCTCCACCTTTCCTCCCATCTGGGCCTTTGCACCAAGCTGCTGCTCCAGCCCCTCTCTAGTTTTTATTTTTTTTTGTATTTTTACTGGTACCAGGGATCGAACTCATGACTGCCTGCTTGCAAGGCAGGCGCTTATGCCACTGAGCTAAATCCCCAGCCCTCTAGTTTTTATTTTTGAGACAGGGTCTCTCTGAATTGCTAAGTTCCCCAGGCTGTGCTCAAATTTTCAATCTTTCTGCCTCAGCCTCCCAATTGCTGGGGTCACAGGTGTGTACCACCACATCTGGTTCCCTAAAGACCTGTCTTCCTTAACTGATGCTGCTTGCAGTCCTTGGCTTGTTGCCCCGTCCCCTGGATCTACCATGCTTTCCTTTCCCCCATCGCTGTTCCCTCCTCTCTCCTCAGATCCAGTGGCTCAGTGGCCAGAGGACACCTCTGCCCAGGACTTCCGGCAGCTGCTGGAGCTGAACCTGCTGGGCTACTACTCCTTGACCAAGGTGAGGTGGCTCCTGGCCCCAGCCACGGCACTGCAAGCCCTACTGCACCCCAGAGCCCATGTCTTCCCTTGCTTGGTTTGATCTCCCCCCAAAAACCTCGTTTCTTGTTGACACTAGGCAGTGCAAAGCCCTCTGTCCAGCCAAAGCCACTTGTGTAGTGACACAGCCCAGCCTTCTCAGGAAATTCCATTTTATTGTTGTTGATTTTAAGATGGGGTCTCACTGTGTAGCTCAGACTGGCGTCTGTGATGATCCTCCTGCCTCAGCCTCCTGAGTACTGGCATTACAAGAGTGTACTACCTTGTCTAGCTAGGGTTGTTTTGGTTTTAGTTTTATTTGTTAATTTATTTTTATATTTTTGGCTAGGGTTTTCTGGTTTTGTTTTGTTTTTTGGAGACAGGGTGTTTCTACACAGTTCAAGCTGACCTCAATCTCACAGCAATCCTCCTGCCTCAACCTCCCAAGTGCTAGGATTACAGGCATAGGCTAGCAAGATTGTCATGGTTAGCTAGGGTTTCCTTAAAGGTGAGTTCATGTGGATGAACTTTTGGATGTGGAAGCTGTCAGGAAGGTGGAAAGGAGGTGTGAGGAAGAGTGGCTCTGGCAGAGGAGCAGCTGGTTGCAAAGGCCCTGTGGTGGGCTGTGGCTACCTGGATATGAGCGGGACAGCAGTAGAGTCAGCGTGGGAGTGAGGGCAGAGAGGGTACCCAGGAGTCCAGATGTCGCAGGACCTCTGAGGCGCGGGATAGTCTCAGTTTAGAGCTGGAGCCCGGGGTGTCCAGCTGGCGCCCTCTGGTGGCCACTCGCGGAATGGCCTGCGCCGTGACCCTGGGTGGGGCGACATCTGCCCAGCTTTGGTATGAAGCAGCTTCAAGCCTGAGCTTCTTTAGAACCACCAGGGAATTCAAAAGAGTTTTTGTTGTTACTATTTTGTTTTGAGACTAGGTGTTACTACCTAGCCCAGGCTGGCCTGGAATTTAAGATCTTCCTGCCTTAGCCTCCGGAGTACTGGGGCTACAGGCATATAGCACCATGTCCAGCAATGCTTAAAGTGAAAGAAAAAACAATCTAAATGCCCATCAACCGTGGAATGGATAAAAAAAGATGTGGTATTGTTATACAGTGGAGTACTGAGTACTACTCATCCATAAAGAAGGATAAATTGGAGAATTTTATAGGTAAATGGAGGCAAGTTGAGACCATCTCCTTAAGTGAAATAAACCAGATGCATGTGTGTAAACATCATATTGTCTCCCTAGAGTGAGAAGCTGAGAGAGTAAATAAGAGAAAAAGGTGTGTATATAATAATATATATATAGACACTTACATATGTATATATATAATATATGATAGTTAAGATGGTTATGTTACTAATTTCTCTTAGCTCATTGAAAAGAAAGTTTTGTGCTAATATTGTTTGGACAGTTAAATGCCAACATCTTATACTCTGAATAACTAATTTAAAGGTAAAAATATGCAGTGTATTAACCAGTGTTACCCTCTAATTATCTTGTTTTGAAATTTTTTTCCTCTTTAAATTTTTTTTTAAAAAAAGAAAAAGAGAATTCTATAATACCCATATGCCCTTATTTGTATCTAACAGTTACACACACGCACACACACACATGCACACACACACCAACCTTCTGTATCCATAGGTTCCACATCTGTAGATTCAACTAATTTACCAAAAGGGTAGCTGAGAGAGGTGGTGGAGTACCCTCTAATCCTAGTACTCTGGGAAGCTGAGGCAGGAAGATTACAAGTTCCAGCTCAGTCTGGGGAATTTAGTGACTTATCAAGACACTGTCCTAAAATAGAAGAATTTCTTAAAAAAAGAGCTAGGGATGCAGCTCAGCGCGTGAAGGCCCTAGGTTTAATCTCTAGGACAGTCACACTTGTTTAGGAGAGAAGTGGCGGTCTTCAAAGCCTCCTATGCCCTGGCCCTTTCCTCTCTGACCTCAGCACCCTCACACTGGTTCCATTCTACCCCAGGACCTTGGTACTTGCTGTCCTGACGAGTTCTCTTCCTGTCCTTCCTGCTCACTCTGCCCTCTATGTCTGTGTTCGGTTGTTTCCTTGCCAAATTGCTTTTTGAAATGCACCTACCCCAGTCCCCTCCCTCATCCCAGTGACACCCAGGTCCTCCTGATACGCCTGCCTCCTGTGTTCCCCACCTCCACCAGGGCAGAAAGCTACGGCTGCAGTGTTCCTGGACTTAGCCATGGTGTCTATACATAGTAGGTGCTCAATAAACATTCACAGACGGAATTTGGAGGTGGGGAGAATTATATCCCATGTGTCTCAGAAATAGCTTTGCCAGGGCTCCTGTGTGGGCAGAAGAGACACTGAGGCTTGGAAGACACTGGATTGGATTTCTAGGAGTGGGTGAGGAACTCCAGAGAGGGCTCGGGCAGAGTTAGAAGAAGCTGGTTGTTAACAGCCAAGTGCCTCCCTCCTCCTGCACACTGAGGGGATCAGGATGTGCAGACACAGGCTTGTAACCCCAGCAACATGGAGGCTGAGACGGGAAGACTGCACATTCAAGGCCATCCTGGGCACATCGCAAGAGTTTGTCTCAAATTTTTTAAAAAAATGCAATAAAACCAGAACTGGGGTGCACTGAGCCTGACAGAGCATGCATTTATGTCCCGGTACAACAGTGTCCCAGGGATCTGCTGTGAGTCTCACTGGGTGGTAGGAACAGGCCCCACCCTGGTCATCCCAGCTGCCCAAGGCAGGTGACAGGAAGGTTAGAATCTGAGTTCATCTAAGGTCATGTCCTGTCCTGCATACCAGGAGCGGGGACAGTCAGGAGAGAAGTTCACAGAGAATTCACTTAGGTCTCCACTTCTGTTTGTTTTTGGATTTTGTTGTTGTTTAAGACAGAGTCTTGCTCTGTAGTTCAGGCTGGCCTAAAACTCACTGTGTAGCCCCCTGGGACGCACTGTGATCCTCCTGCTTCAGCCTCCTGAGTGCTGGGATAACAGACGTTCACCACCAGCTCCAGTTCTGTTTTGAACACAGAGAAACCTTCCCCTCTGAGCCCTTCCTTTATTTTTTATATAGCTGTTTGGACCTCTCTGTGGCTTTCCCTAGCTTGTTGGGGGCAGGGTTTTCAGTAACATAAAAAGCCAGAGAGATGTCAGACACTAGAAAAGGGGGAAGAGAGAGAAAGAGAGGGAGAGAGAGCACAAAATTCTCTTTTAGCGCTGGGCATGGCGGTACATGCCTGTCACCTCAGCAGGCAGGAGGCTGAGGCAGGAGGATCACTGGGAATTCCAGGCCAGTCGGGGCTACATCGCTAGGCCATGTCTCAAAAAACCAAACCCAGACAAAATAAATTCCCTTCTAGACAAAGAAAAGTTCCCAAGTACCAAGACCCAGCGACACAAGGGCAAGCCACACGAAGTGCTAGGTGTGGTGGGTCACTGTCCCGACATCAGGGTATGGTGGCTGATTCTGCTTCATGTCCCCAGCTCGCCCTCCCCCACTTGCGGAAGAGCCAGGGCAACATCATCAACATCTCCAGCCTGGTTGGGGCCATAGGCCAGACCCAGGCGTTGCCTTATGTCGCCACCAAGGTATGCCAGCCCCTGCCCTGCCTTGCGTCCTACTCCCCGCCCCGGTTGGGTCTGAGGCGTCCCTGGAACTGAGACGTGGAACCTAGTGAGCGCTTCTGCAGAAGAGGTTTGCAGTTCGCTGACTCCCGAGGTGAGAGGAGTTTTCATAAACGGAGCGGGAAGGGTTCATTGGGCAGATTTTAGGATGAACACAAGAGGGCGCTCAGAGAACTGAGACCGTGTCGCGGGGAGGGCGGACAGCTATTTCTGCTTCTCAAGAGAGGTGGAGGGGCTGGGATTGAGCTCAGCAGGTGTAACCGACTGCCTGGCAAGTGCGAGATCATGGGTTCGCTCCCTGGTACCAAAAAACAGAAAAACAAGGGGGGTGGGTGGGATGTGGAAGCCCCAACTCACCCCAGGAAGGATACGGCCCACGCCACAGGTATGGGCTCTGTCTTATTTTTTGTTTTTTAGTTCAAACATTCTTTTTCTGTTTTTCCAGAGTAGAAAATATTTATTGGGGGAAAGAAAGCTTCTAAGAGACAGAATGGGTCCCCAGGGGTCTGCCTAGGCATTCTTTAGATTGTCTCCACGTGTCGTGTCCCCCACCCCACCGTTCCTCTAGGGTTCACCCTCCTGCTCTGTACTCTCAATGAAGCCACTTCGTGGACTGTTGGTTTCCTGAGGAATTTGGTTGGGTCAGGTCCTGGGGGGAAGAAGCCTAAGTCTAACTAAGGGAACACTGATGCAGATGGCCTTGGGCACCTTGGCTGTGTCTTTGTTTTTTGTTTTTTGTTTTTAAGACAAAGACTCACTATACTATCATAGTTCTGGCTGGCCTTGAATACACTATGTAGCCCAGGCTGGCCTTGAACTTTCATCCAGAAACTTTCATCCAGGCTGGGATTACAAGCTTGCACCATCATAATTTTTGTTTTGTTTTGTTTGTTTGAGATGGGCTCTAGGGTCTCTCTTTGGAGCCCACATGGCCTGAAATGCATAACCCTCGTGCCTGAGGCTTGCCCCAACAAGCCCTGTGACAAACCTTTGGGTGCAGGAACCTGGGAAAGTCCTACATGTGATTCTCAGGATCACCCCCAAGGAACAACTGGTGACAAACAGTTCGGCCCCAGTTTTCCCCAAGCCACAGAGCCTGGTGCCTTTGAAAGCAGTCTGCTGGGAGGGTGAGATTTCTCCATCCCGCTGCCCCTGCTTGGGCCCCTGGCCGGAGAGGGGAGATGGGCGGGGCCCTATCTTGTGGAATCTGACTCTGTCCCTGGGTTCTCTACAGGGGGCAGTCACAGCCATGACCAAAGCCTTGGCCTTGGATGAGAGCAAGTACGGAGTCCGAGTCAACTGGTGAGCAGCTTCCAGTAGGCAAGAGCCCCATGGGCCGCTGGGAAGAGGGCCGAGCCCCTTGGCAGCATCTGTGATGCCCTCTGCCCCCATTCCCCAGTATCTCCCCAGGGAACATCTGGACCCCGCTGTGGGAGATGCTGGCAGCCTCCTCACCAGACCCCCAGGCCACGATCCTGGAGGGGGTGCTGGCCCAGGTGAGTGCAGAGCAGAGGAGACCTGGGGGCGTGGCGATCCAGGGGCGTTCCCAAACCCCTCCCGACCCCCTTTCTCCGACTCTCTCCCCAGCCCCTGGGCCGCATGGGCCAGCCCGCTGAGGTGGGCGCCGCAGCTGTGTTCCTGGCCTCAGAAGCCACCTTTTGCACAGGCATCGAGCTCCGTCTGACGGGGGGCGCAGAGCTAGGGTACGGAAGCAAAGCCAGTCGGGACACCCCTTTGGAAATCCCCATGCTTCCTCCTGACTTCCCACGGCAGTCCCTGGCGTGTACCACCTCCCCCCAGGAGCAGCTCCCTGCCCCGTAGACTTGAAGCCTGCTTAGGCGATCGCCCTGTCGGTCCTCCCTCCCCCGGGTTCTCAACAAAGTAGCTTGCACCGATGCAGAGAATCGCTGTTTATTCCCTGCCCTTTCTACGAGTTGGCCATACCAGGCTTCCAGCCCTGCGCCCACACTTCCCTCTGCCCTGCGACCCAGCTTCCCTCTCGGCCCTGTGTCAGTGCCCCCGTTGCTAATTCCTATCGGCCAAGTGGAGAGCGATTTGGATTCACCTTAGTTAAAACGCCCCCACGGGAGGTAAATTAAGCGCTAATTAGGAGAGAATGGAGAAGCAGCGAAAAGGTCTCTTTATTCTTTGGCGATCAGGGAAAAGGACCTTTGGGTCCCTGGTCCGTACAGGAAGAAGGTGGCTGCCCCTGGGGAAGTAAGGTTGAGACAACTGGGTCAGAGGGAGATAGGGCTGAAACCGGAATGCCTGGGTTTAAGAGAGGAAGAACCAGGGGTGTGTGGATCCCCGGATGCGACTGTGGATCTTGGGCTCCGCGCCCTGGCGCAGTGTAGGTGAGGGTGCGGGGCTATAAGGCTGCGGCCGGTTGGTCCCGGCGGGGGTGTGCGGCAGACGCTGATTGGCCGAGGCGGGGGCGGGGCGGCTTGTGGGCACCGCCCCTACCGTCGTGGGCTGGGAGAGGGGGGCCGGGGACTCGGGCCAGTGGAATAAAAACAGCAACATCTGCGGGGGAGGGTGCGTGATTGGGGAGCTCTAGCCTGTGGCATTTGAGGTTGAGGACAGTGACTCTGAAGCAGGATTTGTGAACATGATGGGGGTGGGGATGGATAGAGTTTGGGGAGAATCTCCCAGAATTATGGAGGCACAATGGCCCAGGATGTTGGGAACATAGCAGAGATGGGATTTTAGTGTCTCAGTGATCTGGATTGAGGAGTTTGGGGACAGTAGGTGACTGAGGAGTGACTCAGGGTCACTTACTGTCACAGGTCTGAATGGCCGAGGTCAAAACCTGAAGAGTGTGATTGGCATCTCCCCTGAATTCGGGGAGATGCTCATAAAGGTGGTCACTAGGGACTTCTGTGCGCGGGGTGAGGTGGGGCACCTGTTATCGGAGACTCACGGATGAGTGGGACAGAGAGCGACAATGTGGGGGGGGCTTCAATGATGAAAGGGACTAGAAAGAAGCAAACCCTGGGTGCTTTTATCTCGGGGACAAAGAACACATATCTTCTTCATGGTAAGAAAAACTACAAATTCACACAGGATGTATCCAAATTGCGGGGCCAAGCTCCTCTTGCATACCCCCGACCCCCGCACCCTCTCGGGCCACTTCCCAAAGTCCCATTTTGTGGTGCATTCGCTGACAGTCACTGTGAGCTCTTCCTTCCCACAAAAAGACTGTGATCAACGGGAACTTTCTGCTCCTTGCATTTGCCCCGGCTTATCCCGGACTGCCTATCCTGGCCACCACTCCACGACAGCTTTAGTGAATAAATAAAACAAACGCTGCACCGAGGCTCTGGCGTGCGTGTGGCTGGGACAGAGCAGGGGTGGGGGCTTGGCTGGGTGAGTGATTTTCAGTTTCTTCCTCTTCCTGTGCATGTGCTCCGGTAACAGGGCCAGAGAACTGGAGGCCTGGCCCGAGCCACCCCGCCACGCTTGTCCCTGCGGGAGGGGCGTGAGTGGGGCGTGGCCAGAACGGCTTTCTCCGGGCCGGGCCCCTGCAGGGTACAGTTAACCCGCCACGCTGACCATGGCCGCAACCGCGCTGGGGCAGGTGGGTTCGCGGCCCGGCCGCTGGGGCAAGGGGAACCTTGGGGAGGGGTGCACTTCCGGGAGGACCACTGGAGCGCAGCGCTTCCGGCTTGGCACAGCTCCTTTGGCCCTGGGGTTCCGTGGCAGGGCGCGCGGACGGGGATGGTTCCCCCTTGCGGGGTGCCCCAGGTGCTAATGGGCTGGGGGAAGTAATTGATGAGAAGAGGGTCTGCGCTGGGAGGTGTGAAGTGGGAAGCGTAGAGGATGAGGCTGTACTGGGCGAGGCCGCGGCCCAGAGCTGGTGTGATTTGGGGACCACAGCCCTGGGGCATTAGGGAGGAGTCCTGCGTGGGGCCTGGGCTGGCGGGAGGAAGCGCAGAGCTCGACCTTAAATTGGATCCCTCGCATTGGATCACACTCCATGTGAAAAGGAAGAGCTAGCAGTGACTCTGGGGGCCCTGAAAGTAGATGAAGACATATGCGCAATGTTTATCTGAAGCTTAGCACCTAGTGTAGAAACTGAGGCAGCGTCCCTTTGTCCAGGAGAGGCGTCCCTTTGTCCAGGAGAGGCGACAGGTCCTGTAGGCGAGTTGGACCACCCACGCTCACGGGATAGCTTGTGCAGCAGCAGGATTCCGAGCAGGGTTTCTAAGTGGAGAAGGAAACAGTCAGGGAGTACAGCCGTTTACCCTGCAGCGACCTTGAGAGAAAAGTTCCTGTTTGCTTTACACCTGATTTACCTGGGTCAACCCAGGCTGCGAAGAGCAGCCCTGGCCTTTCCTTTCTTTGGGTCTTAGTGACTGACTGCGACAACTCTGGGATAGACAGGGCCCATCTGGGCTGTTAGAGGGACAGTCATGGCCATGACAAGAACAGCACTGCACTATAACGAGAAGCCATCCTGGCTGCGATGCAAGGACCTGGAGACTGGCTGTCTGGGCTGGGCTTCCACAGGGACCCTGCTAGATTCTGATGGTGATGGACACACTCGTGAGCTGTGCTGGGGACAGCAGCCCTGGGTTGTGCAGAACACGGACCGGGAGGCTCTTGGATGTCACCGAGCTGTGGCCAGTGCACCACCCGCACCTTCATCATTCCTGACTGGGCTGCAGGCTGTTGGCACTTTGTCCCCATGGTTTCCCTGACACCTGGCATGGCTTTGGGCCCACCCCCACCGCGTGGGATGAGAGATGGGAGCCTACAGGAGAGCCCTGGCTTCAGAGACGTGCCCAGCAGGATGAAGGTGGCTTTTTCCATAGTTACCAGCTGTCCCTGGCCAGTGAGATTTATAATCTCCTGGATGCCATGCCCAGCTGTGTGGCACATTCTCCTGCTTCTCCTTCCTCCTGGATCAATCTTCATCTCTCTATCTGTCTCTCTCTCTCTTTGTCTCACTGTGTAGCCCAGGCTGGCTTCAGGGTGACCCTCCTGCTTCAGCGTCCTAAATGCTGGGAAGACAGGTGTACACTCCTACGCCTGGGTTCTAATTTTTAATTTTTTAAATTTTTTTATTTCTAATTTTCAATTTTAAGACAAGGTCTTGCTAAGTCACCAGATTCCCTGAGCTGAGTTTGAATTTGAGATCCTCCCGCCTCAGCCTTCTGGAGTGCTGGGATTATAGGGCTGTACCATCATGTCTGGCTCTGAGCTTCTCTGAGACAGTTTCTCTCCCACTCTTTCCTCATTTCACTAGCTGTGCTTCCACTGTAGGCCCTGACATCTAAACTTTATCTACTTCTTTCCTTTTTCCTGTCCTGTCTCCTGGCTTCTCTTTGTCCTACCATCAGTCACTTTTCTAATTTCTCCAGGCTTTCTTTCTTAAGTTTGTCTCTTTTATCTTTCCTTATTTATTTATTTTTGGTACCAGGAATCAAATTCAGGATCTCACGCTTTGCCAGGCAGGCACTGTGCCACTGAACTAAACCCCCAGCCCTCTATTTACTTTTACTTTTTTTTTTTGATACCCGGATCGAACTCATGACTGGGCACTTGCAAGCAGGCACTTATGCCACTAAGCTAATTCCCTAGCTTACATTTTAATTTAATGTTTTTGAAACAAAGTCTCCCTACGTCATGCAGGCCAGCCTTGAACTCACTGTGTAGACCAGGCTGGCCTCAAACTTGCAGTGATCTTCCTGCCTCAGCCTCTGGAGTACTGGGAATATAGCTATTTACCGCCATACCTGACTTCTCCCTCTTTCATCTCAGCCTCTCGCTTTATGCTCAGATTTATTCACCAGTCCTTTGCCTTGCTTTCTCCCCTTTCTAGCCCGCATCATCCACCTCGGTGTCTTTGGTTCATCCACTTCCCCGTCTGAGTCCCTTTTCTTTCTTTTCTGTTTTTGGCTCCCTCTGCCGTCCTCGCCATGATGTGCTGGCTGCCCTGTCCTGTCTCTGCCTTCTCTCTACCACATGGAGTGTCCTGGCCCTTTCTGGGCAGCTGTGTGACCACAGGGCCAGGCGGGCTGCCTGTCACCTCCACAAGGCATGTGGGCAGCGCATGCTGATCATCCCAGAAGCCCCGATCTGCACCCCCAGGCTGCACCTCAGGCTTGGTGGCCCAGCTCCCAGCTCCCCATGACTCACCTACTTGTCATTGTCGCTGTCCCAGTTCACAGGTTGGGAACTGAAAAGGCCACTCTGTTTCCCTCAACCTCAAGATCCAGTGGTCTCTCTGCAGGGCTTGGGAAAGGGACATTGTGAGGTCAAGGATCATGCTGCTGGACACAGCCAGACCTGCTCTCCCTGGCCTCCTTGGAGAGGAGAAAGACGAGGGCCACTTGAGCATGGTTCTGGGTGACTGCAGGGCCCCCTGTCTTCATGGAGATTTGCATGGAGTGGAGTCCTTGTGCAGGGTGGGGCTGGCAGGAGGTCAGAGCCCCGGGCTCTACAGCAGAAATCCTAGAGCTTTGGACTCCTGGGACCCATGCTGGGGGCCAGGGCCCGCACCCTTGAGTTCTGGGGGAACATAGTTTCAGGGCCCTTACTTTTCTAACTGAAGACAGGCTTGAGGACCCCGCTGAGGTCCTCACTTACCTGCACACCTTCCTGCGTTGTCCTCTATCTGAGCTGCTCTCAGGCTGGGGCCAAAGTTCTCTGGGGTAGGAGGCGCCTGCGCTAGACTTTGCTCCAATGGAGGAGGGCGGGAGTTGGGCTGGTGCTTTCGAGGGACAGGATGACCCCTTGGGACTTCGGGAAGGGTTGGCCAGGCACATGCTCTGAAATGCACTGGGGTTGCAACACTGGCCCCAAGGAAACTCCTGGGTGGAGGAGGGAAGCAGGAGAGGTTGGGTGCCCTGGCTCTGTCTGCGTCCCCCACTGGCTTCATCACCTTGCATATTGCTCTCCACACACAGATATGGGCCCGGAAACTTCTCCCTGTCCCCTGGCTTCTGTGTGGTGCCAGAAGATGTGCTTCTTCCAACTTCAAGGTGAAAGCAGGGACCTGGACCCCCGGGACTGAGGGAGGAGGCTGGGCCTGAACCCCCTGGGTCTGAGTAGGGATTTGCTGGCAGCTTGATTCAGGGATTGCCAAGAGTCTGGCAAACCCAGAGTAAAGGTAGATAGCAGGGTGGTGTAGTAACCTGCCATCAGGCAGTGGGAAAGCAATGGAGCCTTGTTTCCCAGAGGCCTCTGGGGTATCTGGGCCTCCTTTGTGGGTCTGAGATCCCAGTGCCTGATGGGAGCTGTAGTTTTCCAGTTTAGAATCTAGCCAAACCCAAACAACACCCCCCCACCCCTCTCACCCCCCCCCCAACACACACACCTGGGTGCCCCATCTTTTTCAGGCTGCAGACCTGCAAATGCAAATGACCCAAGAACCACAAAAGAAGCCCAGCCCCAGCGAGCCCCTGGTGTTTGGGAAGATGTTTACTGACCATATGCTGATGGTGGAGTGGAGTGGGGCAAAGGGCTGGGGCCAGCCCCGGATCCAGCCCTTCCAGCACCTCATGCTGCACCCGGCCTGCTCCGCCCTCCACTACTCCCTGCAGGTGGCCAGGCAATGTCTGTATTTCCTCTTTGCTGTGTCTCTTGATAAATGTATCCCTTTCTTTCATTTATTTATTTATTTATTTATTGTCTTTTTGAGACAGGGTCTTGCTATGCAGTTCAGGCTGGCCTTGAGCTCACTTTGTAGCCCAAACTGGTCTCAAACTCCTAATGATCCTCCTGCCTCAGCCTCCCAGTGCTGGGGATTACAGGCGTGAGCCACCATGTCTGGCTATTGGGTTGGGTTTTTCTATCTATCTTTTCTTTCTTCTGATTCTGCTTTTTCCTCTTTTTCTTCCTCTTCTTTCTTTTCTTTTTTGAAATCAGGTCTTGCTAGGTAATTCAGGCTAGCTATGAATCACTACATAGTCCAGGCTGGCCTTGAACTCATGCTTTTTTTTTTTTTTTTTCTTTTTGTGGTTTTTTTTTTTTTATTGGTACCAGGGATCGAACTCACGACTGCCTGCTTGCAAGGCAGGTGCTTATGCCGCTGAGCTAAACCCCCAGCCCCCTGAACTCATGCTAATCCACCTGCCTCAGCCTCTTGAGTGCTGGAATTACAGCTGTGAGCCACCACACTTGGCTTTTGTCGTGTGTCTCTTCTTTCCATGCATTTATCCTTCTCTGTTGGGACGCCTCCCCTTGCTCCAGGCCCTGGTGCTGGGTGGTGCAGAGTCCTTTACTTTAAAACCCTGCAGCTCAGGCAGAGCTCTGTATAATGTGTTGCAGCCATGCAGGAGGCCAGCAGAGAGCTCTGTTGAAGCTCCTTCTACCAAAAGGGCAGCCACTAGTGCAAAGTCCCAGATGGCAGAAGATTGTGGGATTGGGGTCTGGCCACAGACTGGGTGTCGGAGGGGCAGAACTTTGTCCAAGGAAGCTGGGAGCCATGGAGGACTCAGCAGTGAAGCAGCAAAGCCCGGCAGGAAAGAACAATGGCAGAGGTCTGACCAGGCCAGTGTGGTGGGTGGTAGCCTCTAACACCATCTTTCTGGCAGCAGTGAAGCCTTCCATGCTGGCGACACCCCCTCAGATACCCATTGCTTGGGTGGTTCCAGCCTGTGCTACTGTGGACAAAGCTGTGATAAGCAGTCCAGTGCATGTATCTCTCTGCCCAGTTTCAAAGCCGTTGGGGCAGAGGCGAGGCTCTCCTGTGGTTTGGGAAAGTGTTAAAACACGTGCTTGTGGGACTGTGGGTTTCCACACCTGCGTTCTGAGCCTGTTTCTCCAAACGTTGGGCAAGCCTCGTCCAATTTGGAAATCTTTTCCAGTCTCCTGAGTGGTTTTAAAGGTTCTCCAAGGAATTCCAGTGTGCATTTGCCTCCTAATTAGGAGCGCAGATGGTTATTTTAGGTTTTTGGTGGTAGTGAGGTGCTACTCCTTGAACTCAGGGTCTGCTCAGCCTCCAAGAGTGCTAGGATTACAAGTGTGCCCCACCACCTTGGACCCTAGCACTTTTCCTTTTTGAGACAGTCTCACTAAATTCCCCATGTTGACCTCAAACTTGGGATCCTCCTGCCTCAGGCTCTATGGGACCGGGGATTCCTAAAGCCCTGTTCCACCAGGCCTGGGTTTCTTATTTAAGAGCCATTTGTATTTCCTTTTCTGTAAACTATTTGCTAGGTTAAAATTTTCGGTTAGAGGGCCAGGGATTTAGCTCAGCGGCCCAAGAACCTGCCTAGCAAGCACAAAGTCTTGAGTTTAATCCCTGGTACTGAAAAAAAAAGTGGGGGGGATCCTTAAATTTTCAGTTAGGTTGGATTTTTTTTTTTTTTTGGTCTTTTTTTGTTTTTATCGATCCCCGGTACCGATAAAAAAATAAAAAATTAAAAAAAAAATTGGTGTGTAGCTGGGCATGGTGATCCCCACCAGTAATCCTAGCTACTTGGGAGGCTGAGACAGGAGGATCACAAAAATTTGAGGTTCGTCTGGCAGTTTATGGGGATGGTAGCTCAAGTCTCCTTGGGTTCAAGCTCTAGTTTTAAAAAAAATGGCTGGGGTAATCCTAGCTCTCAGGGGACTCAATTTAATTTTCTTCCTAGGTAGACAGTTCCTTTTTTATTCTATTGTTCAGGCTGGACACAGTGTTTGTACCTACCAGTGTCACACTGTTTTAAGTAGCTCAGATTTAAAGTCTGTTTTAGTATCTTGCTCTTTGTCCCCCTAACCCCCCCAAATGTACTAGTATGCTTACTTACTTTTCATTCATTAAGTCAATAAAAACCCATTGTATGCCAAGCACCACCCAGGTTCCAGGGATGGGTGCTTCTGTGGAGAACAGGTCAGAAGTGGTCCTGATCCTAATGCTCTTCCAGCCTCTAGTGGACCAGATGCATAAACATGAAGTTGCAGGGCAGAAATCCCAGTGCCCTAGCCTGTCCCTGGGTGAGGACTCTGGCATGAGAGTGGTGACATTTGATTGTACCATTTTTTGTCATGGTGCTAGGGATGGAGCCCAGTCAAGCACTCTGCCTTGGAACTTTATCCCATGTCTACTGTTTTTTTGCTTTTTTTTTTTTTTTTTTTTTTTTGAGACAGTGTCTCACTGTATAGTTCAGGCTGGCCCTAGAGGTACTCACTGTGTAGCCCAACCTAGCCTTCAATTTGCAGAGATCCTCCTGCCTTGGCCTCAGGAATGCTGGGATTACAAGTGTGCGCTGTACTGTACTGGTGCTAAATAATACCTTCCGGGAGCTCTAGGAACCAGACAAACAATTGGTTTGTCATCTGCGTTCTGTCTCCGTCTGTCTGTATCTACCATCTGTCTCTTCAGCTTGCCTGTCTGTTGTAATTCGATGTGTTCCTCTGTCCCCTGCTCTGTGCTGTCCTGCTGTCTCTGCATGGTGATATTGGGGTGTCTCCAAGACCGAGCCTCCCACCCTCTGTCCCTGCAGCTCTTCGAGGGCTTGAAGGCCTACAGGGGCAGAGACCAGCAGGTCCGCCTCTTCCGACCCTGGCTCAACATGGATCGGATGCTGCGCTCGGCCCAGCGGCTCTGCCTGCCGGTGAGCAGCCCCTGGCCGTGGAGGGGCGGGGTGGGGTATGGGCACCCCCAGTCCTGACATGTAAAGGTTCCACCTAGACTTTTGACAAGGCGGAGCTGCTGGAGTGCATCCGCCGGCTGGTGGAGGTGGAGAAGGACTGGGTCCCCGAGGGGCCTGGCACCAGCCTCTACGTGCGGCCCGTGCTCATTGGCAATGAGGTGAGCCTGGCTCAGGGAAGGGAAGGGGCAGGGGTTGAAGGCGGAGGCCAGGCCTGGACTTCCAGTCACTCACACTGCCCCCCTTTTCCCTCACAGCCTTCACTGGGTGTCGGCTGTGTCTCGAAAGCACTCCTGTTCGTCATTCTCTGTCCTGTGGGCTCTTACTTCCCTGGGGACTCCTTGACCCCCGTCTCCCTGCTTGCTGACCCAGCGTTTATCCGAGCCTGGATAGGGGGTGTCGGTGACTACAAGCTGGGGGGGTAAGTAGCACCCGAAACCTCAGGGTGTCCCGTGCCCTGGAAATGACGGAACCCAGATTCTGAGCTCAGAGTTGGGGGCTGTCTGGGTGTTGTCCTTGCCTTGTTCCCATGGCCAGGGCCACCCACTATGGGGAGATGACGGCCTGTCACCAAGGTGCAAGGTCCAGGCTGAGCTTGGTGTCACCGTGGACACACTGTGGGAGGGAGGTGAGAGCACGGCACAGATGGACCAGATGAGCCTCAGCCAGAGAGGGAAGGGGCCTGCTTCAGCAGGGGAGCCTCGAGAGCGCCAGAAGGAGCCTGCAGGTCCCAGACGCATCACGGGGGGCAACACTGGGAAAGGCTGGGGATTTCAGGACATGGCTCTGAGGAACGGTGTGAGGGAGACGAGCTCAGCAGGAAAGGCAGGGTGCAGGTGCCATCCAGAGAACAGGAGGAGGCAGCAGGGCCCATCCCCCCAGGGACCCTGTCTGTGGCACTGGGGAGCCACAGGAGGGCTGGGAACTGGGAATAGTAGGTCATCCCCAGTAGGGAAAGACTCCTCGAGGGCCACATTGGGGGGCGGGTTGGGAGGGTCCCTTGTTGAAGCTGACCAGGCTGCCACCCACCAGGAATTACGGGCCCACTGTGTTAGTGCAGCGGGAGGCACAGAAGCGGGGCTGCGAGCAGGTGCTCTGGCTGTACGGGCCCGACCAGCAGCTCACCGAGGTCGGCACCATGAACATCTTCATCTACTGGACCCACAAGGACGGGGGTGAGCTCAGCGATGAGCCAACCCCGGCCCTGGGGGGAGTGGCTGGTGATTCCCTCTTTCCTCAGAGGTTGCAGTGCCAGGGATTCCAGGGGTGGGATGGGGTGGGAAGAGGGCTCCAGGCTGTGGGTGACCCCTCCTTACACCTGACCTAGTCCTGGAGTTGGTGACGCCGCCATTAGATGGGATTATCCTGCCTGGAGTCGTCAGACAGAGCCTGCTGGACCTGGCCCAGTCCTGGGTAGGGTCTGGGGCACCTTGGGGTGGGGCCAGGCATGTTGGCAAGTCTCTATACCCCTGGTCTCTGTGCCTGTCTTCCTCGGCATCCTCTGGGGAAGGGAAACAGGATTAGAGCTATTTCCTCTCCTGCTTTGAAGGGTGAGTTCCGGGTAGCAGAGCGCAAGATCACCATGCAGGAGCTGCTGCAGGCGCTGGAGGAGGGCCGGGTGCGGGAGATCTTCGGCTCCGGCACTGCCTGCCAGGTCTGCCCGGTGCACCAGATCCTGTACGAAGGCAAGGTGAGGCGGGGCTGCTGAGGGGGCAGGAGAGGAGATGGTGGAGACGCCCCAGCCTCACGGCACTTTCTCTCCCAGAATGTCCACATTCCCACCATGGAACATGGGCCTGAGCTCATCCTCCGTTTCCAGAAGGAGTTGAGGGCAATTCAGGTGAGTCCCACCCACAGGGAATTGGCTGGAGGTTTCTTTCCTGGCACCTCCTCAGTCATCCTGGATAATAGTCCCCCTGTCAGCCTATAGGCCACAGGCTGAATAAGTTTTCCAGGAATTCCTTTTGGCTGAAACACTACCCCTTGGTGCTAAATAACACTTTCCGGGAGCTCTAGGAACCAGACAAACCAATTGTCATTTCCACTACTCAAGAGCCTCTGCTTCTCCTGGTGGGAGAAATCCCCTTCCCATGAGCCTCTGCAGCTTCTGGGGCTCCTGGACAGAGGAAACCCTTTCATCTTCTTGTGACCTTTTGAGAACACAGGGTCTCTTTTTCGTGCTGGCCCTCCCTCTGGGCACACAAACTGGACTCCTAAGACGCCCTAAGGCTCTGAGCTCTGCCTTTGGGTTGAGAAATCTTACTCCTTAAGGACCTCCTGCCCAAGAAAATTTCCTCCCATAAACCTCTGGGGCCATTCCTATGCTTCTGAGCCAAGATGGCTTTCCCCTCCACCTTTCTTGTAAACTTGTACACTACAACTACACTTCTGACTGGGCTTTCTGAGTTGGAACTACTTTTCCAACGCCTCGGGAGCTCTGCAATTCCTCAGAACTCCTTTAAGCCCCTGTGCAGTTGCCTAGATGGCCCCTCCCTTCCCCGTGACAGATGGTGTTCCCTGGGGATTGGACTTCATTTCCCATGAGGCTGCGGGGTGGAAGCCATGAGCCCTCAGTCTGGGGCACTCAAAGGCCTCTTGGGAGTTGTAGTTTACCCCCCCGCCCCCCGTTTGTCTTGCAGTACGGAACCAGCGCCCACGAGTGGATGCTCACTGTGTGAAACTGCGGGGCTCGGCTGGACCACACCTTAGCCTCAGATCAACCGACCTGTCAGGACTCATTTGAAGTGCAATAAGAGAGGCCCAGGTCCCTGGCGCCCCCTGGTGGTTGCTACACTCCCAAAGCTGTGAGAGCTGGGTCCAGGCCTTTGAGACCTGGCCCTGCGACAGGGGCGGGGACCCGGTGGCCTCTCCCTACCCCTGCTGCTCCATGTTCATCTCCTGGGGGGTCAGAGATGTTTCGTGGCCTCGACTCTGCATCTCTCCGTTCTCAGGCCGGACCCCACTGCTGCCGTTAATTTTTTTTCTCTCTGTTCTTGCTACAATTTTGAAATAAAATGCCAAAGAACAAAACATTGGCTGTCATCTCCAGTGACGCAACTCAAGACCTAGTGTTTTAAAGCAGGAATCCTGACCTTTGGCCACTTTGTCTTCAAGGACCCAGTGTCCTGGTGGTCTCTAGCCCGGGAGCAATTTCTATCTCTCCAGTCAGAGTTAGCATTTCCTTCCCCTTCCCAGCTCCCATCCTGGGGACAGTTTGCATCCATTCCCGACATCCACCCATCAGCCCTGGGCCCCTCTCAAAGTCATTGTTTTCCCTGACTGCTCGAGCGCACTCTCCTTCTCTCTCTCTCTCTCTCCTGAAACTGAGGATTGAACTCATGACCTCACACTTGCCAGGCAGGTGCTTATACTGCTGAGCTAAATCCCCAATCCTCCTTTTCTTTTGAGGCAGTGTCTATGTAGCCCAGGCTGGCCTCAAACTCCAGGAGATCCCTGTGCCTCAGCCACCTGAGTGCTGGGTTGGCAGGCTTTCACCACCATCCTTGGCCTCTGTCTCCTCTTCACCCCCTAGGTGCTGGCTTCAGGGTCATGGTTTGTACCCTGTCCCAGACTTCACTTTAAAATATATATATTTTACAGACAAGATCTTACTTTGGCTGGCTTTGAACTCCTTCCAAATGCTGGGATTACAGGGTGCACCACAACACCCAGCTTCTGAGTTGTCCTTAAAGGAATCTCTTGACACTCCTGAGCTGGCCTTGTCCCTCAGGGGCCTCCAGCACCTGCAGCAGGTGATCACTGCTGTTGGAATGTTTGAGCATCAAGAAGTTTATACAACAGAACCCAGCATGGTGGAATATGCTGTAATCCCAGCATATGGGAGGCTGAGGCAGGAAGATCGCCATGAGTTCTAGGCCAGCCTGGACTACCCAGTAGGTTAAGGCCAGCCTGACCTACATAATAGGATTCTGTCTCACAAAACAACAAAAAGTTTATAAAACAGAGTCCTTGTTATGCGTCTGTGTCGTTTGTGTGGCCACTTCACGCAGACACTTTGCTCATTTCTATGTGGACGTTTAGAGAGAGGAGATTGGGACCCGGCAGATCCAAACCTGCCTCTAGTGTGATTCAAATCCAGAGCTTGGCTGTGAGATTTGATCTCTTTGATCTCTTTGATCTAGTTTGCTGGAGGGAGACCCTGGGGGACTTTTATTTTTGTTTGATTTCTGGTTGTTTTTTTTTTTTTTAGACAGTGTCTCACTATGTAGTTCAGGCCTTGAACTCACTGTGTTCCAGGCTGACCTGGAACTTGCAGGGAGCCTTCTGCCTCAGCCTCTTGAGTGCTAGGATCACAGACATGCCCAGTGCACTCAGCTCCTATAGGCTCCCATGGCAGCTGTGATCGATGGCCTGTCTAATAGCATGCAGCACTGGCCTGGAGTTCTGATTTCTTCAGGAAGCCGCTGACTGGACTTCCCTGCCCACTCTCTGCTCGGGAGGGATGGTTTTCTCACATGACCATCAGTATTGCACACAGCAAAAAGCAAAAACACTTTCAGCTGAAACTACTTAGGCCTCTGGGAGCCAAGCTGGGCTTCATAGGTGCTCGAGCAGGCGAGTCCCATAGGGGGAGCTCCTGGGCTCCTGGCCGCCTCCTCTTACGGTCCTGGTGTTCCGTTCCCCATTTCCACCCTCATCTTTGCTGATGAGGTCGGGCCCACCGCTGCACAGGCCCCTGTCACCTCCACCTGTGAGGGAAACTGGTAGCTGGGGTCACAATGAGCCACATCAAAGGGACTGTTTTGCCACCTTGGCTGAGCCAAGCAGCCAAGGTTAAGGTCACTAGTGGCCCTTCAGATTGGCATCCCAGGACCCAGGGACAGATGTCCTGAGGCTTGATTGTCATCAAGCTTGATTGTCAGACGCTGCTAACCTGGGCTGATTGTGAGGAAATATTTGATCTGAACTGAAGGGGCTGAGGGCTGGGGGTTGAACCCACCACATGGAGCTACTCTTCAGCCGTTTGTATTTCTAGTCTTTAAATTTTGAGACAGGGTCTCTGTCTGTGTCACTAGGTCGCTCAGCCTGTTCCTGAACTTGAGATTCTTCTGCCTCAGTCTCACAGAGTGCTGAGATTACAGCTAGGCAGCCCCATGCCAAATTTCAAGGGCTATCTTCTAAAATACCTGATTAGAGGTAGGGTTGATGGTGCATACCTATAATCACAGCACTTGGAAGACTGAGGCAGGAAAATTGATGTGAGCTCAAGGTCAGCCTGGGCTATATAGCAAAACCCTCTCTCAAAACAAAAACAACAACAAAGCCACAAAACACTCATCAGGGTATAGTGGCACCCGCCTATAATTCCAGCCCTTGGGAAGGTGAAGCACGAGGCTGCTGCAAGCTTGAGGTCAGCCTGGGCTACAAAGTGAGTTTAAAGTTCAATTCCTGGTACAAAAAAAAAGTCAGTTCAAGGCCAGCCTGAACTACTCAAAAACAAAACAAAACAAAAATGTGAGCCAGGCATGTTGGCACATGCCTGTAGTCCCGGTACTAGGGAGGCTGAGGTAGGAGAATTGTTGCAAGTTTGAGACCCAACCTGGGCTAAAAAGTGAGATCAAGGTCAGCCTGAACTAGTGAGATCCGGTCCCCAAAAGTAAAAAAAAAAAAGTACAAATGTGTTCCAGTATTGTCTCTAGGACTCCCCCTCCACCTTGTTTTGAAATAGGAATTCACTGTGTAGCCCAGGCTGGCTTTAAACTAGTAACAATCCTCCTGCCTCAGCCTCCTTGAGTGCTGGGATTACAGGCATGCTTTGCCTGGCTCTGCTTAATTGATCGGTGTATTTCGTGTTAGTAGCATTTTAGTAAGCCCAGGTGCTTTCCAGCTGGCCACAGCTCAGTTTGTCTCTGCCTTCCTCATCCCTCAGGCCACAGACTTGGTTTCCTTGCTACAGGAAACATGCTGCTGAGTGTAAATCCCTGGTAAGTGGCACTTTGTGCAGCCTGGAATTCGTCTGCCTCTTTTTTCTGTCTCCTGGCAACTTCCGCCTTTGGCAAAGGTTCTCATCTAATAGGTTTTCCTGAAAACACAACACACATACCTAAAAATAAACTCAGAATGGTACTTAACTGGCATCCCAGGGATATAAAGACACGAAGATTGCAAATTTGAGGCCAGTCTGGGTTACAAAGTGAGACCCTGTATTGTTTTTTCCAATACTGGAGATTGAACCCAGGGCCTTTGCACCGAGCTAGTTTTGAGACAGTTCTAAGTCTCTTAATTTTCACATTTAGCCTCACACTTGTGATCTTCCTGCCTCAGCCACCCAGAATGCTGGGATTACAGGGACGTGCTACCAGTTGGCAATGGTTTCTTAAATATGACACCAGAAGCAGAAATAGAGGGGAAAATTACCTACATTAGACTTCATCAAAATTAAAAATTGGGCAGAGTATTACGCGGCTCATACCTGTAATCACAGCAGTCTGGTAGGCTGAAGCAGGAAGACTACAAATTTGAGTCCAGTCTGAGTTATTCAACAACTTGAGATGATCTCTTCTATAGGTATCAGATATTATGAGATTCTTTTTGTTTTATTTTTTGAGACAGTCTCACTATGCAGTTCAGGCTGGCTTTGAACTCATTATGAAGTCCAAGATGGCCTTGAACTCACTCATGGTGAGCCTCCTGACTCAGCCTCCGGAGTGCTGGAATTTACAGGTGGGTGCCCTATGCCTGGTTTTCTCTTTTTTTTTTTTTTTTTTTTTTTTGAGACAGGGTCTCAATGTGTAGCCCCGGCTGGCCTTGAACTTCCGGTGAGCTTCCTGTGTCAGCTTCCCCGGTAGATAGATTACTGAACTGCACCACCTCGCCCGGTTTTTGTAATAGCATAAAGATGCTTTGCGGGGGGGGGGGGAGATGAAAACTGCTGCTTTTGAAGTTCAAATTGCCCTTCATTCTCTTCCTTCCACGATGGAGACGTCATGCCCAACGCCGGCCGAAAGATGGCGCCGAAAGCACCAGGCGGCCGCCTCGGAAGCCAGCGGTCACTGCGGGTGGCTGCTTAGAACGTGTATTTACCTGTATTTTAAACTTTTAGTTTTTCTTTTCCTCAGGTTTTTTTTTCTTTTATAATTAATTTTTAATTTTTAAAAAATATTTCAAATCTTTTATTCAAACATAAAAAAAGAAGAAGAAGAAGAAAAAAAAAAACCTCTAAAACTCCCTCCGTTTTTAAAAATACTTTTCTCTCTCCATAAGCTCCACAAAGCACCATGGGAGGCCGCTGCCCGACCTCACCGTTAAACCCCAGGATAAGCTAGGACATTTTAAGAAATAAGCACAAAACATCAGTCTAAGCTTGGCGCATTGGCACAGGCCAGCACCCGGGAGGCTGAGGCAGGAGGATCTTGCAATTTGGAGGCCAGTCTGGGCTACAGAGTGAGGTCAAGGCCACCCTGGACTGCATAGATAGACCCTGTCTCAAAAAGAAAAAAATGTTGAAAGCATCAATCTAAAGGAGACTGAGATTTTTGATTTCTGAAAAAGGCAAGGAATGTATGTGACCTGAAATCCCTCATGCTCAGGCAGAGAGATACGGTGCTTGTAGAGGCCGCAGAAGAGGAGGTGAGTGTCACTGCCGAGCCTATCCCGGGGCTCTGCCCGTCTTTGGGGACATCGTTGTCCCCCAGCTGTTCAATGAAAGAAGCCACTGGGAGCCCCCAGACCTCCTTATCCTTCATTCCCGGACCAGGAAATCACCCCCCTCCCCAAGGGGCTCAGAAGCTCCACCCGCAGCCTGTGCCCCAGCCCCAGGGCTCCCCCTCCTGCTCACAGCTCCCTCCTCCCGCCGCTGAGCCCCCCCCCCCATTACGGGACCACTCGGCCCGGCTGACAGCCGGAGATGCTGAGGCTGATTTTCAGAAGCCCTTCGGGGTCTGCAGACGGGTCGCCCTAAACTCTCCCGCTGGGACGCGCAGTGAGTCTAGGCCACTTGCTGCACCCCCAGAAAAGCAGAGTCCTAGAAGGGGCTGGGGGATGTTGGGAGAACAGCGGTTCCATGGCGA